GGAACGCGCTGGGCCTCGAGGTTCGTCGCACGTCGCAAAGAGCTGAAAACTCGTTGGAACCGTCCTTACGATTACCAAAGGGCCCAATGCGAAGATCCAAAGCTTATTGCAGATTGGTTTCGGCTTGTTGCGAATGTTATCGCGAAATACGGTATCCAAGAGTCGTACATCTACAACTTCGACGAGACTGGGTTTCTGATGGGCAAGATCTCAACCAATATAGTAGTTACGAGCTCCGAACGACGTGCCAGGCCGAAATAAATACAGCAAGGTAACCGGGAATGGGTTACCGTAATCCAAGCGGTCCAGTCTACCGGTTGGGCGCTGCCGCCGTTCATCGTTGTTGCGGGCCGATACCACCTCTCTTCTTGGTACGAAGACGACAACATTCCGAAAGATTGGAGAATTAGACCTAGTCCAAAAGGATGGACGACTAACGAGATCGGTATGGAATTTATTAAACACTTCGATAATTGTACGAAAGATGGAAAGTCCGGGATATATCGATTGTTAGTGTTGGACGGTCACGAGAGCCACGTTTCCGGCGATTTCGAGCTATATTGCACAGAACACAAAATTGTAACTTTGTGTATGCCTCCGCACTCATCTTACATCCTCCAGCCACTTGACGTGGCCTGTTTCGATCCATTAAAGCGGGTGTACGGCCAGATGGTAGAGAAATTGATACGCCGGTCACTAACACATATCGCGAAGGAGGACTTCTTTCCTATCTTCAAAGACGCCTTCTTTGCAGTTTTCGGCGAAAAAAACGTTCAAGCTGGCTTTCGAAGGGCAGGACTTGTTCCATTCAATCCAGAAAGTGTGATTTTAAAGCTGGACGTACGATGACGGACCCCAACGCCTGTTGGCTCCCCAGAAATCGCAACCCGACCGTGGGTATCAAAGACGCCACAGAACCCGATAGAGGCTCATGCACAGTCTACTTTTTTGAAAAAGCGCATCTCCGAGCATCAGAATAGCTCTCCGACGAATATTTTCTCAGCTGTTGACCAGTTTGCGAAGGGAGCAAGAATGATAATGCACGAGCTCGCCCTCGTACGGGCCGAGTGCGCTGAGCTTCGAGAGGCAAATAAGATGCTAAGCCGGCGCCGGAGGACTAAAAAATGCAATTACGGGAAGGAGAATCACTTATTTTCCAAGAAGGACAGGACCTACGGGACTCTAGAGAGTTGGCGACGCAGATACAGCAAGAAGAGCGCCGAAATGGTGGTCGCGCAAAGCGTGTTGAAACGCGCCCGAGGCGCGGTGGTATTTGCAACGGGACTGGGCATAATACGCGAACTTGTAAGATCGCATTGCCATCTTCTGGAGAGGAAGATTCAGAGTAATTTCAATTGATTTACGGCGTTGTGGTTTTACTATCGTAAAATTTCTATGCGAGGTTATGTAAGGGTGGCCAGCTCGGTGTACATTCACGTTATGTACGTCTATTATTATGGTCAAAGTCAGCTTTTGCAATAAGTACTGTCTATTCGAACTTACTACTAAGATGACGTCACCAACGGTTTCAAGCGCGCCTTTTGCCTCAACGCCATCTAGAAGCCAAGATAACCAGCCAGTTGGCTTCCCAGATTATTCTCTTTGGACTTCTGAACGGTGGGCAAGTTATCCAGGTTTTCTAAATGGCCACGATTCCAAAGCAGAGCGCAAATGGTGGTGGAAACACGGTTATCGACTAAAAGACCCTAAAGGTTCACATCAAGGTTGGCCTGTGGAAGCTGCAGCAGTATTATGATAAGCTGACGAATCTGGCGTACGCCGCTGCCGTGATCTTCAACCCGACCATGAAAATGAGTGGGTTGCAAGCCATTTTTGATGCTGAACCTATACGCCAAGAGCTGAGTTGGCGTGAGCATTATATGGCTAGGTTGAGGAAGCGTTGGGAGGGTGACTATAAAAATAGGCAAGTATAATATCTAGATAACTGTTCATCTCTAACTGACCCTCGTCTAGGCCCCTTCCTGAGACCAACCCTTTAGCTGAAGCTGAGAACCAGCCAGTCCTTATGATGCTTCACCGCCGCAAGCGTTTTTATATGAGCGACGCCGACTCCGAGGTCCTTGATTCGCAAAGTACACAAGATACACAGCCAATAGCAAAGAGAAGGAAAGGAAAGGGCAGAAACACCAAGCCGGTGCCGATTAGGCAGGAAGAATCACAACAAGACGAGCTTCACCTCTACCTGGCAGAACCTGTGGTTAACGTGGACCAATATTTAAAGGACCCAGTAGCTTGGTGGCGTGATATTGGCGCAAAACGTTTCACCAAACTGTCTTATATGGCTGTTGACTTCCTTACGATACCTTCAGCGCAAGCAGAAACAGAACACCAGTTTAACAGCGTAGGAGAGATGGTATCAGCACGAAGATCTCGCCTAAAACGCCACGTTATTGGGGCATCACAATGTATCAGGTCATGGAGTTTAGCAGGCGTTAATCAGGCTGAGTTGCCACTCCATCTGCTTGACAAGGTATCAAACGTTGAATTGGATGGTGAGGTTTCACGCGAATTAGCTAATTGGGCGCAAAACCGTTAAAAATAAACAACTCCGTACAACCGCTATTGATCGATCCGACCTCTATCTGACCGGACCGGTTATATGTGATCGATACCGTTCGATACCGGTTGCTTAGTAATCTGTACCGATCGGATGAATATGATGTTGATCGATATCGATCGATTGGTCACTCTGGTATCAACTGTGAGAAGTTGTGGCCTCAGGTGTGGAGAGGTACGAGGCAAGCAGGCACGCGTTGCAGTATTTAGGGATTCCTCGGGCCAACTTGTGATTGGTCGCTCCCGCACCTTCTACGAATACTGCCCCTAGTACTTGGATTCCGATATTAACTTTATTAATGTCTTCACGCTTGAAGTCTATAGTTGTAACGGGGATACTACACGTCTCAAGGATAATAGTGAGGCAATGTAAAGAGCTACTGATGATATACTCATGGAGGATTGTGATGTTGATTGAGCTAAGTTAACCTCCGTCAGGTGTAACGGTAGAATGTTACCTATCTAAGTAGTGTACATTGTTACGGAGTCACTAGGGCTCCGCCAGTGGACTGTGTGCCACTAGTCCTCTGTTATATACTAATAATGTGGGTACGTATATTTGTAACGGTGATACTACATGTCTCAAGGATAATAGTCGGTACTGCAAAGAGCCACTGATAATTTGCTTATAATATGGGTGCGTATATTGCAATACTGATTCCTAAGGAATCCAAGTTAGGTGAGAGTGTCCAAAATCTCCTCTTTGGCTGGGGTGCATCCCGTCAGATACAAGGGGTCATTCGATTGACCAGTAGTGTGGGATAGGATTACAAGCCACTGGGGGTCAGCCGAAGTGCCTTCCGAAGGGCCTTAAAGACACACAACAACAATCAATTGGACGGGCGACCTCAAGGTTACAGCCATCTCACAGAGAGGTCACACCGCAAAATACGTGAATATATGACACTAACCAGACCTAGAGAGTTGAATTGATCCAGAATAAGCATATACCCATAATCAAAAGGACCAGTGGAAGGGTGTTAGAGTATACCAATATGCCGGTTTCCTGAAAATAACTCTAAAGAACAACGATTATTATTACTGTCTACACTACCTTAGTAACAGTAGAGAAAATAGGTAGCATTCCTTCTATGTAAATACGTTCGAGATATGCTCCATATGGATGGGAGCGCGTTTCAGGGGTCAAATCTAGCGTTGGTGACGAACGAAGCTCCAATTTAATCCTTGCAAGTACGAATCGGTGAGAAAAGAGACAGCAACTACGATCGTCCTAAAACATGACATAACGAACCTGCATACTGACGATGGGCAATTAATACCCGCAGGTTTAAGGTGAAGATAATGGCAACGGACAACAAGATCCTCAACAGGACCTTACTAATCGGGAGGATGAAAGAATAACTGATCGAGAGCCTTCGTGCCCCGGTCGGATCAATAAAAGTACCTCAGCAGGTACGAACAATTGGCTGGACGTCAACAGATCCTTGGATTGAATCACCTCAGCAGGGTGGAATAGATCGTCTTGAATAATAGAAGTACGTCGATAGGTGCTAACGATGACATCAACAGGTCATCAAAATAACGAGAGCCTCAGTATGCGAAGGGAATGAAATTTGATTACTACTTGCTTGGCCGCTTACTCTCTCTCTCGCGTTCACTTCAGACTGACTACCCACACAGATCTTTAAATACCCTCGAGAACACGCTTACATAATTCATCTGAAAACCGAAAAGCAAGACCCAGAAACCCTGTCCCTAGGTAACTACAAATAAGGCTAATCCCGCAGCTCGGATTGCAGACCGTTTGTCTCCACACCGCCACTAGCAATACCAGAATCTCGGGATGGAGTGGATGTAAAGAAGCTGGAAAGCGACGATGAGAAGATTTGAGCAAGTTGACTAAAGCTGTGGCTTGCCGCATCCCTGCAAGCTTCCTGCGGCTGCTCATCAATACGCCTACCGATTGGCTGTGCTACCGAACTGGCATGACTTATATCATCTTGGCAGCGCGGACTCTGTTCATAACGGTGCAGTAGCCAGTATTGCTCGAGCTTCCTGCGGGTAGCTCAGGATAAGTTTCAGTAAGAAGGACAGCAACGATCAGAAACCACAGGCCAAAAACTTGCTCAGTTTCCCTATTTAGCAGGAGGTGCCGCCCTTGAATGTGCAAACTCAATGCAAATGAGCTACGAGCGTTGGAGCTTGGCAACGGCGAGCTGGTTGCGGGCGGGTACGACTCGAGGTAGATTATTATATATAAGATATCGACAGGCTCTTCTCGTCTCGGGGTGCACGTCTCTAGGTGATCAGCTTGATCCCCAAATCCCCATCCTAGCCCGGGATTTCGTTTCGTACAACAATTTAACCTTTGAACTGTCGCGCAGTGTAACCCTGCGCTGTTGTTTCCGTCGCGACTCATCGACTACGCCGAGTGAGCAACAGCAATCATGTTCGCTGCGATCACCTTACTGCTCCTCGCTGCCATTGCGCGTCTGGGTTCAGCGCATTTCGCTGTAGTCTATCCCGAATGGCGCGCCGACACCCTTGAGAACGAGGAATTATACTCGCAGTGGGAATACCCCTGTAAGCCACGGCGCCTCTATTTCCCCGTCATTCTAATGTTTCTCGAACGCTAACTCCTCCTCTTTCACTCAGGCGGCGGCGTTCCAAATGGCGTAGGCAACCGCACCGACTGGCCCATCAGCGGCGGCTCCGTCGTCCTCGAACTCCACCACGCATGGACCTACGCCTTCATAAACCTGGGCTATGGCACCAATGTGTCCAACTTCAACGTGTCTCTGACGGCGCAGCTACTGAACGTCACGGGCAGCGGGACATTCTGTCTTCCTCTGCTGACGTCGCCGGATTTGACGGGAACCGATGGCCAAAACGCGACAATTCAGGTCGTTACCAGCGGCGAGGATGGTAGCGCTTTGTATAATGTGGGTTTGCTCTCCTGGGGGGTATTTTAATCACAAAGTGAGGTGGAGCTAATTCGTAGTCACCAGTGCGCCGATATCACGTTCCGATCTGGCGCTCGAGCCCTGATTGCTGGCGAAGACGAGTGCACGAACTCGACTGGAGTGACAGCTGCAATCATCGACGGATCGTCGGCATCCAACTCAAACTCCAGCTCATCGAGTTCAACCTCCTCGGCAGGCGGCAACGCTGCGTCGGGTATGACTATCAACATTGGCGCTCTGGCAGCTGTGGCTTGTCTCGCTATGACCTTCGCTGGTATGGGCTGGTAAAGAGAGTTTGGGGTGGGAAAATGAAGGACACGGTAATATATATATAAACAGGTAGATGCCAAAGCAGATACATCGAGGTCGAGGGGGGGTATCATCGCATAAAACTGCCTGGTCAGAATCAGCTAACCATGAATAAATGAAACGACACAACTTTGCGGAAGCGTGTCTGCGTTTGCCGCGAGGTCGCCGGTGAAATGGAGCACTTACATAGGACATATTATCAGTGTGCGGCCGCCATGCAGGCCCTCCATCTCTCCGCCGGCAACTTCATACAATTGGTTCATCTGGTGTCATTCGGGCAAGTCATAATCTTGCTATCCTTATGGCCATCCCCGGGATCACCACGAATGCACATGCCTCACACACCGGTCCATTGAGGTAAGCTGAGCTCGGTCATAACCTTAGCCATGGTGATGCGCTGGTTTGGTTGCGGAGTTAACATCTGTGAAACTAGCACGTGAAGCTTGTCCTTCGGGTTTAGCTTGGCTCTGGCTTCGGTGACCTCACTGAGCCATTGCTGCATCTGGTCCACCGCCGTGGGACCCTTGGCTTTGCTTGAGTGATGCGATCTTCTGTTCAGTTCGGCAATCATCCAGTACAGCTGCTTTGGATGGCCCTGGCGACCGCGCGCATCCGGGAAGGCGATGCGCTTAAGAACGTAGAGCATTGTCACACCGAGCGCCCACACATCCGACGGCGTGCCACGGAGCTTGTTCCCGACGAACTCGGGTGGCACGTAATACGGCGTGCCTCCGTTAGTAGCGGAGTCATGCGTGCGTGTCGAGAGGCCAAAATCGCATAGTACAGCGCCACGGTCTGGGGAGTACAGGATATTGGCGGGTTTGATGTCGTTGTGGACTCTCCGTCTCTGGTGGACGTAGTTCAAAGCACTGGCGATATCCCGGAGGATGCGGATCGCATCATTCCTGTTGCCGACAAACACATCCGTCGCGCCGTCTCGCCATACGCCTCGAGCAGCTAGGTCCTTGCCATCAATGTGTTCCATGTATAGCGACAGATAACGCGCATCACCGCCGTAGAGTTTCACGATAGATTCGTGCTGCAAGTCCTCCTGGCTTCGGTATTCGCGCAACCAGATATCGGCCTGCCGGATAACATTCTTGTGGTTATCCTGTGGCTTGGCCTCATTTGGCCTTCTGGTTTTGAGCACTTTGACTGTAATCACGCCATCCGGCACATCCGAGTGCTCAGCTGTGAACACAGAAGAGGCCGCCGTGGTCGCAATTTGATTCCGTTTTGTCACTTGGTACTGGTCCAGCTCGCAGCCACCTGGAATCGCCACTGTCTCGTCCTTCTGAATTTGCAGCAGAGCATGGCCATGCGGGATTGCGACCTCCTTCGCTTTGCTGGCATGTGGTAAAGGGAAAACCAGTGGCTCTCCTGTGGTTACGGGGTAGAACATGATTACTCCGTCGTCGACATCCTCACGCTTTTCACGCTCGGTAGTCCTTAGTCTCTTCTGGGCTGGATCCATCTCTGTATCGTCGGAGAACGACCTTTTTATCGACGAGTTCAGCGGATCAATACTGTCCGCAATGGATGTTAGATCTGAAACTTCCTGTACGGGGACACACAGGCTGGCAGGGCGTTTTGCCAAAACGCGAAAGTCGATGATGGGTGTGCCATAGACACGGATCCTCCATGTTCCAGGAGAGAGCTCCTTGGTAATACCGGGTACAACTTCTTGGTCAAACGGTCGATCTGGTCAGGATTAGTAAGCTGGACCCGTGAGCACATACGATAGTCACATCTGCCACCGAACAACTCCCACCGAACAAGTACAGCACGGCTACATCATCTCTGAGAATGAACTAGACTGATGGGGTGGATGAAAGAGGGCGACTGACTATCGTCTCCTTGATCCGAAACGCTCGCCAGAGTGATGGGGACGTCTGATCTATTAAGGAGAATCTGATTGTCGCTGGCTGGATCATAGTACAGCTCGCACCATAGCGGTGGCCGAGTTTCATCGACGCCCGTTTCGCCCGGTATCCTCAGCGAGAAATTGATGTCCTTGGACGTCTGAGTCACAGCCAGCACCTTAGTGCTAGGCTGCTGAGGGCCATTTCGGGTCGCGACCTCTGCGCGAAGAGCTAGCCATTCGCAGTTGTCGCTACCCGGGCTCACTGAGCGGCTTCGAGTCAAAGGGCGCACCAGAATCCTGATTCCCTGTTGGTGATGTTGCTCATCGATGACGAGCTTGTCCAGTGGCACGGTGTCAGACTCGGCACTGGCAAGTTCTTCCTCGACACGTATGCTCTTCTGTAGCCGCATGTTGATCTCCGACTGAGAAAACGGCTCCGTCCGCTCCTCAGAGCAAAAGTCTTCGCCCATGATGAGAGGCGACGCGGAATGGTCAGGGAAAGCTCGGCCGCAGATTTGACTCAAAAGCTCCTAAAACAACCAACTATGACCCCAAAAGATCGCTGAGATAATCGCTGGGGTGAAGGCAGAAAAAGAAATGATGGATGCAGTGCGTATATTTTGGAAGCTGTTTGCAGGTTCGCTGTGAAGAGTCAAGAACTTGCAGGCGAGAAAACATGAAAGACGACAATATCGAAACAGACAAGCGACGCGGGGGTAATGAGGGATCTTGGAAGGCCTTCAAGAGGCCATACCCGCTATATTCGGGCGTAGAATTGTCAGATGAACTGTCCTGGAGACCTGACTTCGTAACTAACGAGCCACAAGAAAGAGAGTCACGGAAGTCAGAAGCGATATGCGGCTGATCCCGCCCCTGGAGAGTCTGGCTGCCTAGGGTGTCCAGGGCTATCATTCTCAAAGAACGTCCCGACTAGATAGCCCGCAACGTTGTGACTTGCGGTTCTCTTCGACGGTGTTTACACGGTGTTGCCTCGTGCAAAGCAGCGATTGCTGCACAGTCTCAATGGCATAATGACACGGCTTGCCTCCCAGGATTCAAGTCATCTGACGGAGAGTGTCGAGTCGTCGCGGCGACTTTTGGGCAGCTGCCTAACCACTGGTAAAACGGGTGTGGTAAGCTGAGCCATCGTGGGAAAGAACGAGAATTTGATTGTGCAAGGATGCTGCATGACGCGGGTCATGATTGGATACCGGCCATCTATAATAATCCACCCACTGCCTACTGATTGGATGCACTGATGGCTAAGCCAGGATAAGCCAGCCGCAGCTTCCTCGTGCGCAACCCAATTGTTTTGGTGTCTGACAGGTTAGTGCCTGAGGCAGCCGGGCTTCTCAGACATGGCAATGACGGGGTGCCCACCTCCCGCTTCGTCGTCGGATTTCTTGCGGGCCCATCACCAACCCTACGCTCGTTGTCAATCAACCAGCACTCCCAGTGCGCTGCCTACCCAAACGCGATCGCCGGTATGGAATACAGAGCGTGTTACTAGATGGCTCTGCTATTGTGCGCTTCTACGAGACCCTTATGAATAACAGCACTTGCACTGAAGACGGCCTGACTTTACACTGTATCACCACCACAACCGCAACCGCAACCATAGACATAGAATGGACGACCCCGGTTCGTCATGGCCCGCCTGGAAATTTGGCATGAAGCGGGATGAGCTCTTCACCAAGCTGCACGATCAGTACAACACCTTTCCTTCCTCGATCCAAGACCCCGAGGCGTTTCACCACGACGTCTACGAAATCTCCAACACCGCGAGCACCACCGCTGAGTTCCATCACCTCCTTGCAGACCGCAAGGATCAACGTCTCCGCGAACTGAACAACAGTCTCGAGTCTGCCTCGCTGGAAATCATCGCCAATCCCAAGCTCATAGGCACGGAGCAGTGGCAGCATGCTCTTCAACTCTTTCGAACGAAGTCTCTCGACTCGCTCGTGCGGTACTTCGCATCCTACCTTCCGGAGGACCACTCCTGGCATCATCGCCTTGGCCAGACCTCAACGTCCACCTCTTTCTCAGCCGACTCCACATACTCTAGCGATGATTCTACCACTTCCGAGAAACTTTTCTTCGACGAAGAGGACCACGACGTCTTGACCCACGAACCTCTTTCCATCGTCACCTTTATCCCAACACAGCACCTACCACCGTCTCCGAGGTCACTGACGATGTGTTCCAACTCCTCGTCGGCTTCGCCCATCGATGACGTCCACCACCACGAGTACATGCTCAACACATTGACTCCGGCGAGGACGTTGTCCTTCTCGGAGCCTGAGATGGATCTTGTGATACACTCTGGCACGTCGTCACGTCCGGATCACGAGTATGACTATCAGACATCGCAAACAGATGATGCGGACGAGGTGGACACACCGACGACGTCCATATCTGACATCTCGGACACCCAGTCACTTCCAGAGACCCGTCACCAGTGCGAAGAGTACAATGAGCCTATCACACCTGCAGAGTGTGAGGGCTCAGCGGAGCAGGACGCAGAATCCGACACGCCGACCCCGCGAATTGAGTCGCCCTCCAATACCCAGAGACATGCATGCGAAACGTCGACATGGTCAAAGTTGTCGTTGCAACATCAGCCATCATCACTTCATACCCACGTCCTCAACAAATATGTACGAACATCACGAAGCCGGCGCGATGGCAGTCCAGGACGGTCTGCGAGGAGGAGTCCTGAAGTTGGGCGCGTGCACAAGTCGCTACCAGATTCGACACGGTTGCGATCGAAAGGATCGGCGAGAAAGAGCTGACACTACTCGAATGAGAATGTACATATGTCACGATACCACTGTAGATACGTAATGTTTGGGAGCGCTTTCATCATCTTCATGCTGGTGTGGTGTACGATTCTTGACGCTGATGCTATTCCTAGCTAGCTTGCGATTGCTAATTACCTTACTAACCTCGCCACCGAAACCTCGAGCTCTATGAGCCAAAGACTGGAGTTCACTTGATGTTACCTCCGATGCGATTGCCTGATTTCCTACCTTCACTGACAATTTGCTGTAGATCTTTCCAGTAGCTGGCGATCGGCCATCGGATCCGATCATGATCAATTAGAGAGAAGTAAGAGAAGCTATTGTCAGAGCAGCAAGTGCGATCGCATGGTGCTGTTAAGTTTCAGCGGTTGATACGCCAACCCACAGGGCTTGGAATGCTAAATCGACGACTGCGTCGGGCGCAATATGCGCTAAAGCGCGGGGTTCACTCGCTGTAGTTTCAGCTGTAGTGAAGCCATTACTCGGGTTTAGACTACTAAGTTCGAGCACATGTCAATGAGGTCCGGCCGAACTGCCAGCGTCTTCTTTGTTGGTGGACTTGGTGCCCAGCCAGACTTGAGGACTAGACTTCTAGTTTCATCGTAATGATTAATGAATGCCAACCTTCGATGCCATTGTCAACCTGGCGTATTGTGATAGCTTGTCGCCCCAAACTCCTACCTAAAGTACTCGTATAAGTTTTCAGTCCGATCTGTTGAACGGTAGTCCAAATGATTTCGACAGCTTTCGCGTTCCTCAAGTCCTCCATCCTCTCTGGCCTCCAGCGGTTCACCACGCCAGAGCCAGAACTCCCTTCTGTTCCAGAGCCATACATACCTGATCCTGATCTCGTCGAAGACTCATCTACCTCTTCCACCTCTTCTCCGTCTCCGAGCATAGTCACCCCGGCATCGCCGTCGTCACCACTTTCAACGTCAACCGAAATGCCCGGCGAGACGCTCCGTGAAAAAGCCACCAAAAAACTCCACGGTCCTGATGCCAACCCAAGCCAGCTCGGCGATCCAATTAGCTTGAAGGCCGAACAGAGTGACACCGTGCCGACGTCCAGCGAGGAAGGGGCGGGAAGCGAAAAGGGTCCGAAAGATGAACAGGGTAAGGATAACAGAGGATATGGGGGAAATGCTGAAGGCGGGAAATTGAGGGAGAAGGCGGCAAAGAAGTTACACGGACCTGATGCGAATCCGAGTCTGTTAGGGGATCCAATTAGTTTAAAGGTTGAGACGACTGAGAAAAGCGCAGGACGGGGGTCGAAGTTATGAGCTGGATATATTTGCATATCCGAAAAGAGAAACGGTGAGGCCATCAGAGGACTGGTTGTGTGTCGATGTTGATGTCGAGACTCGGGCGGTCACTGAATGTCACCTGCGCGGGCACCATTTATGACTTTTAGACGACAACAGTAGTTGAATATATCTCCATGTTTCAAAAATTGAAATACTGTGCAATGCCTGCCCAACGGATTTCCAATTTTTGTTAATTCATAGTGTCAGACAGATGACATTGTGTCTGCTTGGCAAAGTGTACAAGTTTATGGATTTGTTAGAGCGCTCTCGAGGCGACTTTCATCCATGCATTTTCTGCTGCTTTGATTTCCAAGCAAAGTCCCTAAGTGAACATAAATGAACGTTTTCATAAACTTATCCCAACCAGGTCACGGTGACATCTGCGTGGTACGTAATTTGGTACCCTTTCCAGTTAGTGCCTCACATCATTGCAGGTCCATATGTTGGGCTTTGATACAAGATTTAAGGGCGGGATTAGCTCGCAAAGGCGCAAGATTACAACTTCATTAAGAGTCCCAGTTCCGACCTCAGATCAACAGCGTTCATCGAATATTAATCAACAAAGACGGAAACCATGGCAGCCGTAATTAAACCTGTAGTCGAAACAGTTGAGTTGCGCTCTGCGCTGTCCGATTTGAGGTTAACCGTGATGGCAGGTTCACAAGCTCGAGTACAGTAAGGACGGCCACTTCGTCCGGCCAGCAAGTACATTCCGTAACTTCGTCTCCAAAGACCCCAACTCCCAGTTTCCCGCTGAGAAGGGTCGATATGCGCTCTATCTCTCGCCAGGTTGCCCTTGGGTAAAGTCTTCGTCGCCATTCTCCCTCGACTCCAAGACTAACCACCTTCTCAGGCTCATCGCACCCTAATAGTGCGCGCTCTCAAGCACCTCGAGGATATCATCGACCTCTACGTCCTCGGCAACATGGGCTCCAAAGGCTGGGAATTCAACGGTCTCTACGGTTCTTTGACGGAAGACCCCATCCACGGCTTCAAGACGCTGCGCGAGCTATACGAGCTCGTCGACCCGGGCTACAGCGGCCGCGTCACTGTGCCGGTGCTCTGGGACAAGAAGACGGACACGCTCGTCAACAACGAGAGTAGCGAGATCATCCGCATGTTTTATTCTGAGTTTGACGATCTGCTGCCGCCTGAGCATCGCGAGGTCAACAAGCCGGCTGGGGGGCTGTACCCCGCTGAGATGAGGGGGAGCATTGATGAGATGAATGAGTGGGTTTACAACACCGTCAACAACGGAGTTTACAAGACCGGGTTTGCGAGCTCGCAGGAGGCGTACGAGAAGAACTTGTATCCGCTGTTCGAATCGCTCGATCGACTCGAAGGCATTCTCGCTGAGCACGGCAAACCTTTCTTATTCGGGGATTATGTCACAGAGGCCGATGTGCGGCTGTACACGACCATCGTTCGTTTCGACGTCGGTTATCACCCGGTCTTCTTGTGCAATTTGAAGAGTATCCGACACGATTACCCGAAGCTGCACCTGTGGCTGAGGAGATTGTACTGGGATCAGAGTGAAAGGACCTTCGGAGCTTTCTACAAGACGACCCGGCCGTGGATTGCGGGGTATGGTCCCGGGTATGCATCCGCCAGGCAAAGGATTGTCATGCCTGAGAGTGTGCTGATTACGCCTAAAGGGCCGGCGGTGTTGATTGAAGAGTTAAGAGAGGGGGAGAAGTTGTGATAGGCGTATTCTAGCAACCTAAACCAAAAAATCTTGTTGCCGATGAGCCTTGTCCAGGCGTGTGCCGTATCCTGGTTACCTAGTTCCATAAGCAAGCCAATACGGTGATATTGAGGACCCAGTAGGGGGTAGGGTAAACACAGTTTCGAAAGTCTCCGACATTAATCAGCAAAGATGCTACGAAGGCCGACACCAACCCCGTAAGAACTTGTCCCCAAGGAGGCAAAGTTCCTTTCCTCATCTCGATCCTACAGCTTCTGGCCAATTGGCTTTCTATTCTCAGTGATAAGCCTGCATATATGGCTAGACGGCCTGTACTAGACTCTGATGCGTCTGACGTGGTACTCACTTCAAGCTTCGTTCAACTTCTAGACCATGGTTTCGTGAGAAGACAGGATATGAATGTCACCATCATAACTATATAACAGAGGACTGGTGGCACACCGTCCACTGGCGGAGCCCTAGTTACTCCGGGGTAATGTACACTGGTTAGATAGGTAGCATTCTGCCGCTGCACCTGACGTAACTTAGCTGAATCAACATCACAATCCTCCATGACTGTATAAGGATCAAAGGCAGCTCTACTGTCTATTTCACCAGTCGCTCAACTACTTTCTCATTCTATTTACTTCCTTACTTCTTCCCACACTTTACTCGACGACTTACTCACTCTACCCAACATCTTACTCACTCCACTCATCTACTCACTTGCTACTAAATCACTTATTTGCTCACTCCCATCTCTTCGTGGCATATCAAACATCAACATGACGTCTCTGTACAAGCAGTCCATTCCTGTCTTCACCAAGTACCTCAACAACCTCTCGCACCTCCTCAAGATGGGGGCCGCCCACGCCGATGAAAAGGCCATCAAGCACGACGACATCATCAACTTCCGCCTCATTTCTGACATGAGAGGGTATGTGCCCCCGTATATCCCACCCCGCTGACTTCAAAATCACGCTCGTTCTTGTCCTCATTTGTTAACTTCACATGCATAAATTCTAAACCGACTGACTGACCCTTGCGCAGACTCGCCTTCCATGTCCAATCCTGCTGTAACACCGCCGTCTGGTTCGCCGACCGCGTCGGCAACTTACCCCATACTCCCGTTGATGACAACGAGACAACATTCGAAGATTTTCAAGCTCGCATTGAATCCACCCTCGCCTACCTGGAAGGCATCAAGCCCGAGGTGCTGGACGACAAGCTTGATAAGCCGGTTGTTATAGAGGCCAAGTCGGGCAACTTCAAGATTGTGGGCGGGCAGGCGTATTTCTCCGAGTGCGCCATGCCGAATTTCCACTTTCATTTGACCACTGCGTATTGTCTACTCCGGACGCAAGGAGTGCCGGTTGGGGCGTTAGATTATTTGAAGGATGTTTTTGTTAAAGAGTAGGTAGATGGGAGTAGTTGGCTCGGCCAAGGGAATATTGACTCTTGACAACAGGGGAACATACGTAGATAAAAGTCGAATGATGGCTCGTTCCATTTCATCCATGTTTATTCCAGCACCCGTTAAAAACTTTGTATTCCTTCTCCTCTGCGAGCCAATAATCCAGTTAGCAGGAATTGTCGTTCAAGATATCGAGTCGCCACTACGTTGGCCTCCGTGGTCTTAGCTGAAGGAAGTTCGCATGCCTCTGTTCGTTACTTTTTTTTCTTTCTCTTTTTCTTCCTTTTTGGTGCTTTCTAGATTTTTAACCTTCGAAAAGGTTACGACGCTGATTAGAAAATGAAGAAGTTCCCCTTCATACTTTTACTATGCACCCGTTTGGAAGTTGAAAGCGAAAATGCTATTATGGCGATCATCGCACGAGGCGACTATGTGGACTGGAAAATGACTTACATGCAGATATAAAAGCTTCTGTGGCACTCGATGATAGGATGGTGTGGTTGTACATACCACTCGATATAACCATTTCTGCATTTAAGACATCCACGGCTGGTCCAGACTTGGATATATGGAATCCACTTCTGATACGGCGTCACGGTGGCAAGAAGTAATGCAAGTGGAATAACCTCGAATACTATTGGTATGAGACCCCTCACTCCCTCGGTAAGTAGACCATAGAAGCGGTGGTGCGCGGGCCGGCGAGTGTTCAGGTTCCGGGACGACTAATCAAAATGCTCCTATCCTGCAACCGAGAATATCACAACATAAAGCTGCAGAATATTTAATTATCGTGCAGATGAACTACCAATCAGAACTTCAGCCATATAGTTCTACAGACCATGATGCTACTCCGTACATGTTCAGAGAGCTTAGCCGCGTGCCGCTTCCGGGGCCTTTCCGGGGCCTGAGCAGGTGCTTGATCAGTACAATCAAGAGGCTTAAGAGGCTTTACCCACGGAGTGTAAAGACATGGTCACGTCCAACTTTTGGTTTTCATTTTTGATGTTTCTGGGAGGAAGATTTAACACAGGCTGTATGCTCAAGATGGGTTACACTACTGCACTGCTGATGGTTTTCATCCCTTTGATCGGGTACTTGTACTTCAGCTTTAAGACTGGCCCGGCCAAGAAGACCAACAACTTCCCACCAGGTCCCCCAACTGTACCATTCCTTGGCAACCTGCATCAGATGCCACTGAAAAAGTCCTTCATTCAGTTCACGGAATGGAGTCGCATCTACGGTTCCCACGGGCTCTTGGGACTTCAAATAGGACCCAGCGGCAAGACTGTTGTCCTCAACAACTGGAAATCGGTGAGCGAGCTACTTGACCAGCGAGGCGCCATCTATTCATCCCGTCCCTTCCTGGCGCTTGTCCAGTACGTATTGCCACCACCGGGGGATGTCCACTTAGGTAAGCCTTGACGTAGTCCTTTGCGACAAAATAACTGGCTGGACTTGGTCAACTAAGTAAACCGGCTAGCCTTCATGAACTACGGCCCCAAATGGCGCAAAGCGCGCAAGACCATTGCCGACTTCCTCAGAGACGAAGAAGTCGGAAAGCTTCTCCCGATCCAAGACGCTGAGTCATCGCAATTCATGCACGAGCTGATGCAGACACCTCAACGATACCACGACCACGTGCTGCGCTACTTCGGCGCCGTCATAATGGACTCCGTCTTCGGCACCAGGGGCAAGGATTTCACTGACGAAGGGAAGATCAAACGCTTCTTCCAAGTCCAGGATGAGTGGACAGCGATGCTGGACCAAGGGTCCATGCCGCCGTGCGATGTGTTCCCGCTCCTGCGGTATGTGCCAGACGGTTTGACGCCATGGAAGGGGTGGAAGGGAAGGGCGGAGGAACTAAAGAAGAGACAGAGTGAGTTGTATCACGAGCTATTCGAGGAGGCGAAGGCGAGGGTTGACGAGGGAAAGAGTCAGGAGAGTTTTGTGGCTGGGTTATTGAGTGATAGGGAGACGAATGGGTATAGTGAAGTGGAGTTGGAGTATCTCTTTGGGTTTATGCTGGAGGGGGGCTCAGATACAACGGCTGGGGCGTTTGAAACATTTCTTCTGGCCATGGTAGCGTATCCGGAAATTCAAAAGCGGGCGCAGGAGGAGGTAGATGGCATGTTTGGGATGGAGGGCGTAAAGAGGGGTAAAGTGAATGCGGGTGCTCTGCCTTTTTTAAAGGCGTGTTTCCTTGAGGTAGGTAATAGTGCATCTGAACATCCACAGTATTTCTAACATAGAATTTCAGACACTCCGCTGGCGCCCCATTCTCCCCCTCGCCATCCCTCACGCAACAACTCAGGATGATGTCTACCATGGTTATCTGATCCCGGCCAACACCACGATTATCATGAACGTCTGGGCAGTGCAACATGATCCGGATGAATACGAAGAGCCTGACACTTTCAACCCATCTCGGTTCCTGGAAAACCCACTCGGCATCAGAAGCAATAGTGTTTCAGTCAAAGAAACATCGTCCGGCCCATCTCGGAAACCCAGCTACGCGTTTGGTGCCGGCAGACGAGTATGTGCCGGTCAAAAAATGGCTGAAAACAGCATGATGATAACCATGGCAAAGCTCCTGTGGACTTTTGACGTTGTAGGTGGGAAGGAAGTCGACACGAAGGTGGAGACGGCATACAAGGATGCCATTTTGACCGGCCCGAACAAGCTCGAAGTCAGTTTCAACATCAGGGGTAAGGAGCGGGAGCAGGTCGTTGCGGCAGAATGGAAGAAGGCAGATGAGTTTCTAAAGCGGTTTGAATGACTTAACACTAGTGCAGATTAAGGGGGCGCCTTTGTCATTTGATGAGCTTATGATTAAATGATAACATTTTCATTATCTCTTATCAAAACAGTAACACACACTCTACGATGGCCAAAGCATATCATATTGTCCTAATTTCCATCCACCGTAATAGTATGCACATACTTCACCTTCCCTGCCACAATCCTAATCTCATGGCTATCGGGGTAATTTCCCAATGAGTCAAAAGCACACAGCACATCCACAGACCCCATCGTCTCATCAATGACGTACCTCCTACTCCCATTCGGTTTCGTGCTACCTCCCCTCGGCAGCTGTCCCCCACACGGCCTCGTCAACATCGATCCCTCGACTCGCTCACAGTCTGTTCCCCAGGGGATCGCATCCGCCGCCGTGGCATTGGTCCACATATCCAGATATGCATCACCTGCCCTCCTAAGAATGTCCCGACTTGGCCGCTGTGAAGCATCTTCTATGGTGGTCCAGTTTTCTTGACGGATGTAGTTGAGCGTCTGCGCCGCGTTGAAGAACAGGTCACCCGTAGTGGCGGCGATGGTGTCGATGAGAGCAATCGAGCTGCTATCATTGTCGATGTGTCTAATCTGTGTAGCAACTACATGGGGCTGAGATCCCGTAGTCGAGATAAACATGGTGTAGCTGGCGCAGGCGACGGTGTCGGCCGTGGAACGGTTGAGGTCGATTTTCAGGGGCTGGCTGAGGATGCCGGTTTTAATGTCAACCTTTTTGTTATTTTCTTGGTAGGTAAAGTTGGTGGTCGCAAGGGGGAGGCTGGCGATGTTGCCGGACGTTTGGGCGGCGATATACGTGTCAGCTGCCAGTAGGAGACCTTCGCGAGTGCACTGGGCTGCGGCCGTGGGAAGGAGAATGGCGAGCGTGCCGATGAAAATCTTGGATATGGGAGTAAGCCGGGCCATACTCTTGACTATTATGGACGTGGATAGGCTAGTCACAGACAAGCTGCGCGAGGTGGACTTCTCCGTCTGTGGCACTAATGAACGCAGGATACATACCAGAATCCTAGTCCAGGATTGCTCCAGCCCTCATACTTAAGTATAAAGACTAGCTGACAATATCCAATGATTACCCTCGCTTACATGCCGTCGTTGCATCCACCAGGGCATGACGTACCTGCCAGTGAGATTGGGGATCCCCGCGTGTTATAGATTGATGCTTAAATGGCTCCATCCGCAGACTATTTAGGCATTTACACATACAGCATGCCCTCGGAGACAAATCATACCATGGTACGAGTGTTCCAACAGTCGACTTCCACTTATATTGCCTCAACCCGAAATGCAACATTAGTTCCTAAATCAGTTCCAACATGTATCCTCACACGGTTCGCTTCCACCCACCCTTCTGTTCCCAAATGTCCCCAACTGCCTTGGAAGCAGCCAGCAAGTGTCTGTCGCGATACCTAGGTGCCACTAGCGACAACCCAATGGGCATACCATCCTCTCCCTTAAAGCCCGGGATGTTGACTACCGGCGTATGAAGTCCCTGAGGCAGACAGCACCAATCAATCACACGTCATCAAAGGTTGCACACCAGGGATACGTACCGTCCACATGCTATTGAAAACCGCACTCCCGGTTGAATCCAGCCCAAGCGGCGCCACATCCCGCACGCTAGGTGTAATAATAGCCGTATACTTGCCGGCAATCTCGTCGATTCTCGGCCTCAACGCTGCTATGCCATCAAACGCCTTCAGTTGCTCTGCTCGTGTGAGTCTTTTCTCGTTTTCGACGTGGCCAACCAGGAATGCCTGTAGCTTGTCCTTAGCTACCTGGTACTCGGGCAAGAAAGTCGGGCGGCCGTCACTGTGCATCACGGTCTCGTGCCACTCCTGCATCTTGTCGAACTCGGCCGGAAGCTCGATCTCCTCCACTTCAGCGCCGTGATCGCGAAGCAGCTTGGCGCCTACTTCCATGGCTGCGACGGTACCTGGGCCAGCCTGAGACCACATCGGACTTTTCAGCACTGCAAACTTGGCCCTCTTAACTGAGAAAGGTTCTTGAGGAGGCGACTCATCGTCCTCGAGCGCAAACACGTCTACCAAGAGCTCCAGATCCTCGACACTGCGGGCGAAGAAGCCGATTGTGTCGAGGATGAGCGAGTACATCTTCTGGCCTTCGCGACTGATCGAGTTCCACGTCGGCTTCAGGGCGTAGATTCCGTTAAACGAGGCGGGACGAATGGTACTCCCGCCCGTTTGCGTGCCCAGCGCAATTGGGGCTTGCAAGTCGCCCACCACGGCGCCGGATCCTGACGAGGAGCCGCCAGGTGTTCGCTTGAGGTCGTGGGGGTTGCAGGTTGGGCCGCCGCGCAGGGTGGAGGCGAATTCGGTGGTTGTGGTTTTGCCTCAGTGTTGATCAGTATGTTTCATACTACACGAATTGACTTCAGTTTGAATGCACACCAAGTATCAGTGCACCGGCTTGACGGAGAATTGTGATCGACGCTGCGTCGACCTTGGGTGCATCTCCTTCATATATCGGAGAGTTGAACTGGGTTGGCATATCTATGGCAGTCAGCTCTCAGAAGTAACAAGTCATGTTGAAGTGAGCGTACGTGCCCTTGGTGTAAATAACATCTTTGACCGCGACACCAACGCCATGAAGCGGTCCTCTGTTCGCATGTGGGATTCGATCGAGTGCCCTGGCCTGTTCAATGACATAGTCGCGGTCGAGATAAACCCATCCTTTCACTGCTGAATCTCGCTGGTCGATCCGCGATAACAATGACTTGGCGTAGTTTTCAACCGTCAGCGAACCATCCTTGAACTTTGCGACCGCTTGCGTCGCTGTGAGACTGTATGGTTCCATGGTATATTAGCTGAGCTCGGCTTGAACTTTCGGCAACCAAAAGATTCAAGCTCTTTAAATCTCTCTCCTTGGAGGGCAATTGAATATTGCAACTGCGTAAATGTCAGAGATATGACACCGTAACTTTCGTTTCCGCCGGCCAGCATCGGAAGTGGTCCGATCAGATTACTTATCGGCTCGTTCTTCCAGGGGCGGCCCCGCTCTAGGCCATTGCATTACTTATTGAACACTGTATCTTATATTCTACGCTATATATCCAACTGCTAGCTTTCTATTTGAACGCTTGAAATTTATGGAAATTGATCAATATGAAATATTTCCATCATCATAATACATCATCTTGTGCAAGGGACAGAGGCACAAGGACATCAGCCTTATTTCCCCTCTTGGAGGCTTTGGCACGCAAAAGATAGAATGACCTTCTTGTTGGTGGTTGTGAAGGGCAGAGAGGCAGCACTACCGGCGTCGTTTTAATCGTCCTCTTCCTCCTTGGGGGCACGCGTCTTTCCAGAGACAGCACCCTTGGTCTTGGCCTTGGGGTTGGTAGAGACAGTACTAGGAGCGGAAACAGCGGCAGGGTCACCAGGAACAGCATCACTAGAACCAGCGGCAGCATTATTGGCGACATCCACCTTGTTACGGAAATTCTTAGAAACCTTAGCTCACTGCGTGCTATATACCAGCAGTGTTACTATAGCCCCAGAAATGGATATAAGCCAGGAAGGGATACGTGCATCTTGGGGTTATCTGCATAGATAGCTGTGATGGCCATCTGCAAGTCGGTCTCAGTGTTCCACTTGCATGATCGGTTGCCAAGTGGCAAGACGTGAAGGACGAGGTATTTTGTCTGTCTGGAGGAAAAGCAAGCCTTTCCCCAAGTTTTACGTCCTATTCTGAGATTACCATACGCTTATGTAATGCGGACGTTGATTGGGAACTATAACTAGGCTGGAAGACTGGAATAATTAACCGGCATTTCAGCTGTGAAAACTTCAGACTGTTTGTTGAGATTCTGTTTTGCTCTATTTCGTCGCGGCTTATTGGAAAATGGTAAGTTGGGATTAACTAGCCAGAAAATAATAAGCGCCAGGAAAAGCGAATTATGGATCCCACGGCGAAACCCATGCCCACTGGGTCCATTTGTATCATATTCTGCTTCCAGTCGACCTTGATCAGCTTCGCCACGCTCTGAATGAAAAGAATACCAAGACGATAGCGACAACAAATGCGCCAATGGTTACGTCCATGTAGAAGCACCAACGCCGTCAAGTTACGCGATCCAAGAACACGCCACCGAGAAGCGATCCAGCGACGACAGTCAAAGCATATGTCACCCCAGTGAGCTTCTTGGGCTCAGCCCTGAAGGCCACAGTAGTGTTGCCGCCCGTCGCAAGCCCAGGGCCGCCCACACAGGCGATAACCCGGCCGATGATCAAGGCGGTGGAATCTGGCGCGGTGCCAGAGACCTGGCTGCCGATCTCGAGGATGCAGACGGCCACTTACAGACAAACGTCTTTGAAATTTTCCAGTTGCAAACCCCGTTGGAGAAGTTATACAAATTGTACGCCGTCTACAGCGTGAAACTGAAGAAAAGAAAGCGGACAGGTACTCTTGTTTTGAAGGCGACTTTCGTCAGACGATAGACTCAATCGGAGTTGGAGCGTTAGTCAAGAAGACTGCATGGATGTGGTTTCTGTTGGGTGGTGGGTTGATACCTCAAGATCTGCATAATAAAACCGTCGAATCTTTCTTCGTCTCGAAACGTTGCCGAGTGCTTCCTAGACTATCGAAGTTCCTCATATTTTCCACATCTTAAAGCAGTGCAGACCATCATCGGCACCGCCATCCCCAAGGCACGGACGACTTCCAAGGTCTCGATCAGGGCCACAGACACATTCGATCCTATACTTTATTATAGCTTGCAATGATTCCGATATGAAGCTCCCAAGTGGGGCTCAGCTCGCACTGACGGAAAGGTGGAAAGCATAAGCTCATCCTGCCACGTCCGAAACTAGTTCCACTTCTGCTGCGCAATAGCGCATTCCACGACCGAAGCTATATATCTTGTTACTAAGAGTGGACACCAATGTGTTGAGTGAGAAGGGGGCGTTCAAGCTTTCGAGCGTGTCCCGTTTTCCACGAGAATAGGGCGATAATGGCAGTAAGAGAACAAGCACTTAGGATGAAAAGGCCGATCCCAAATTTCCAGTTCCATAGCGACGGAGTCTCCAAGGATGGCTTCTTTGATTCTTCTCCTTGGCTTGCCTGCAATCTTCCATTATATTCCCAGGGGAGAGCCTTGCGCCGGATGTCCGAACTCGGATTCGAGAGTGGCGTTGGTCCGCGACGTCTCACTAGTATCCTTGAAGAGACCGATTACGCCTATTGGAAAGATGTACCGTTTAGTATGTAGTGCTCCCCATCATGCGTTCTAGTGCAACTAAAGAGCATACCGGGAACTGACTGATTGGAGTCTCTGGTACTTCTTTATACTCCAACGGAGCAGTGGACGCCTACACTGGCGATACAGTGACTTCGATATATTGCAAATTAATAGCAATGGCGTTTTAAGTATTAGATCGCGGGAGATTTGAAATATCAAGGTTATGAGGAAAAGGTATGCTAAACTGCACATTACTACAGCCTCAGGGGGCATGCAGTAGACCCTACATGCCGCCCTATTCCCGGAGTGACTGCGCCCCAAAATATTGCTCCTAATGAAGTCGTGCGTTTCAGCGATTTACATATGCAACTATAATTGTTTCATACCAATATTTATGTACCAGGCCATACACATCACGGAGTAGGACTTCAAAAATAAGAGATCAAAGTAACCTAAATATGCAGTCAGATGATCCCTACTACACAAAAGTGTATATCGGAAACTACTTAGACCGGTATATACAAGCCTCATGGTTACGGAAACCATGGATAGCATCATAAAACGTAGTAGACAGAGGCAACCGAAAGAACAGCATATGTATCGTGAATGGAGGCACAATCTTGGTCGTATATCAAAAAATCCTATTTGGTTAATTATCGCTATCAAATGCTATAGTCACGAAGGTAGAGATAGTGTTTATGTTAGATAATAATATACACGTACTTCTGAGTTGCGCGTTGAGTATACGCACTCCCAAAGAGAACCACCCAAAGATCGCCTTCTATACATGAGGGTATTCTGTCCACCATCGTTTCACAACACTAGAGACCCTATCTCAGACTGCTACCTTCTCCCGTCCACCCCCTTCCCACCCCTTTACCCCTATCTACCGCTCATACCAAGACTTCTCCCTAACGACCTTTTCGGGCACAAAATATCGATCTACAGAATCATTCCTCGTGCGTTGCCCTGCCTCCAGTCCGCCGGACATCATCCCCGGAGCCGGCGAAGACGTCTTCGATTTCGGCCCAGGCGAGGTCGGCAGAGTTCGCATCGCTGTCCTCGAGTCAACGGATCCGACGGAATCATGCCGCCTGTTCCCGTACCAAGGTGCGTGATCGTCTGGCGGGCTCGTGATGTACTCGCCCTGTGGCATATTTCGCTCCGGGTGGGCAGGGCGCTTACTACTGTCGGCTTTGAGAGTAGCTCTACTGAGGGTGCGAACAGGCTTGATGGAGTGCAGTCCATCTGACAGTGTAGCGCGGCGACTGACACGATTTGGCCGGCTGGATATGATGAGTTCAGACATGCTGTCTGTCTCAAAACCGGGATTTGCGTTTTCTGGCCGTCGCTGCTGCTGCTGTGTTGGTGGAATACGAGTGCAGAAGAGCTTGGCGATGACAACTTCCGTCTTCTCATCCGTGTGGAAGGGGGGGTTGATCATCTGGTACTCGACGCCGAGGAGGCCGAGAGACTCCTCTATGTCGTATTGTAGCTCACCCAGAGATCTAGACGCCTTGCCATGCTGAAAATTGGCCGAGTAGTCGCCTGGTTTGCTGGAACCGTTCGGGATGTGGAAGAGAAGATCAACTCGGGCTACCGCATACAGAGCGACGACAATGATCTCGAGCATGAAGCCGGTCGTGTAGAAGACGGCTTTTCCGAATATGGTCCCCTCCAAACCCAGGCGTGCGGGATGTAATATGGTAAATAGTCTGACCACCGCACCAGATGCCAGGGTTGTGGCCCCATAAACCATAACAGCGACTTTGGTCGTCAGTTGCCCTTGGCCAAACCTCTCAGGCTTTCCGGTGGTCGGAATGGCGGCCGCGATAAACAGCAATACAAGGGGAAGGAGAGAGAGACCGACGCCCCAGGAACTGCCAACGCGAAGTACCGTCTCGGTTGCCTGGAGCTGGGCCTCCTTGCCCACACTAAAGAAACTGACGCTCAGGGCGATGATCTGTAGCACGATGATGGCCGGAACGGACCAGATGAAGAAGAGGGTGACGATGCCGAATAACGGGTGCCAGCCGATTCTCGGATGCATGGATCGCACTATTCGTTGTGCGAAAAAGATATTGACGGCGAAAATCACCGCGGCACTGTGAAATGAATTAGTGCTAAATCATTCGTGTTTCCAAGCGTTTTATCGTAAACCGACTTACCCCCCAAACTCGAAAATCAGCGCCACCAAGATCACACCCCGTGTATTCACAAATGCCCAGATGATGCGAAAGATACACGTGAAATTCCGAATCATACAAAAATCAAAAATGAGATCCGACAGTAGGAACTTGTGACCCCGCTTGGCGTTCGCCCGGTAGATGTTGATATGAGTGCCAGCACCAATCATAAACAGCACCAGGAATACGGCCGTAACGGGAACATCAGGTATAGCCGTCGGGTCGCCTCCAAGGAACGGCCCCTGGGCTGGGTCTATCACTATCTCAACCGCGGGCGACGGAAAAGAGGGACCCGTCGCAGCGCCAGTTGTAGGAGCAGCCGGGCTGCTCGCGTTCCCGAGCACAGAGCCCATGCCTTGCTGCTGTTGTGGTTTATTCCATTCGATCCCTACCGCTGTGGCTGTCGCTGTCGCTGTGGCCGTCTCTGTAGTTGCGGACGTTTGCGTTTGTGTTTGTGTTTGTGTTTGTGTTTGTGTTTGCGTCAGCTCGACCGTATCCGACCGCGTAGCAGTAGCAGTGACTGCCGCAGTTGCAGTTGCCGTAACTTGTACCGTGCTGGCCACCTTCGTCGTCTGCGTCACTTGCACTGTGTTGGTGATGATCTGCCGTGTGATCTCTGTCGAGGTTGCAATAGGCGCTGCCGGTGTTGGTGTTGTCGTCGAGGAGAACTGAGTCGACAGTTTGGCCGCTTCGCTCGCGAGTTCGTTCTCGACACTGCTGAGGTTCAATGGATCTGGGATCTGCTGCGCCGTAACTGCTAATAACGAATGCAATATGAAGAACAGTGATATTATCGACCTCCGATGTATGTGATATCTCGACGCCATTGTGGAATCATCATCGTAGAGTAACAACCGTTGGGGTCGAAAATGGGCCCGTCTGATGAACTAGTTCAAAAAAATGATATAATGAAGTCAGCGTTGGAAGGATTGACGCAGCTGTAGTAACCCTATTACATAGAGAAGAACACTTCGGATCAGGAGAGCTCTGACGAGGCCTTGGTCGATCTCATTGCCCTTTTGGTGAGAACCCGATCGATCGGGTGTTTCGGCTCGCTGATGTGCGGTTACGACTTCTCATTTGACCTTCCCTTCTGACCACATTGAAAAGAGCGAGTGTAAGAAGGTGCCAAATAGGGACGTTATGGACGTGGATGCTCTAGTCCGAATCTGCCGACTTGCATCAGGTTCAATAAAGAAGGATATAGATGGCACCTACTGCTCTCCAGTTAGAGAACTAGAATGTTGATGTGACGCGGCTTCAGCCATAATCTCATCATATACCGATTTGGGTCCTGAGTAAGTGACATCAACTTGGCAACTTGGCACGCGAAACTTGACCACGTTGACTTTTCATCCCATCATCTGCTACACCGAAAGGTGCAGTATACCATGCTGGATTGGGTCACTCCCGTCGCAGCTTCGCCATCATGACATTTTCTGCGTCAAAAGTCAGATAGAACCATCCAGGCTAGGGAACTCAATACCGATCTGCGTCTGTGTGTTTCTCTTCCACGCGTTTCAAGATACTGGATGCGGCCATGTTCCACAAAGAACTATGCGAACTTTTGGTAATTACCGGTGAAACGGCGTGGCAAATCTGGCGAGACGGATGCGACTCCGACCTGTATTCCGGGGTTTGGATCCGTTGCATCGGGATTATCTTACTCGTGTGCAGATCATATCGCAATCCTGTATGATGTGCACATCGTAGGAGTGATGTAAGGCAAGGCCTGTGGTCCACAATTTGCGGGCCGCACAAGGCTTGTCGAAGAAATAGTGGCACTGTAGATCATAATCTACTGGAATAGAGCATAAGAAACAAGTGGCCCGATATATACAAGTTCGTCTCTGACACTTCAGGCAGGTCGAGTGCATCGATTGTCTCGTTTGGGAGAATTTTCAACAAATCTGCAAACCATCAACATATAAAGTCAGGGCCAGTGAAAATACCGACATTTATAACTTTCTTCTTATATTTGCTTGATCATGAGATCACTGTTCACATGCGTACATGAACGAAGACATGGCATCGGCGACCTGAAGCGGATAATGAGTTTGCTATGACAACTATTAAAATGACTTGAGCGTGACCCGATCGCTAGTAAATCGTCGAATTGCTTTGGACGGCTAAACCTAATCTCTATAGAATCATTATATACGTATTGCCCATTAAAAATTATACAAATAAGAGACACCCAGAATTACACGTTGAAGTCGATCGTTAAATTAATACTATCTTCAGTCAAATCCTCAATCATCATACTAAGTCCCAGTATGTCTGCTATCACTGAGCGTATCAGCATCTCCATCCAGGGCACCGTCGAGGAGTTGAAGATTCCTTTGAAGCCCTTCCTACAGGTTCTGAAGGAGCAGCCAGGTTATATCCGCACACGCTGGGGCCCTCAGTTTGAAGACATGCAGAAACTGGAGCTTCTCCTTGGTCCGCCTTTATCCTCAACCGAGCAGAATAAGAAGGATTAAAGAGGACGACCAATTAATTGACTGAGTAATCCAGACTGGGAAAGCATCGAAGCTTGCGAGACATTCAAATCCTCGCCGCAGTTCGCCGAGAGGATGGTCGAGATGAAGCCACTCCTAGCCGGCGTCCCAACCATATACTACATCAGCTTTGTGCCGTATGCACTGGACGATGTCATCGACTCGGTTGTGGTGGAGGCCATCACCTTTACTGACTGCAGCGCTGCAACAGGCGACACGATACGGGTCAAGGTTGAGAAAGCTAGAGGGTTGTCGGGGTGTACTGACTTGGTTAGTGGCCTTGCGCAGGGCGACAACGCTGCAGGCAATTTCGTGGCCATGGTTGGGTGGGAGAGTTTAGAGAAGAGCAAGGAGGCTGATAAGGGGTATACAGAGGGGGCGGCGGACGTGCATCATGTCAACTATAACTTCCCTGTCGAGGGGTTTCGGGGATTGTGAAGATTCAGGCATGCGGACTGGGTAGCTCTATAAGAATGTTGACGTGGTATCTGATGAGCATTCAGTCTACTGACGGTGGTTATCTTCTAACAGGCAGACTGGTAGCGACACAAAGTATAGGATCGACTAGGGTTTAGGAACAACTTCAGATATTTTGCAACACTCAAAACGACCCGCAGAACTAGAATGTACAACTACTTACCCGCATCCATGAGTGTCTGTAAAATCCCATATTCTGGTGCGTGTGAAGTCAGGTTGCGATCAGAATGGTGTGAGAGTGACAACATCATAGTTAATGAATTGATGGGACAAGGCTGATTTAATCTTTTCAGCTTTAAACATTGTATAACGTAGTCTACGGTCCAATTGCACATTTCGGCAGATTTTCGTACGCTACCACTTTGACCTGCGGTTTTTCACCACATAACTATGGTTGGTTCTTGGAATGAAAGTGATATGATTCTAGCATTACATGCGCTTCAATCTGATCCAAAATTAAGTGTACGTCGCGCTGGTCAGATCTATAACGTACCTTTTAGAACCCTTGCGTATCGACGCGACGGTAAAACCGCTCGAGCGATTACGCGATCGCCAACGCAAAAGTTGACTCCTTCCGAAGAAGAGGCAATCGTACGACATATAACCGACCTAGATTCGCGAGCATTTCCTCCCCGATTGAGTGGTGTTGAAGATATGGCCAACCGATTACTTCGAAGTCGCGACGCGGGACGCGTCGGCGTCAACTGGGCCTCGAGCTTCGTAAGACGATAACCAGACCTCCGGACGCGTTTAAATCGAAGGATCAACTATCAGAGAGTCCTCTGCGAAGACCCCGACGCGTATCGCGCGTGGTTTGACCTGGTACGGAATACAATTGCGAAATACGCGATCCAGGAGGAGGATATCTACAACTTCGACGAGACCGGTTTTGTGATGGGCCAAATCTCGTCCGAAATGGTCGTGACGACTTCTGATCGGCGCGGAAGGCCTAGAGCAGCCCAGCAAGGAAATCAGGAATGGGTTACAGTTATTCAAGGCGTTCGGTCGTCCGGTTATGCCCTCCCTCCGTACATCATTTTCGCCGGCAAAACCCACCTCTCGTCATGGTACGAAAACAGCCCATTACCGCCTGATTGGGTTACTAAAAATGGCTGGACTATGAACGAGAGAGGCAAAGATTGGATAAAACACTTCGATCATCACACCAAGTCTCGTACGAAAGGTACTCATCGCCTATTGATCCTCGACGGTCACGAAAGCCATCACTCGACCGATTTCGAGGTATATTGCAAAGCTAACAATATCGTCACGCCTTTTATGCCTCCTCATTCGTCGCATAAGCTCCAGCCTCTTGATGTTGGTTGTTTTCGCGGGTTAAAAAGAGCGTACGGAAAAGAAATCGAAGATCTCATGCGAGCACATATAAGTCATATCTCGAAAGAAGACTTTTTACCGGCGTTTTTAACGCGTACAACGCAACTTTCACGGTTTCAAATATCCAAGGAGGTTTCCGAGGGGTAGGAATAGTTCCGTACGCTGCAGATTATGTCATATCACAGCTCAATGTGAAATTACATACGCCAACACCTCCGGGTAGCTCGGCTGGTCTCCCCGTCCCTTGGGAATCAAAGACTCCGAACAACCCAACCGAAGCCCAATCACAAACCGATTATGTGAAAAACAGGATTGTACGACATCAAAATAGCTCACCAACGTCAATTTTTGTTGGAATAGATCAGATTGCGCGAGGTACAACGAAGGTTATGCATCGGCTTGCCCTTTTAGAAGGCGAGGTCGAATGACTTCGAAAGGCAAATGAGACCTTAAGTCGACGTCGCCGTGCGAAGAAAAAACAGCTACAGAGCGGATGATGGGCGTTGTGGTTGAATTAACTTATACATTGTCGTATAAGGTCTGCCAAAGTGTGTAATTGGACCGTGGACTACGTTAAAACAAATACGACATATTAAGCGCATTTTTTTCTTATCGACTCTCCGCTTCCGGACGAGTCAAGTGCAAAGCTCAAACGTCAGAGTCTAGACTATGAGTGAGTGTCTTAGAGTTTTCACTGCAGACCTTATACGCAGTCCATGTGCAAGGACACCCATACAGTCATTTCATATCCAGGAACGACATTACATCAAACTGCCGGTTGAGCTTGCCGAAAATCAGAAGGCATATTCCGTTGTCCGTTGTCCTGGTCCTAGCTTGAGATGAGGACGGCACTTCACGTGTTAGCGATGGATGAACTTGGTTGAGAGGCTACAGATGACAAAGACGACAACTCTTCTTGGTAAGCCGCGGTCCGAGGTTATTCCCCTTGAAGTATTCCGGGACGTGTGTTATTCCCATTCCCAAGTTATCGGTAGTAGTATATAAGAAACAGATGCACCAAAGGTGTTATTTCCATTGCGACGACACAAAATACGTTCGATTTTGGCATAGCGCACTGAGGCACTGCCCGCGTCGAAGTCAACTCGAGAACGTGTTCTTCATTGTATTCGCGGTCTGTAATAGCGAGCGGAAATATTTTATAATACAGTCTCGCAACACGTTTCAAGTTGGACGGGCAGAAATTCATTAACCGATTGTCCGTCCTTATGAGGATGCTAATCATGTCAACGGGTGCCGAAGTGGTCCCCGTCTCCGACAAGGCGAAATCTGACAAGTTGGTCCCATTGTTAGTGTAGGTGGGGTCGACCCCTGACAGACATGATTAGCGGCCGGGATACAAGACCAATGCCGGGCACCTTTGCCCACCCCTGAGTCGATCAATCGTGTGGAGTTGTGGGTACTACGGCGTTTATACGGAAGCAGCCGATCGATCCGGGGGGCTGGTTTTGTGGCTCTGCTAATTGTATCGAAGCATGTGAGCATTGTTCAACAGTTGGAGACGAGTTGACAGCACATCTGACGGATATAAGCCGACAGACACGTTACAAGTAGCCACAAGTATACCACTAACATGCACCGCCATGTTTTGCGTGTCAAATAAAGTTTACATACGCTTGGACGGCTGTTTCGCACCACCTGCTATACCGTTTCGGGCCACGATGTTTCTATGCCGACTGCTCGTCACCCCACTGTCCTGATCGCCTCATTGGCATATGCAAACTGCCGTTATCCCTGTGAAAGATGTGGGCTGTACAGAATTGGGTAGTCAAAGAGCCACCATCCGCGTTAGACGACACCTACTCGGCACATACTAGACAAACGTCGATGGCCTGTCACCAATCCCCCATCTTGTCCGTGGATAGATTTCGTATCCGGAGATCCATTATAATGGATTGAAATTCATCGCATTTCGTCCAGTATACGAAGGTCACGTCTAGTTCAAAAGCCTTGCCTTTCCTTCCTGTCGTCCAGTTGTATGATTGCAAGAAAGGTTGAAGAACAACTCAAAGTTGCCACAACATTTGGATATTGATATCCATCAACATGGTGAACACGGGTCGACCGAGTCCGGCATGCAAAGCTTGTCGCGCAAGGAGGCTGAAGTGCGACCAGGTGAGCCTAGCTCCACCGAAGGAACTAACACAAACGCATCTACTCTGGACACTAAAAGGAAGCGCGACTAGACTAAGCCGGCGTGCATCAAATGCATTAAGGCTAAGAGGGTGTGTCCCGGCTATAGGGAACCGTTCGAGGTCAACTTTCGCGATCAGACGCAGTCAACAATCAGGAAACACCAACGGTCAAATTCCAACACGAAGAGCATTGAGAGTGACCGATGCAGCATCGACGAGCGGTATGTGTCTCGATTGGCCCATGACGGCACTGCCGTGGACAGACAGCGACTGACAAGAAACTGTAGGCCAGGCTCTTCTTCAAGCGACGAGAGTCCCTCGACCTCACCAAACTACACGCCTGTCTTCGAGTTCACGCCAACAAATACAAAAGACTTCGAAATCTTGCGCCTACAACCTCCCCTAGAGCTGCAAGCTACTTGCTTCTTCGCTACCAATTTCATCGCGACGCAGAGTATGAACCTGGATGGCGGCATGAGGTTTCTTGACCCCCTTGTTCATGGAGCCCAGGAGGGCTCAGCCTTCCATTCCACGTTTCTGGCAGCGTCGATGGCGTCTTTGGCCAGCAGACCCAATGGCGGGTCTCTTGTTCCCCTGGCACGGGTCTATTATCACAAGGCCCTGAGACAAGTGTCCACGGTCGTTCAGGACAGGGACAAATCCAAAGAGGACGAGACGCTGGCGGCCATTATTATGCTGATATTATACGAAGTTAGCCTCCCCCTCACCACCCCCCTCTTTTATTGCTGCCTCTAATCCCTACTACCCATTTAACCACGGAAACTAAAAAAAATAACCCACTCGTAGGTATTAATGTGGGAAGACCAATCCCAAGGCAGTCTCCGCTTCCACATCCACGGTGCGCAAGCCATCGTAAAGCTGCGCGGGCCAGAGCAGAGACGCAGTCCCGTGGGCTATGGCATGTTCGAATTCATCCGGGCATTCATGGTGGGTTTTCCCGCTCGCGGCCCGTACCGGACATATTACGAGTCTGGCCATTACTTCTCCAAAGCACCTGCTGATGGCGGCCACCAGGTCCATCAATACGTACACTCCCCCGACTATGACGCGGGAGATATCAAATGGTGGGCATCGGAAGGAAGCACGGATGAGCCCCGCCATGTGCTGCAGCGGCTCAATGTCGAGGCGACGCTCTTGAGACGCCAGTTGACCCAATTCATGGCCTGCGAGGATATTGACGACGAAGGAGCAGCCAGGGAGAAAACCCCCATGGCATACCGTATATTGAGAAAGGCCAAACGCCTCGACGCCCAGTTAGCGGCCTGGTTCAGGGGTGTGGGAGATGTCTGGCAACCTAAGATCGATCACGTGCAGGACGAAGTGCCGGAAAATCTCCTCCATCGAGCACTCGCGTATCCAGGAAATGTTTACACGTTCAACAGCATCTGGATTTCAGCCAAGTTTCTCAACGCGCACACGCACCGGCTGATACTGGCCGAGATCATGGCCCAGATTGTCGACTGGCTCAGGGAACATCAATGCGGCAGTGGCACTTACGAGACGATGAACTTGGGCATGGGCATAGACATGGACAGGGAAAAGGAGGAAGCCGAATTAATAGCCCGCCAACAAGTTTCCGAGATCGTTGCCATGACGCCGTACTTCTGTGGATGGCCCGACCCCGCCTCGCCTTCTCCATACGGAGGCATGACGTGCAGTTTCCAGCTGTTCGTGTGTGCTTCGAGTCCGTTTATCTCCGCGAGGCAGAAAGCCTTCATGGTTGGAAGACTGAGCCACATCGCCCAATCTTCAGGACTTAAGCTGGCTGGCAAATTTGCCGAGGTAATGCAGTCCTCTGCCCGCTACCTCAATGGTGTAGACGCCAAATTGTTGTGATATACTAACGGATTTGATACAGGGCCTCGTGACCAGACTGAAGGTGGTCGACAGAGACGAAGTTGCACGGAGGGTTTTGTGACAGATTGTGCAAACCTGTCATGTCAGACTCACCGAGATGACACGCAGGTGGCAGGTAAAGATGGGAATGGTGGACCATGTTCCGTTCACAATTAACGAATTCAGTCAACTGATTACGGCTGGTATAGAAAGCCACCATGTACATTCATTTCACTCTAGGTTACTAAGATCGGGGACACAAGACGCCCAAGGACGGGCAACGATTTCTATACTTACAAATGATGACTGAGAAGTTTCTAACGTTAGTATCTACATCCGCGGCTTCGATGATAACAGCTATGGAGATTGATGGTGCAGTAACAGCAATAAAATCATTGTTAGTAACCAGCCCAAGGCATCTACGCCTGACGGGATTTACTAGTGCGACGACAGGAGCCCGTGTTGAGCCTCGGGGCTAATGGCAACAGTACGTGTACCTTTATGCCAGTCAGTATAGGTTCAGACCGCACCGGCCTTCGACTTCCCAAAACTCTCGTTTCCGTATTACCGCTACTATAGAAAGTTGACTGGTTATGGATAGACCCTGAGGACCAAAGCCTTGGCAAAAGCGAACCGTTAGAACTTCCAGGTCGAAACTTCTGGTGTATCAGCAACGACTCAAGCGTGCCGCCAAGAAGCAACGTTCGTTTGTACTTAAAGCCCGTATAGCCACTTTCATTTCTTCGACTATGGTAAGATGAGAGGCATAACAAATTCCATATCTTGTTATTGCTTACATTAAGTCCGATAATAACTATCAACGAGACAGTAATGGACCAATTTCTATCGGCTCATTGAGATGTAAAATAAAAACAGATATTCATTTGTTTCTTCTAGTGCCACTCCAAAAAGAGAACTGAACCCAATATCGAATGCTTGAAAGTATACCTACGTATATATGAAAAAATCTTCTCCATCTACAAGAAGGTGTAGTTATTAGCTGTAACATTTACCAGTGCGTCTCATCAACTGAATCCTATTGACCAGAAAATCCAGTCCACAACTTCTCAACATGGCCTCCGCTCTCACGCATGCCCAAGTTATCTCCTCAGACTCAACACAATCCAAGCAGCAATGCGGTAGCCAGCTACGATGGTCAGCACGATGCCCACATTGCGCCACATATTTCCCGGTTCGAAGCCGTACTGGTCCAGGACACCCTGGCCGCGGATCATACACAGATCCATGAGGTCGGTGCGGTACATGCAGGCGCACTGTCCGGCGATGACGGGGCAGGCATAGACCCGTTCACTAAACTCGTTGACCATCATGCCCTCAAAGACCCACTTTTGGTAGTCCCAGTAGTGAAAAGCGTACTTATAGAAGACGTTGAGGACGCCAGGCGTGACGAGGAAGCCGCTGGTGCTCATCCAGAGGCCGTTGGCCAGCGCAACGAGCGCAAGCGCCACAACGAACGAGGGAAATAGGGACGAGAAGAAGACGACAAGCGACTCGGCTGCTAGCAGGTCAAGGAAAAGCCACATTAGGTAGACGGAAAAGGCGTGGAAGCCAGGGTGGAAGTTGACGAGAAAGTATGAGACGACGGAGAAGAGGAGGGCTATGAGGACTGGTATGTCTTAGTGATATTCATATTGGGAGTAGAACAAGAAAGGGGAAGAACGGGGAAGCACAGGCGGTTGAGGGTTTGCAGCTTACAGAGGTACGGGATGCCGATGATGAAGTTGGAGACGACGAGCGCAGTGGCGCCGTACAGGCCGTTGTGGTATTCCTTGACGTATTGAAGCCTGTCCTCGAGAAAGGCCGGAACGTACGCTACGGCCATAAAAGACATGAAGGCAGATCCGAAGAACTGTGGCACATTATTAGCGACCTGTAGAGGGAGTGTACAACTGCGCTGTAAACTCGGCTACCTTACCAGTCCGTTGATGTAAGGCTGGATGGATGACTGCTCCGGCTTCAACCGCAACCACACCGTACCTATCATGACGCCGAGGCCCAAATACATGGCGATCCGAATAGTGTATGCGATGACGTCCCGGTAGCTTTTGATGAAAGACCGATGAAGTAATGTCAGGATCGTACTCAAGGAGCTGGGTTTCGTCCCTGACGGGGCACGGTTTCGACTGTCTGTTACTCTATGTGCTTGTGACTCAGCTTCGGCAATAGCGGCTTGGACATGACGACGATGCGATGAAGCTCCCCACGCCCACTGCAAATAGTCGATGTGCTTCTGGGCAGGGCCGCGGTAGGCGACAAAATCGGTGTTTACCAGCTCCAACATGAATTCGGCAACATTGGTGTGCTGTGGGATGGCATGACCGACAGCATGATAGTGGCCCTCAACGGCGGTGACGGGGCCAAAGAAGTGCGTCTTGCCACCAGAGAGCAACATGACCTTGTCGAACAGGTTGAACGTCGACGTCGACGGTTGGTGGATGCTGGCAATGATAATGAGATTGTTCTGCTTGGCGGCGGCGCCAAGGAGGCTCATGACCTCCCAGCTAGCAGTGGAGTCGAGACCGCTGGTGGGCTCGTCGAGGAACAGGATCGTGGGACTGGCGATGAGCTGGCTCGCCACGCCGACGCGACGCTTCTGGCCCCCGCTCACTCCCTTCCGGATCGGCGTCCCGATCAGAGTGTTGGCTTGCTTTTGCAGGCCGAACGCCTTGATTAAGCCACGGACACGCGAGATACGGTCCTTGGCCGAGAGTGTCCTAGTTTATAGTCAATTCCTCCTATTCCATAGGACCACAGCTAGGTTCAACAATATCTCAAGTCATACCTGGTGCTGACGGAGAGGCAAGCAGCGAAATCCAAAGTTTCTTCGACCGTTAGTGACCCAATAAGAGCGTCTTCCTGTTCAACAAAACAACTCATCTCTCGAATCGTAGCCCTCGAGACGGGTGAGCCGTTAATCAGAACCGACCCATTCACTTCGCGTGCATTTGTCGGGCGATGTGCAAGAACCTGGAGTACTCGAGAGCTTAGCTTTCAATACATTTCAAGCGATTGACTGATTCACACCCCCATCACAAGGTTGGAATATGAGGAGACTCTGGCATCAAGTAAAACTGCTAATACGAAGGAAATATTACGCACATTCAACAGAGTCGTTTTTCCACACCCCGAAGGACCCATCAAAGCACACATCTCCCCTGTAGGTAGTTAGGACCCTTCAATAATATTTCAAAGCAAGACCGAGAACCTGGGGACGCACCGGCTTCCACAATTCCCTCGACATTGTCCACGATCCGAAGGGGTTCACCTGTTTCCTTGTGCTTGACCATCACCGCCACATCTCGCCAGGAGATGCTGGACACGGTCGTATTAAGGAGATGATCTCCGCTCAAGACGGATTTCTCCACGTCGGAATCGTTCACTTGACCAGTGTAATCTGTACCCTCTCGCTGCAGTTCTCCGTTGGCTGACATGCTGTATGTTGGGCTTCGGAGATATGATGGGGGACTAGGGTTCGTAGAGCTGGTGATTCTTCTTGCCAAGATGAATAAGAATATGGATTGGTATATATAGGAAAATTGTATTATTAGTTAGGTATGTCAACTCTCTTAGACATCCCAAAAACACCACCAAGAAGGAATAGTACATAAAGATTGGTGTCATATTAGTTATCTGGTGAGATGCTGTATGCTAAAAATGGTCGCCGAAATCCTTGCTGCAGTGTTCTTTCCAGCACACAAGTCACTCGTGTAGCCGGTCAAAACCCGCGACATTTCAAGTAGTTTCGAAAGGTTAGCCTGTGGATACCGACAAAGAGAGCGCGGTACAACACGAGCGAACTAGGAGTACGATGATTCTGAGTTGATTAGCTTCATTTCCATTTTGACGCTCAACAGTTACAATCCAACGGTTTAAGCTCGGCTTCGCTTCCCGGGTGCCAATGGCTCCGTTCGCTGCACAATGCTTGGACTTCTCCAAGACACTGCTGAATACCCCCGGTGTTAGTGGCACTATAAGACTTGACATTCTGTTTTACATACAATCAGATGAAAGCCGAAGACACAGAACCCGAAAGAACGAGTCATCAGCTCATATGAAGTTTTCGAAACATGGGTCGATCTACGACATTGTGACAGGCTTGTTGCACGACAAGTTTTCATGGTGGATAGAAGTGCCAATGCGCTGAGCTGACATCCTCAGAATAGTGAAGCTCTGCAGGCCAGTTTACCCCTCAACACCTGCATAGCATCGATATAGTACAATCTTTCGTCTAGCTGGGTTTGCCGGCCCTGGATCCACGCCGATGACGGATATCGGAACCTAATCCCTAAGGCGCAATGCCCGGAGACCCCCGCATTATAAACGTAGCCCACCTGCGAATGACCTGATCGGGTCACAGAACGTTCAAAACCCTGGATTGAGATTGAATTTCTTGACGCGCAAGGAACCACTACATATTTGAGCTTTCCTCGGAGTCACACGTCGGCGAACTGGACCCGTCTGCGCTGATACGGTCATATTATTGGTGACTATACCAAAATCATGAGCATCAAAAAGGTCGCCGTCCTAGACGACTACCAAGGAGTCTCCAAATCTTACTTTCAACCCCTGGGCGATGCGGGATATGATATCACCATCTTCGCCGACACTCTTCTGCCATACAATCACCCGGACACACCTCAGGATGCCAAAGATGCCCTGGTCAAGAGACTCGAGCCATTCCCTGTCATCTGTGCGTATCCCCACTTCCGGTGATCATATCGTGTCGGCAACCACATACTGACAGTCCACAAGGTACAATGCGGGAACGTACACCCATCCCCGGCGACCTCGTGGCCAAGCTGCCCCACCTCAAGCTGCTTCTGACAACGGGCGCTCGCAACGCCTCTATCGACGTCAAGGCCTGTTCAGACCGTGGCGTGCCCGTCGCCGGCACTACTAGTGCGCGCGTGAGTCCTGACCAGACTACACAGCACGGCGTGGCGCTCATACTCGGGCTGGCACGGAACCTAGCCCACGACGATGCAATGATGAAGGCCGGTGGGTGGCAGACCACGACTGTGACAAGCTTGTCCGGTAAGGTGTTTGGGACCGTTGGTTTGGGCCGCCTGGGTTCGGCAGTGGCCAAGATCATGAAGGTGGCATTTGGGATGCGAGTCATATCGTGGAGTCCCAATTTAACGCAGGAGAAAGCCGATGCGCAGGCCAAGGCAGCAGGGCTAGCCGTTGGAGATGAGCGTGGCAACAAGTCTTTCGAGGCTGTGAGTCGGGAAGAATTATTCAGCAATGCTGATGTGGTTAGTGTGCATCTGGTCCTTTCCGATCGGTCGAGGGATTTGATCAACAAGGACGACTTCGGCAGGATGAAGAAGAGTGCCTTGTTCGTCAACACGAGTCGAGGTCCCATTGCTAATGAGGATGATCTGCTGGAGGTTGCAAAGAAGGGCACCATCCGTGGAATTGCTCTTGATGTGTACGGCATTGAGCCATTGCCCAAGGATAGCGGGTGGAGAAACCCTCGATGGGGCCAAGACGGGACTTCGCATGTGCTGCTGAGTCCGCATATGGGTTACGTTGAGGCAAACGATTTGGGCGTGATGTACCAGCAGCAGGTCGAGAACATTCTACGCTGGGAGAAGGGGGAGGCTCTCTCCACGGTGTACAAGGATACCGGATATTGAAGCAGCTTTGGAATTTCTCATCGTACAAGGTAAAGCTCATTGTGTTCTGTCCTTACTCTCTGTCAGCAACATGGCCTTCCACTGTTTTTGTGCGTGATTGAGGCTGTGAATATCCGTTGTATTGGCATGATATCCTTCAGCTGACCGAAACAGTGTCTTTGTGCGTTGCATACATATGGGGTCAGTGACAGAATGAAAGTTACATTACTTCTTTGACGGATGCTTTGTGCAGCTCCTGAGGCATTGGCACAAGCAGGAACGTTGCCAGTCCTGAACTGCTGCGACACTTGCCATACAGGTACATCTGTTCCAGCGGAGAAAAGAGGTGCATGGCTGTCATCGCTTGTAATTTCACAAGGGTTGAATGTCCCGGGCAAGAGTAGGAAGCTGCTATTTCAAACAAAGGCCCCAAAGGCCCAGCTGGGTAACAGATTGTGCCCAAAATGAGGCTGCAATCCAGCAAGCCTCTTGCTGTCCAATTTGACTAGGAGGTCCTTTGGCACCGCAGGCAATCGCGTTTCCAATGTGGCTTCCTTTTTTGTTGATGGAACTGCGATTGCCCCACGACTCCTCATGGTGACAAGCGTTGCTACACCTAGGCACCACACCGCGCACCTGCTCCCCGGCGTATCTACGTTCAATTCCGTGACTGCCCAAAATACCGATATCTTTTTCAATTCCATCAGCAGGTCTACTAGGTTCACCTCCAATTCTGTTTCTGCAATCCACAATCGCCGACCTCTCGTCATCAGCCACAGTCTATTTCATCACGTTCCTTAGCAAGCATGGCAATGGTCTCTGCTCAAGACAACAGCGCTGCCGTCGCCTCAGCCGGCAAAGAGAGCACCAAACCCGGTATGAATATGCACGATGCTGTAGCTATTTTCAAAAAGCCTGCCGAAATGACTGACGTTTTTCAATAGAAGCTCCTGGGAAGATTTCCGGTGACCTGCCCGTGAACACACGCCCTGAGTCTGCTGTTTTGGCTACAACTTCCACCGGCCCAGTCCCTTCTGGTACCACCGCCACTTCAACGTCTGCCTCTGTGAAGGCAGACCCCTACAGCACTGGCCCTAGTCCAGAGAAAGGCTCGGGGCAGGATCGATTCCGCCAGATGATGGCTCAAGCGCCAAACTTCCCCAAAGGCTCATCTGCTTACACTGATCTCGACACACATAAGTCTGAAAACTCGACGCCTAATGTCCTTGTCGGCCCTCTCTCTGGCTCAGCTGCCACTCCCGAGAAGAAGACGGTGCGCTTCGCAACGGAGTCTGCGTCGGACAAGGATACCGACAAGGGCCAATGCCACCAGTCACTCTCAAGCGTGCCCGGCCTCTCTAACCACATCAGACCGTCTTCTACTGGCCCGTTTGCCCAGTCAAACACCATAATGCCCTACGCAGCCGCAATGAGCATGGGTCATGCCCAGTACAGTACGTGCCATATCCTATTTTCATGTGAAATGTCCAACGTCCATTGACCACTCGGCCTGGTGAAGTGAGCTAACTAAGCATCCTAACCAGGTCCTTACTACAGCAACATGATGCCACAGCCCCATGACGACCCCCGGATTGCCATCAATCCAGCTATCTTCCCTTACGCCGTCGACGTTAGTCGCACATCCGACTTGTCGTCTGCCAGCGTAGCTAACGATGCCACCGACGTCAATAGCGCTGGCTACAGCAAAGGCGGCGGCGGCGGCGGCGGCGGAGGCAGTGGGAGCCGAGTCGCTTCTGGCACCGCCGCTTCCGGCAACCGCGCCACGAATATCAACGCAGGTAGAACAGGAGGTACCAATGGAAATGGCAATGGCGACAACTGGACTCCCACCTGGACATCGATCCTGAGTGCTGAGTGTCAGAAGCGACGCTTTAACCCCCAGTTCTCAGAGTGGCAGACGCCTGATGGGGCATTCCATGCGTCCGTCAACGTCAACGGATTCATTGTTCATGACAGTCGCAACTTCAAGAGTGCCAGCGAAGCCAAACAAACCCTGGCTAAGAGGGCCCTCGCCCATGTTCGCAAGACCCCCGCGCCCAAGCAGTCCAACGGCGCTGCTGAGAAGCTGAAGCACGACCTGCTGCAGCAGAAGCAGCAGCAGCAGAACGCGGGTCGTGATGGTTCTGGATCCGTTCCTGCTAAGATTAAGGTGGAGGCCGGTTACGATCATTATGCTGGTGCAAGCGCCACTCGGCGTGATGCTCCCCGTGATGCGATCCGGGACCAGTCCGCTGGTAATGTCGGCACGCCTGATCAGGATCGTCGGCTTCTGGAGAGAGTTCAAGCCATGTATGGTCGCTCGCAGCCGAGCCACCGGATGTATTCCGATCCCGTGGCAGCTCGTGCTTTCTTGGAGGGCTTTGCCCTGGGCGGTCGGCTACGAGAGAATGCTCGCCCTCTTAATGAGGGAGAGAGACGTCGCTCGCGATCCCCGAGGGCCGGGTACGAGTGGGACGGTCGCGCGCGATTCCCCCACGAGCGATCTCCCCAGACCCCGACCAGTCGCTACTATCGCGAGCGCTCGCCGTCGATGTTCATCCACCGCCGCGATTCTTTGGATGGCCGCATCAGATATCAGGGTTAACTGGGTTCTCGGGAGGTTGTGGATGGAGGATGAGAGAGAGCTTTGGGGACGGAAAGAAAGGCTAGACTGGAGACGAGATGATTATGACGCTTGAGCTTGACATACCAGTTGATTTTTGGGAATCCCGCAGCGCATATGCGCGCTGAATATACCACCTGTACAGCAGGTGGTACTTACTTGATGCACATTCACGTGATCTTCCATGTTCCGTGTTCGACCAGACTCAGAGATGGGCATCTCATACCGCAATGCCATGCTAAACTTGCCATGATTCCTACTGTACGTAAAATTTACACTTACAGGTTATGTCCTAGTTTCGGTGATTCCTACATCTTGCTGGGCATCCTCATCCCACCATCCAGCCTGATCACTGTCCCATTCAGCATTACATTCTCGATCGCATGCCTAGCCATTGCGGCAAACTCCTCGGGCTTCCCAGGCCGCCTGGGGAACTCGATAGCAGACTCCAAGCTGGTGCGGACCTTTGCACTCATCATGCTCGTCATGCGACTGTCGAACAGACTGGGCGCAATGGTGACAACGCGGATCCCATACCGTGCCAGATCTCGTGTCATGGGCAATGTCATAGCCGCGACAGCTCCCTTGGATGCAGAGTATGAGACCTGTCCCTTTTGGCCATCGAACGCTGCCGACGAGGCGACCATGATGACCACGCCGCGCTCCTGGTCGTCATCCGTTGGCGGAGTTTGGGCCAAGTGCACAAGGGCCTGGCGAACGAGATCAATAGTGCCCCGCAGATTGACGTTGATGACGAAGTCAAAGTTATCCAGATCCATAGCTTGCCCATGGCGATTGAGCATGGTTGCGGGCGTGGTGACGCCGGCGGCGGAAACCACGCCGCCGAGAGGTGCGCACGTTTGCTGTGACCATGACACAGTTCCCGAGACGGCAGAGGCGATGCTGGATGTCTCGAGCACGTTGCAGGGAAAGAACTTGGCGCGGCGGCCGAGTTGGGTGGCGAGTTGAGTGCCGTTCTCCTCGTTCATGTCGAGGATGGAGACATGGCCGCCCGCTTTGATCAACTCCTCAACGCAGGCTTGGCCTAGGCCGGAGGCGCTGTTTGATGGTTAGACATGCACGGGAATTCGAGTCAGGTGGGAGGGGACGAGTACCCGCCGGAGATGATGAAGGTTCGACCCTCAATCTTCATTTTGACGGTAGTAGAATACTGGGAAATAGAATTTCAGATGATACTTGTGCACCGCCCTCTCATCATGGTGGGAGGTGCGTGTCTGACATACGTGATGTATGAGCTAAGGGATATGGTAATGTACTTCAAAGCATGTTAGTCGGCAAATGCCAGAGGCACGCGACGTGGTACAGCCGGGCCAGGCCTGTTGGAGGGCACCTGAGCACGAGCCAGGAACTTTACCCACCCTCGGAAGCAGCGGGCGGCTAATCCACGCCAGACTTCTTCTAGCCGTCGTCACTATCAGTTTGGACAGGGAAGGTGGATAGCGATCCGTTGCCCGCTGATAAGGCTGCTCAAAGCCTAAAACCTGAATTTCCATACCAACGTCCAGCCCTCATATGACACTGAATGCGCCCATTTGCGACCACCATCTCCTCTGTGCAGCATTTCAACGACACCTAGGTGATTTATACTATGCTACACTGCCTGTGTGACAACAAGGAAAGGCTCAGAGTGCTGAATTCGACGATACCCGACAAGTCACGCAGGTGATAGTGGAGCCGACCGCCATTATGACGCGTCCGCGACGCTCGTCGGTTGCGAGCGAGGAGAGCACAGGGACTGCGGGTGAGCAGGAACTGGGGAGCATGTACGATTACCTGGCCAAGATCATCCTGCTAGGGCCGAGTGGGACGGGAAAGTGAGTTTCGCCATTTCGATACGGAATTCGGTGTTGGTTTCAATGGGCATGAATACCGGCGTGGAAAGGGATAGATAACAGAAGAGCAGAGCAGAGCAGAGCGGCATGCTGACATGGGCGCTTCCCAACCAGATCGTGCCTCCTACATCGCTTCGTCAAGAGTGAATGGCGGGTCCTCTCGTCCCAGACCATCGGGGTCGAGTTCGCGAGCAAGATCATCAAAGTCGGCACGGGCGCAAGGAGGAAACGGATAAAGCTCCAGGTACTTTGATTTCCAACAGCACTGCATGCATCTCGTTCAATTCTGACCGGTTGAAACACCCCAGCTCTGGGACACAGCAGGCACAGAACGCTTCCGCTCCGTCAGCCGCTCGTACTACCGAGGCGCCGCCGGGGCCATCCTCGTCTACGACATCACCTCGCACTCCTCCTTCCGGTCCCTCCAACCCTTCCTCAACGACGCGCGCGCCCTCGCCTCGCCTCATCTGACCATGGTACTCGTGGGAAACAAAGTCGACCTCGCAAACGACTCCCTTATCGACACGTCACTCCCCCCAGCCACGCCCTCGAGTACGGGCTCAAACATGCCATATGGCACTTCGGTGCAATCTAACGCGAGCATAAACCTCCCTGGCCTCGGCGCCCAACAGCGCGCCACCTTCGCGCCCGACGGCCGTGAAGTATCGAGTGCCGAGGCATCCCGCTGGGCGGGTGGGGTATCCGTGCCCGTTGCGCTCGAGGTATCGGCCTTCAGCGGCGAGGGAGTAGACGAGATCTTTGGTCGGCTGGCGAGGATGATTCTGACCAAGATCGAGCTGGGCGAGATTGACCCCGATGATCCGATGAGTGGGATACAATACGGCGACGGGGGCATGTGGAATGCGGGCGCGAGTGATGGGGGGAGTATCAAGAGTGGGATGACGGTCGATTCGGGCATGGGCGGCATGAGGAGAAGGAAGAAAAAGGGAGGAAGGGGACCGGTCGCTTTGAGGGAGTGGGAGGAGGTGTTTACGCTTGGGGGTGGTAGGAGAGGTAGGGGCTGCTGTTGAGGGGGTTCGGGGGAATGGTGCAAAGGCACCGACACCTCCTGGGGGTTCGCGAGTGTTGAGTCCGACCCAAGGTCCACTCGCCTTACACGAGTCCTGCGATTGCAGTAGAGTCTCCAGGTGTGCAGAGATATAGAGGGAGCTGGCCTAGCCAGTGCGGTTTTGTCTGGAAACAGGACATGCACAGTGGAAGCGATGATACCTACTTGCTCTCGTTTTTGGCATATTTGGCGTGCTGCCTACATGGATATTGACTGCAGCAGTCTGATAGAATAATGTACGGTTTGATTGTTTCCTCCAACGCGGATATTAATCCGAGGTACGCAGTGAATGTCGAGATCGGCTAGTGAGCTGGAATCGGAGGGATACATGGTATCATTGCGGTTGTCTGTAAGTGTTGGCAGAGTCCACAGTCCAATGAGGTGACGGGGTATTTGAGGCTCTGTCCATTAGTTTGGGTCGACTGATAAGATATAGTGCTCTCAGGCATTCGCGTTAATGAACGGAAGTACTGCCTATTTCGGTTGTCCTCGTCCAGGAAAATGATCGTGGCCCAATCACCATTCTGCATATAGCCTGAGTAGGGTCGATAGTCACCGACCCAAGCCCCCATCTACGCCTGCTTCCTGTTGGTCTAGGCTTAATGTGAACCGATATTCGAGGTCTATGTTCAAATATAATATGAACCCATAGGCCAATGAACCAATAGTCGGGACTTCGAGTGTTGGTTCATATTAAGCATAGATCGACAGGTAAACGACGTTAGAAAGTCGGGCTGTTCACTATTTAACTACCTGTTGCTTGAGCAATCCAGCCTTGGTGGATGATGCAATACAGCAAGAAGCGACCGGCTTTCTCGCATATTCCCAACATGATCAGCCGAGCATTTCTTCAGTTTTTGCTTGTTGGCTCGGCGACTATTGCTGGCGCGCGCCGGTGCACTGAGCTTACGGTGCCAGTCAACGTGTCGAGCCGCAATGGAATATTCGACCTTGAAGCACCTTCCAACAAGGTGGCAGTGACGGACTTTGTCTTAAACCTCGCCCGGCAAGGCCACAACTACAGTAATGAATTGCTGTTGGGTGTAATGCTGCCACGCCTTTCCATTTCCACCTCACGCCTCTGATTCACTGACAATAAGCAGTACACCACCATGAGCAGTACATACTCCATCGCCGCCACCTACTGCGAACCCGACGCCGGCCCTGGAAAAGCGCTGCAAATCCTCACCCACGGCATTGGTTTCGACCGGTCGTACTGGGACTTCCCCACCAACGACTACAACTACAGCTACGTCAATGCCGCTCTCGCCGCCAACTACAGCACCTTCACCTATGACCGGCTCGGGACAGGCCAGTCCTACGCCCCCTCCAATAGCCCCATGACCGACATCCAGCCCTGGCCCGAGATCTCGTCCCTCGGCGCCCTGACCTCGTTGATCCGATCCACCGCGCTCCCAGGGGTTTCAGCTACGTATCCCAAGATCTTCCACATTGGCCATAGCTTCGGCAGCCGCATTACATACAATCTGGCTGCTACCTACATTTCTGAAGCGGAACCCATTTCAGACGGCATCGTTCTGACGGGATTCAGTCACGTCACTTTCCTTGATCCCTATAGGCTCGTTGGCCCGTACTTCCCTTTCGGCTGCAACTTCGTCCAGGCCAACACCTTTCCCCGTTTCTCCACCTATCCCGATGGCTACTTGGCCCTGGGCGCCTTGAGCGCGCTGCAGATAGATTTCTTTGCCCCGGGAAACTTCGACCCGGACATAGTGGAGGCTGCTTTTGAGTCTACACAGCCTGTTGCAGTGGGGGAGCTGTTGACGTTGAATAATCCAGGCAATGTGAACAGTACGTTTGAGGGCCCGGTGCTTGTTATGACTGGTGGTGAGTTAAGACGGTCCACATCCCTTCGCTTCTTTTCAAGTGTCGATGGCAAATGAAGTGCATGGACTAATATGGTTCAATGAGCCAGAGCGTGATATTCCAGCCTGTGGTGGAAACTGCATGATGGCGGAGCCATCAATACCCGCCTTGTCCCAGCAATTCTTCAAGAATACGACAGACTTTGAGACCGTCATCGTCCCCAATGCAGCCCATGGGCTTAACCTGGTAACCTTTAATCCCACTCCATAACCTTACGTTAGTTTCGCTAACCGAATTGACCAGGAATACTCCCACTCGGAGGCTTACACCGCTATTTTGGACTTCTTGGACAAGAGGCTCTAGTAGGGCAAGGTCTTGACCTGTTTCAAGCTAGGCTATTGACATGGCGTTGTCGTAGCATGGGGATTTGGTCATAATGCGGCACGAGGTCTTAAATCGAGAGGAAATGAAGAGCGTGACATGGGTTTGTATTTTGTCGGCAATGATAAATATAGACATTGGCTGGTAAGCTGACTTTCTGCAATAGCAACATTGACACCACCATGTGGTCTGCTTGCGGTAAACTATAGTGCCCATCTATAATGTGCCAATTTCCCATTTTGGAATCAGATATCATGTGACCAATATCTTCCACTTTTATCCACAGCACTCAAGTGTAATATTCAGTTAGTTGTGCGTCACTCTCCCTTCTCCTCGCTGGAGAAAACTGACAAACATAAATATCATCCGCTTCCCCGATGCACGGTATTCTCAGAAGAAACAACCAAAAGAATAAAAAAAAGCATTGTAGGCAATAGAGACAAGAGAGCTGTGCTAGCGATGGTGATGACGATAATCATGGGACTAACTCCCCAAAGGCTGCCACAACGGAAGGGCTATCTGAGGGCATTTGGCCCGAGCGCTGCACCCAGCGCGCATCCTGCTTGCCTGGGGCACACAACGGAGATGCAGTCAGATCTCGCCTGGTTCACTAATAGACCTATCAAATCAGACTACCATCCGTCGATATTTCTCTGTCGGAGTTTTTCTAATAGCCTACAACCCGACTCCATGTTGCCTATTATATGAAAACCCCTGCACCCCCACAATCCGATCTTGACTTGAACTTCACTTTTGTTGTCTTCTCATCCAAACTTGTAAGGGAAACAGTCTATTTGAAAATCCACGTCCGAAACTCGAGACCGCCCAACCATTAACATTGCGTCAAAATGGCCGACCAACCCTTCTTCCCACCCCGCCCTCAGACACCCCAGGCCATGCTCCACCGCCTGCCAGACAAGCCTACGGATTCGTCGGAATTCAGCACCACCCCATCCAAGTACATCATCCTTATCATGGGCTCCACAGGCGTAGCTGGAAAAGTGCAAATCGCCACCTCAGTCTCCAAGGCGCTATCATGTCCCCTCTATCAAGGCGACAGCCTGCACGAGTCATCGGCTAAGGCAGCCAGCGTTGGCACGTCGAAACGCCCTGGGGCGGCGAGTGAAGGACGCCGAATCCGCCAACTGCGGACCAAATGAAGCGCGCTACCAACGGATGTGGCTGTCCAAGATGACCCGAACTGGCCTTCTGTTCCCCGATGAATCACGCCCCGCCAACGAGGGCTTCTCCGGATTCGGAGGTGCATCGACCTCTACCAGCCGCCGTGGCTCAGCCAGCTCTATCGCATCCACTGCCTCAGATGCAGCAGGTTCCACGACATCCAGCATGTCCCACAGCGTTGGTTGGGCGAACGCAACCTATGTCAACAAGCCGCCTACTACCGTCTTCGCAGCTGTCTCCGAGAATGATAGACTGCAGCAGAGTAACCCGGCCATCTTGGTTTTGACACACACTGAATTGGAGAAGTGGCACAAGCTTGCCATCAGGAAGACGGTGGGGGAGTACAGAATTGGGGTTATCTTTGTACCGTTGTACGAGGACGATGATCTACCCGTGTTGAAACGGCTAGACCAGAGTACTATGACGAGCTTCGGCTCGTTTGGGTCACGCGGTCCCGGTTGGGCGCAAAAGAAAAGAGGCATCCTGGAGGAGGGAATAGGTTTGAGGATTAATGTGGAAAGGCGAGTGGGCGAGGTTATTGAGGAGATCGTGGAGAGGGTTAAAGACATTATCTACATTGACTAATATAACTCTCTGACTTCGAAACTCTTTGACGACCGTTTTCTCGCTGGCTTTAGCTTGGTGTACAAAATCACAACTTGAACACCACTATACGCAAATTTCCCAATGACCATCCGGTAGACAACTGTTTGACACCTCTCATCTAAACGTACTTGTTTGATCCATCAGCAGCCACAGCCAACCCTCTAAAAGCTATACCTCAGATAAGTGGCCATAGTCTTGAAGTACGGAAGACAACAGTAAATCCACAGCGTAATCCGGTACGCCAACGGGTACCTCTCAAACCCAGGCACATCCACCATACCCAACTGATTCTGCAGTGTAACCCCACATTCTTCCATAATCTTAGGATCGTCCAGTCCGCACTGCACTACCGCACCTGTTTTGTGTACCGGCTTCAACCATGCCTGCAGTCTCGCCAGCATAGCCCCAGAGGCATCAAACGCCACCTCCCCACTGGGGAACCTCCCTGCGATGAGTTCAACCAGCTTCATACTCTCTGCTAGGCTGAGGTACATAACCAGGCCCTCCATGACAGCGATGGTAGGCCGATCCTTCGGAACATCCTCCAACCACCCGTCATCCGTAACACTCGATGCAATCATACGGTAGTCCCCTTTCAGGTGCGTATCAGGTTCCGAATAAAGCTTCTTCCTCAAATCTATGACATCCGGGAAATCGACGTCGATCCACCTCACCCCAGGCCGTCCCCAATTGACGCGCAGATGGCGACTGTCAAGGCCGCAAGCGAGATGTAGCACTGTGGCTTCGGGGTTTTTATCGAGAAATTCAGTGGTCCAAACATCGAGAAGGCGGGCGCGGAGGAGCATGCTGGTCGAGAGACCCGCATCAGATTGGGTGCGCGTCGTGTCGTAGTCGATAGAATTGAGGATCTGGCCCGCCCATTGGTCGTGCAAGAGGGAGTTGGGGTCTTGGAAGTCTTGTAGGCGTGCGAGGAGGGGGACCATCAGGGTTTCTTGCACGCCGACGAGGGTGATTCTCTCCTTGGTAGATGTGGTTTTAGTGGTGGTGGATCCCATCTTAACGGCGCTGGTTCTGGATCGTGGTGAGTTTGGCGAATAAAGGGAAATAGATATAGTCACTTGGATTATGCTTTCCGGCGCCTTTTTGGGTCCGGTTGTAATTATACAGCGGGCAGGCTAGGTATAGCGTCTAGGAGAGTTTCCCTGTTGGCTTACGAACGCCTGGGGACTTCCATTTGTCAGATTCTTGCGGGGGTAAGGGGGCTTTTATCTTTCTTTTGGCTTGGTCGTGGCAACTGGGTTTGGCTTCTCGAGATAGGATAACGTTGACAGCTAACGCAATTCGGGTTTGGTCGGGCTCACTGACAAAACTAGATCGCCGTTCAAAATTTCATAGTGCTTGGTCTAAATGGGATGAAACCGAACTGTCGGTCACCGGTCACCAATTAACCAAGGGAACAGCTAATTTGAGCTCGGCCTGCTACCTAGGTAATTTTATGAATGACGCCCGAAAGCATTTTATTGGATAATCTCATATGCCCCTTTGATAATACTATCAAAACTACTTGATCATTTAATTGAGCCAGTTAGATTGCGGCATACCTACATATTATTCTCGTGTGTTTAGCTTATACGTTGCTGAAAGTCAGACTGATAATACGAAGGTTCAAAGAGTCCGGGCTACGTTCTCTTGGCACCAAGTTCTGGCGCTACATGGCAGACCGCTCACTAATCTTCCAGCTGGACGGAGGTCCGAGATCTGGACGAATCGCATATTTTGAAGATGAACGAAGTAGCGTATCAAGGATTATCAGTGCCTCCTCTCGTGACTTGTACTATCCACTCTTTACTCGTATGGCCAGCTCAGGATCTACCCCAGCTATTTTTGATTCCACTACACAAACGTTGCATCCTTCAGACGGTCTTGGTTCTGTCTTCATCGCAGATAAGTGAATTTAAGGGCATGGTTGTCTCTTGTTTGGATTAAAGAGACGACTTTTACCCCGAGTAGGGACAATAACTTGAACGCGTAGCCATCTGATGAGCGTGAGAGTAGGCTTGGAAGATGGGATATGGCAGTGGCAGATCCAAAAAGATAAATGACCAATAACCCTCTGGGTGCTAGTGAACCGGAGTTATGGGACGCAGTGAGGTATTATCAGAATGAGCGGCTAGGAATTGCATGATTTCGAGAACAACATATACTTAGTGGAGTCATGCAGGTGAAACACTGCGACTGATGTTTATTGTGATAGCTTCTATCATCATCCAAAACTTTGAATCTTGGGCAGTTTGACTAGGTGAATGGAGTTGCTTAGGGCAACGACTGGTATAATTATTTTGGGTCCTGGACAGTATTCCCTTTCGTAGTGATACTCAGCTGTCTATGACATCACCCGAGAACTCTGATCTGCCAGGTCAATGTGTCTTATATGCTCGGGCAATCTAGTCTTTTCAATGCGCCCAATGCGCAATGCGCAATGCCCAACAATGGTAATTACGTAGTTGTTATTTCTGATGTGGTTGCAGCTGGACCCTTACCTGAACACAACGACCCACATTACGAGTAGACGAGGTGGACTGTAGTACCTGCAGGGATATTCATCACTCACTACTGAATAGACGCAGGGGACCAACTAACAACTTGGCATCCACTCCACCACAACATTATCGTATACTCAACCCCTGGTTGTTTATCTCTTTGCGTCACACCAGTTTATGTTGTTCTTGTATCTTGCATTGGTGCTGAATACCTTGCATCGCCATTAAATTTACCTTGTTACAGACAAGATAACTACTCAACGTGATGTCTCTCCTGGCATCATAATAGACGATTATACGATGCAATGGATGCAGCAAATTGACGTCAAGTCCAAGTATGCCGAAAACGAAGCCCTTGAGCCCAGTTTCTTCGAAGATGAGTGGAAGACACCCTTATCGAGACAGGAAACATTCCAGAACACTTTCCACAGTTTCGAATTGAGAATGTCACATCAACATATACGACAAAATCATCACACAGCGTCTCGAGCACGTCAAAACCCTTCATCAAAACCTCGAGAATCACCTAAAAGCGGCCTCTGCGTACAAGGTGGGCTTCATTTGATCGAGAGTTGAGCATTTGTCAATACAAGTAACTAACTTACTACTAGTTCTCGGATCAAGCTACTCGTACGGCTCGTTGACTAAGCACCGAAATTCCCAGCTGCGTTAGTGGGAGTTCAGGGCCATAGCGGCAGCCCAACGACTGATCGTAGGGGCATGGCATATGGGAGAAACAATCCGTGCCGAGGAACTACTTGCGGATTTAGCTATGGCACCTAGTGGTGACTATTCCACTCACACTAGTATCCAAAATCGCTTTCTACCTCTGGACACGATAAACCCGAGTCGCAGGGTGAGCCGAAACGCAAGCAATTCGACAGGGCTTGCAGCTTCGCACGCGGACAGACAAGACACTTGCAAACCTTCAAGAGCCTAGTCGCACTACGCAGAATCTAGGCGCACAGACGGTCGACTTTGACGATGTCTTTAAGAACGGAGAGGCAGAGCCACAACGTATGATTTTCGCTTGTCCAAACACCGCAGCTGGTGGTGCTTCCTTCGTTTTGACTAACATGCCTGAATTTCGGGCGCAACCCCCTTTTTGGGGCAGCTAGCCATCTCGCCCGTGATAAACAGAAATCTATCGAGCGAGCATAGTTTAGCTATGCGGATGCTGAACGCGACAATGCGATTTTCAAGGTTTGCGAGAAAACGCACTGCCACCCCATCCCAGTGGCAGGGATCCAGCCGAAATCGTGTGATCGATGAAATCACCCTGAGCGCACTGGGCGATGCAAGAAGACGGTCTGCGTTCTAGCCTCGAAGACGCCGGAAGTGCTGAGCAAGAAGCGAATATAGGTTTTCTTATCGCCCTCTTGAGGGGCACGAAAGTTTGACAGGTTCACCGGACTAGTCAACCGAATCGCCATGCCAAGTAAAAATGACGCTTCTAGCGGGCAATAAGTCGTGTCTAAGCTGTCTGCCACCTACAGAATGGCCTCAATCGGAACCCACCTGTCAACCTCACCCTTTTATTTCTTAACCACCACAGGCATAACAATGCTACAATCGCAATTCGACCCAGAAGATTATGAGTAGCGAGGCTTGCACCATATTGCATTTATCCATGTAGGCCATACAGGGACCGTTGCCTCCAGCCGATAAAGCGTACAGTGAACCCTGTCTAGACGACTCTCAATTACTTAAACGTATAGTGGCAGCGTTACATATGCACAGAGGATGTGCCAAGAGTAGGAGGAGCCTGTCTCCAACTAGATTCAACACCTAGAGATCTTGAATGTGTTCCTTCTAGGTGTTACGTTAAGGAATTCGTTGGCAAAATAACAAACGCCCGAGCAGAGGTAGCGTTAATCGGCATTTCTCGCATTAGAGGCTTTACCCCGTCATCTCGATTTCCAAATTAAAATTAGCCGCCGTTTCAAGGCCTAAGGATTCGAGTAACGAATTCGACGAAAATTCACTACTTCTGCAACCTTCTCGATCGTGTACGTCGCAAGTATAATAACCATAAATAATACTAGGGAACGATTACGGGCCGCCATCGCACCACGGCCACTATACTCTCGCAGAGACCTCGCAACGGCAACAGGAGAACCAGTAGTTAGTGGGACTATTGTAAGGTGGCTGCTAGGGACGGGTCGGACAGCTTCAAGGCCCAGATAGCATCGATCTTCTCAGGGGGGACTTTGTTGGTAGGTTGAGAACCAACGTAGTATGGTAGTGGACGCAACGCAGTCGCCAATAGGGCGAACCGACGACGCAGCGTATGTATTTAGTCCAGCCATTAGGGCACGGTTTGACATACGGGAGTACTAGCAGAGGTACCGGGGGCTTCGAGCCTACGGCGTATTTAATAATAATAATAAATAATACTAGTGCTAAAGATTATCAAGGCACTATTATATGCACGTCAGTTACACGTATAGAACGCATAGTTAAATCTAATGCCAACACCAGAGACACCCCTATAAAAAGCCACTGTCAGCGGGTCTCATTACCCTTAGAAAGGCTTAAGTCCTTATGAGCCAATTATGCCAGCTTAATAATGCCTCTTACGGTACTCGTCAGGATATTCGTACACCGATGTTAATGTCTAAAGCGAGCAAATCATTGCCAAGTACTGAGCCTAAGTCGCCCTTCTCTGCACAGAAAAGAAAACAATTCAAGGTGAAATCGAGACGTTAGACCCTGAGATACGCTAGCCAGTCGAACCGGATCAAATAAGGTCTTCGCTGACCTTACATCTACACGTACAGCACAGGAGCAGAGAAAGCCGCGAATATGGCTAATGCAGCCAGATACGTGATTGGAGATAGATGAATGTCTTAAAAAATAGCCTAGACCCCAAAGGAGAGCCAAAAAGAACCCGTATTCTTGTTGAAATATCTAACTCGGGTGGATTTTGCTATGTAAATTACAGCCCTAGCCGAGCATTCGGCGCCTACCAAGACTTGTGTCGCTCTAATGTTGATATGTCTGAGGCGGTTTCACTTCACAGACTTGTACAAAAATTGCATTAAGTTATGCAGAAAGAAGTTTGCAAGACACCTCACATCCCGACCGTCGCCGTGCAATCATGCATTGACAGGTGATGCTCACTTTGTGTACTGTCGAAACCACCATCTCGGTCTCAGTTGCAGTTGTTGGCACCAGAAATCCGCCCATTCACATGGGACCTTCAGCCCACTTGGACTGGGCTCAGATCTCAACGAGACAATTGGAGCTCTTAAAGCTCCCTTCTCGACGACTCCATTGTCGACACCGCCACTTCTACTCCCTCCTTCGAAACCGACTTCCAGCAGCTCTGCCCCTGAAAAAAAGAGACAGGCTTGCCAATATCAACGAGAATACCTTCCACGCTTTGCAGGACTACATCCTGCACAATTTTGGCAACAACATCATGTACAGCGTGTGTCACCAGTTAGCCCTGGGCATCATGGTCAAAAGCGGAACAAAAGAACTACGCAGGGAAGAGGATGTCAAAGATGTTGTTCAAGCAGATCAAAGATGGTTTTGATACTCATACGCTGAGAAGTCATGAGTTCCAGTGGGTCTGGGGTCAGAAGCATCCCCTATGATGGAGCTGTCTTTCGGGAGCCATTAGTCGCTGGAAGTAAAAGACGTAGTCTGGATGGTCCTCAATGAAAAGGCCACCGGAGCTTGAGGGGTGCATCCAAAGACCTAGCTTGCAATAGAAAGCGATTGTAATGAGACAGGTACTGACATCTATGATGGCTTTTCTATCGCTCTGAGCACTGAACATGGGGACAATAATGCCCCTGGCTCATACTGGACCTATCACCCGCACTACTTGCTTCTCCCTCACTCAGGCATGTCAACAATCCCAGGATATTCCTTAATCAGATTCCTCATCGGCAGAAAGAGCCTATTCTCAGCCCACTCGCTTGACTCAATCTCATGATGCTCAGCCCACTGCTTCAGATCTGCCCAACTGGTCCAATGCCATCCTTCGCACTTCTCAGGTTCCAAGATCTATTACCACCCATAAGCGCAAACCACCGGGACAGAAGTCGGCAGACACTCACCTTTGGCTCGGCATGAAGATCTTTGAGTTCACATGTCACGAACAACGTGATGTAGTGCTTTCCCAACTCCTGAAAAACATCATTCGTCACAGCGACCAGCTTGACTGCCTTGACATCGAGCCCAGTCTCTTCTCGGGTCTCGCGTTCTGCACATGCGAAGTAGGTCTCCCCGAACTCGAGATGGCCACCAGGCAATGCCCAAGTACCTGTGATTGTGCTTAGTTGAGTCATATGTGACCGATACCGGCCTGCGCTTACCTGATCCATGGCTACCCCTTCGCTTGCCGAGTACGATCTCACCCTCTGTATTCTGAATGATTACCGCTACGCCGACGCGTGGTTGAGGAGCTGTTGCTGCCATTGATAGTGAGGTTTGCTCTTTGATAGATCCTGTTAAAAAGTGGTAAGCGGGTGCAACGTCTGAAATCCCGAAGCCTGTCACAAGGAATTGACAGGATTCATAATTAGTGGGTGTAAAGTCTGAAGTTCCAAAGCTTTGTCACAATGAATTGATAGGATTCAAAATAAGTGGGTCTGGAGTTTGGGGGAACACGGGCCTCTCACCGTGTCTCATTTATTCGCTCGGTGGCAAAGTTGGATAACAGGACAGACCGAATCTCACACAAGTGGACTGTGAATATGGTCGATGAATGTGTGTGGCCTTTTATCATTTGATGCTGAATTGAAAAGCACGTGCCTTGCGGTTGGTTTTTGTAGCTTAGGAAAGGATTGCTCCCGAAAGCAGAAGAAAGCACTGTTTCATAGACAAAGAAATAGATAAAGTCGGAACAACCTCACGATGCCAGCCTGGTGAGCTAGGGTTGGCGTTTATATACCCCAATACCCTGATCATTCTCTGGACTTTAGTCGCTAATGCTAACCTCATTCGAGGCCCTGGTCGGGCAACCTGGCTGGTTTATGGCTGCTAAGGCTCATGTAGCTATTTTGGCTGTACTGGGGTCCCTCCCAGCCCTGTAGGACCCGTGTGTAAAATATTCTAGCTTGAAAATCTCTGTGAAATGTCTCGTACTCTGAACCTTCGCTGACCGTAGGTATGGGGAGTCAAATTACCCCTACAATGCCAATCACTCCTGAGTTGACGGCGATGAATATACTACTTGGTGTGCTAGTAACTATGAGATAGGTACGAATATACGTGACCCTATTAGTTACTAGTCTGAACGCCGGTTGAAGTACCCACGGCTTTCGTTCATAGCACTTGATTTCCTTACAATACAGGCTATGATAGCTGAATATGAGCGGTTATTTTCATCTACCGGTAGAACAGTCACTTCACAGCGGCTAAGCCTTGACGCCGGTATCATCGGCATGTACGAGATACTATGAACTTGGCATAAAGCCGGCTAAATAGGCCAGCTGGATACTTGGTTCAGGGTTCTAACGGCTGATACGGCTATAGAAAATAACTGGCTGGATGAACCGGACGAGGGTACAGAGGAGGCTATAGTCAATTGCGCCAGCATTTTCCTAGGAGCAGTAAATTTAACCAAAGGGCCACCAATACAACCTCACCTCACCAAGATCACTAGTTGGTCAACATCACTAGCGTTTTCTTATTAATTTGATCACCAATCAACCAGGGGGTGGGGGGATGGTGAGGTTGGTGAGTTTAGTCCAACCCTTGCAAATAAAAGAGTTTCTTTGTTCTGTTAAGGATTTTAGAAGGGGGAGAAATAAAGGAGTTTCTTTGTCCTGTTGAGCCATTTAGAAGATAAAGAAAAAGTACCGAATGCATCCTTTACAAAGAAACTAGACCTCTAATAACGGAATCTAGCTGATAACGAACTTACATCTACATATGAAAGCCTGTTTTTCCTCTATATAGACATAAATAGAATACCTTTACATACAGCGGAAAACATAACTACGCATCCACTTCTACAATAACTATAACACATTGATGACTATTTGTGATATATTAATGTTTTACTTCGCGAACCTACTTGTAGCTAACTATTAGCAATCCACAAACATGCGCGGTGTACTCGTATCCTCCTAACATGTCTAGGGGCATGAAGCTTCTGATGATGCAATGTCGTGACGGTGTGTACAATCAGTACCGCTTGGCACGTGTTGGACCCTCAAGGCTACTACACCAAGACAGCCAAGTCAAAGAGAAAATTATATGGCCGCAAACCGTACGATTATGGGCCAATATGACCTCTACCCATCGAACCACAAAAGTCCTGGCTGTGGGACAGGCATCAGTCATTCCTGCCTATATAAGGCCACATGGCCGCCATTTACTTCTCTCAAGACTCTCCAGAGATTATGACACTTTCAATACAAGACCATTTGCCCACAATCCAATAGCACGGCAAAGTATCAGGGGCAACCTTACTATAACCTCTCCTCAAGTAGCGGTCCAAAATTCACTGATGTTGTGCTGCGGTATCCATGAATTGACGCCCCATATACCCCTGTGTCCCTTCTGCTGGTTTGCCGTAGCTCTGACCAGGAAAGCCTGCAAACCTCCGGACTCTCACTGTCGTTTCGACAGCCGTTCCCTTAGATTCAGAGTCCTGTAGGTGTAGTACCAACCCACGTACGTCCCAAACTGCTCAAGGGCTTCCGAAAGATTGAACGACACGTTCTTGGGACGAGGATCACATATCAGGTATACGCGTCCCCAGAACTGTTCCATCATTTTCATTCTCTGTCTTCCTTGGGAATACTAGACCAGGAGGTTTTCTGGTCCGCTCGTGAGTAAGAATTTCAAGACCCGCTTATCAATTGTGAAAATCGTGTGGTGATGCAAGCAATGGTCTCGGGCCCATGAACCATGCTTCAGTAATCCAGTGAGGGTGTAGAAGAATAGCCAAGTGACTGCCACCAGCTGTGGACATGGCATATTTTATGTTCGATAATTAACGGCCAGGGAGCAGACAGATGCTGTCTTGAACTGGTAAATTTCCAATCTTGCCGATGAGTACCGGCACAGCAAGCCATGTGGAAATCAAGACTGATCTCTCCAACCCTTGTGGTCGGAGTGATATTTAGGATTTTTGTTTGTCAGTGTCTCAAGCATTTCTTCGGTCGGGTTGTGATTTTTATGATTCACAAGCAAGAGCGACAGCACCAGGTTTTGGATGGGTTGGTGGTCGAATAACACCCGAGACTCGTTTTCAGACGTTGAATAGCAGTGCAAAAAATATGCGCGAGGGTTATCTCGGGTTGTCCGTCACAAGATCGGGGCATCTTTTGGCAATACTGTAATCAAATCGGGAATGAAGTCGCGGGTCTCCCTGGGGAAGCCTAGGAGTGAAGCCATCGACAAGGTTGCTGGGTAATACAAGAAGGCAAGTAGCCAGTGTGGCAAGAATAAAGGATACATATCTGACTGTAATCGAAGAAGCTGATGGTCGTTGGATATTATTGAATTCGAGACACTGTTTCCAACGGCTTGGCTTGATTGATGCGATAGCTGACGTCTGGGTGGGGATTTCAAGGCACCTAATTAGCTGGATGGATTACGCAAGAGGCGAGGGAGGTCAACGTAACTTGACCTGGTTGCAGGTAGTTCACTTCCTCCTACGTTGAAGTTTGGCCTGAGCGACTCCATGGTGTCACCCAAAGACCACCTGGGCAAGCTGAAGATGCTACACCCATCATTACGATCCGACAGAATCAGGATCGTTGATACTACCTTGAAAACTTTCTGCAGCCAAAATTATGGGTGATTGCGCCCATAAAGTTTGGAGCTTCGAGCTCATGTGTTGGTTGACACCAGTCACCTCAACGTCGGCCAAAGAAGTGACGATTTATATCGCAGAGAACAAGTCAACGTCAGAGGCCACCCGACATGAGCCTCAGTTTCCAGCTAGAGAATTTGACTGACTGTACCAAGGGCAGTTGTAGGAAGTCTGCATAGCCACCACATCTTTGGCGTCAATTTTATTGCGCACAGCATCAGTCGATTCCCGGGAAGTTCAGTCTGGGCGCTATGTATCTTACGATGTGAGCCATTCTAGAGTGACTTTTATCATGCGATCCGTTTTTGCCAAGCCCTAGAGCCTCTTGTTATACCAAATGACCAGGTTTCACAACGATGCTACCACCCATGTATGTACGGCATGTGGCGATGGTCACGTTGTCTGCACACAACTTCCAAAATGATTCCGTAAAGGGACGAACAACCGAAACGGCACAGCTATGTGAACATCCCCGCTATGTCTTCTTACTGCGCTGGAATATAGGGCTATTCAAAATCCTGGGCTCGCCATTCATTCGATCGTCCACTTGATGGCCACTTTGAATTTGCGTCGTGACGAATGCGTTATAGGTGCGCTAAGCATGTAAGACGGGTTGAGACTAACCCTCGAAAATAAGGGTACTCGTCTCATTGCCCTTGGTGGTCGGAACCACAGCGGATGCAACACTACTTGATGATGGTACGACTGCTGTGCTACGCCATGGCGGCCATCATAGATGCTGCGAGGGCCAATGTGATGGTGTCCTCGAAAATCATCGCGATCCCACCATAGTAGGAATTCATCGATCCCTCCAGGGATTCTCCAACCACGCCAAACACCTTGCAAGACAGTGGGCCCCAAAATTGTCGTCTCATTTGTGGGAGTCCGCAGTTGAGGCATGTTACCCCAGACTCGGTTGCACGGGTATGAACACCCCGGATTTTCCACCATTCACAACATGGTACCAGGCTTTGCACGGAGTCCGGGCCAGTGGTCCTGTGGAGACAAATTTATTTGATCGAATGATTATCAACTTCATGAGCACTGTCGAATCTAGCCATTGGGGTATGCGCCTCGGTGCGGGCCCAAGAAGTCTTGTTCCCCCACGGCCTGCAGTCTGCAGAAAGACGAGACCCATCCCATAGCCCTCATGTCTCGGCATGAGGATTCTCGAACTCGGCCCTTAGACAGGGAAACAGGGCCAACGGTCCGATGAGCCTTTTCAGTGGCCCTCCGTATCATAGTCCCTGGTACAGAATGTTCCTTGAATGCCCATGGGCTGCAGGATATCAGGGCTGGCTCGCCCATATGGAATGCGCATGCTGTTGCTACTCTGATTGTTTCTGTTGCAAGACCCAGTGCGTGGGGACACGTGAAGCGAATTTAGCGCCTTGAAGCCTGACTGGAGCTTCATTATTGACGCTGACAAACACACGGAACGATCCTTTAGTTTCCATGGCGGACCAAATCATTTCGGAGAAGGCCACTCGGCCGGATTTTGTTGAGTCGGGTGAACCTGGGTACACCAAGTTCCAACATGCCGAACTTCACGACAAGGTTCTCAACGAGGAAGCCAGGCTGGGAACGGAACAAGAGCATGCCATGGGCTTGGCCCAGGCTCTCAAGACCCACAAGAGGGCCGCTATGTGGTCCATTTGTACGTGCAGTTCCAATTGACGGCCCAAAGCGTTACGACATATATACTGACTAATCGGCAGTGATCTCAATGACGGTGGTAATGGAGGGCTACGACGTGACGCTGCTAGGCAACTTCTTCGGATACCCTGCCTTCCGCAAGAAGTACGGCGTGTGGACCAACGAAAAGGACGGCTATCAAATTACGGCACCGTGGCAGGCGGGACTGAATGACATTAGTGGGGTGGGCAACATCATCGGCGCTCTTCTCAATGGGTATCTGACGGCCAAATACGGCCACCGCAAGGTTATCATGGGAAGCTTGGTGTTCCTGTCTGCCTTCATCTTCATGACCTTCTTCGCACCCAACATTACGGTGCAGCTGCTGGGCCAATTCTTCTGCAATATCCCGTGGGGTGTTTTCGCCACCACGGGTCCCGCCTACGCCGCCGAGGTCGCCCCCCTTGCGCTGCGAGGGTACCTGACCGCCTACATCAACCTCTGCTGGTGCATGGGCCAGTTCATCTCGGCCGGTGTCCTCAAGGGCCTCGTAAATAACGAGACCGACTGGAGCTACAAGATCCCCTTCGCCGTCCAGTGGGTCTGGCCCATTCCTCTCTTCATCGCCGCTCTTTTGGCTCCTGAATCCCCTTGGTACCTCGTTCGGACCGGCCAACTCGAGAGGGCTCGCCGATCGCTGGAGCGCCTGTCGCAACCTGAGCACAATATCAACTACGATTCCACCATCGCTCTCATGGTACATACAGACAAGCTTGAGAAGGAGGAGCGTTCCGGTGTGACTTTTTATGACGCCTTCCGCGGCACCAACCGCCGCCGAACTGAAATTGCCTGTATGGCCTTCCTGTCTCAGATCACCGACGGTGGCGCTTTGTGCTACTCGGGTACCTTCTTTTTCCAGCAGACTGGAATCAGTGCCGACGCTTCCTACGCCATCGGTCTTGCCGGCACCGCCATCGGCTTCTGCGGTACCCTCATCTCGTGGCTCTACATTGCCAAATGGGGACGACGTACTATCTGGCTGTATGGATTCTACGTTCTGGTTACCGTGCTCTTCATCATTGGGATTCTGGCCTGCGTCCCGAAGCAAACTGTACAGATAGCATGGGCACAGTCTTGTCTCTGTTTGGTTTGGTTAGGCGCTTATTCCATGTCTGTCGGGCCCATCGTCTTCACCATTGTGGCCGAAATTGGATCAACTCGTCTCCGTACTCAAACGGTAGTGCTTGGACGTGCTACATATTATATTGGGAACATCATTGGTAAGAAGCTCTCCCAACTCGCAGGAAGTTTACTTTGCTAACTGTGCTTTCAGGTGGTGTCTTGCAACCGTACTTCATGTCGCCCACCGCTTGGAACGCCAAGGGCAAAACTGTAAGTTCTGATATCACAGTCCTGCGCATATAAACAACTGAAACTGACGTCGCACTGAGGCCTTCTTCTGGGGAAGCCTGTCTTTCCTCACCACCGTCTGGGGCTTCTTCCGTCTGCCCGAGACTAAGGACCGGACGTTTGCCGAGATGGATTTCATGTTCCAAAAGGGGGTACCGGCGCGCAAGTTTGCCTCGTACAAGATCGATCAGGACGAGGAATTCTTGGCTCGCGATTGAGTTGACGTCCTATTTACAGAAGGCGACGCTATAAAGAAGCATCAAGTCTCTATATAAATATTATGATAATTCATGGTTACGACCGAGCAATTCAAGAAAGTACATCATGAATAACTGGTTCATAGCTGGAGACCATCTCTCTCCAGACACCATTTGGATTATTATTTATGCATCTTCATCCTTTTAGACATTTATCCATGGATTAAGTCATGGCATTTTCTAGTATGTAAGTATATACTTCCAACCTATTTTGCAATGGAATAGGAGTATTGCATAGTCGATAGAAGGTTAAGAGTATATAGCGGATATTTGTAAATCGCTACTAGCTAACTACAGGGTAGTTTCTCCGGATATCTATATGATACGTGACCCCATGGGGGGTTACCCTATAGCTATAGATAAGATAGATTAGAGCTATAAAAGAGCTCTGCCAGGCCAGAATAACTGACCTGGCTGTGAAGGTCAACCCTCGCAGACTCACTACAACCAGGTGACTTACAGCTGGAACACCTGCCGTGGCAGTGTCAGATGGGAAGGCAATCATAACCCTTGTAGGAGCCCCGCCAAGCGTGGATGACTTAGTCGCGCTCCCTCAAACCTAAGTTGTCATCTTCTTTCCTTCGCTCCTTAGAGTAGAATCTTCGTCGATAGCACCTAATCGAGGTCTCTACCAATGCGATGCAACCCAGGTCGTGACACTGGCCATCCTTTCCCAATACAACAATTCACACCCCATATGCACTCGCATCAATATATAAGCGCGAGCTCTATAATTATTTCCTTGTCCTACACATTCTTTTTTAAAGTAGTTTTCTGTTTCTTGATTTATCATGAAGAGCACCCTTTCCTTTATGGGTAAACTCTTATTATCCTATACTTCAGGGGCATCTTTTTCGCTACTGATACTATTAACGGCGAATCTTTAGTTCGACACAGGTCCTTAGAAAGCATTGGGCAAAATGATCTCTCACCTCATTGCCACTTTTAAAGGCCAAGGATTGCATCCTCACCTCAGCCCCTTTAAATCTCCCTTCAAATCTTCCTTGGTTAGATCCTCAACCACGCTCTCTCCCCTTGCCGCCGCCCTAACCCTAGCTCCGTTGACCTTCCTCGTATTTCTTTCGGCATGCCTCGTAACCCACCAAGTAACCAACGTGATACTTATACATGCAAAAACCAGCCCCATCGCTACCCCGAAACTAGTCCTATACCTGGGTGCATAGTCTGCCCTAAACAACTGCGGCCCTACTGCGCCACCTATCTGCCCATAACTGTTGACAAAGCCAATACTAAACGCCGACCCGGTAGTCCTTGACGTCGTCTGTACACGCCACGGCCACATGACGGGGAACCAGGTGGCTGTCACGGCATTGCCGACGAGGGTGACGGCGTAGACGGCTGCGGTACTCGGGTACGCGACTAGAACCGCGTAGCTGGCGAGGATAATGAGCAGGAAAGTGAGAGGATAAAGGGGTCGGGGGAGGCGGCCGTTGTTGGCATGGAGGCCAGTTAGGCAGATGACGAGGAGACCGAGGATCGTGATGGGGAGATTCAGAATTTGTGCCGTTGCTATGCTCCTGTTTGGTTGTTGGAGATTGTTAGTTGAGCTTTATGTGCTGAAACTCTGCAGAACTGGCTGAACTGCTCTCGGGGAAAAGAGCAAAAGGGCTTACGTGAATCCGAGGTCGGCAATCACAGTCGATTGGTAGAATCGCACCCCTGATGTTCCTACGGTGAAGGACGCCCATATGAGAGTGAAGAGCCACAGTCTAATATCCTTTAGGGAGGATAATATCTCTCCAAAATTGAAGTTTGACTCATCAGCCCTCGGGGCGTTTGGCGGTAGTCGAGCTTGGATGAAGGCTTTTTCTTTTTGTTAACCAGGATGCTGTTCTGGGGACTGACATACAACATCAGGACGTATTTTGCATTTAGACAGGCGTTATACTCACAGTCAGGAAGTAGGAACCACACGGTGACTCCTGTAATTATAGTGGCAATTGCCTCTACCAGCATCAGCCACTGCCATCCCAATAGTCCACCAGCACCGGACAGGTGGTCAAAGGCAAATGCGAGCAGTCCACTGAATATCCCAGAGAGGTTGCCACATGTATCTGCCTTTTATCAGCTTGGATCACACGATTTGGGATATAGCTCATATGTTACAGAAATACAACAGTCTCAGAGACATCTCATCTGGTCTGTACCAATATGTCATTTGGAGGATAACACCAGGGAATTGTCCAGCTTCAGCCTATTTTGGTCAGCAGTGATAAAGCAGCATGACCAAAGTAACTCAACGTACCAATCCAAGAAAGAATCGAGCAGTATAAAGTCCGCTTTTGTTCGTTACAGCGCAGTGACAGGCGAGTACAATCCCCCAAGTGACCATAATTCTCGACTGCCACCGTGAGGGGGAAACTCGTTTCAACAGCAAGTTCGAAGGGGCTTCGAAGACTATATAAGGGAGCTAGTCTCCCATATTAGCAACATAACTACCTGAATTCATTTAGGGACCATACGTACAAAATAAAGAACCGTGACCAGGTTATACTCATCCGCCGTCATGGCCAGTTGGGTCATGATATTCATGTTACTGCCCCGATTCATGATGCGTGCATTTGAGACCTACAAACATACCGTAAGTAAATTAATTGTGTGAATCTTCCAAAAACCTTCGTGGTATACTGACATTGTCAGAGTCGAGGTTCTTGAACATGAAGATGAGCGAGCAGAGGGGCATTAGATGCCAATCAATCCGCCTGACCAGTTTCTTCTCCTCGTCTGGCGTGAGAAGCGACCTATCTCGGATGCGCTCTGCGTCGGAGCGGGCGGCTGTTTCATCTCCGTAATACACATCGTCAACAGTTGAGGGCCGATGGCTCGAAACAAGGTTGTTGTCGTCTTTTCTGCTGAGCTCTATCGCCTGAGTCGCAGCAAGTGAAAGCGACGGCCTCTTAACTGTCGCCATGTCGATCAGTACTAGAAACTTCGGGATTAATATCGTGAAGATACTCGACAACTAATGCATCGGTTCTATCTCTTCACCACTTGGTGTTTTGTTATTATCGGCTTAGGTTTGCCGCCTGCCCCTGCTTCTAGTTTGTAGCACCATCAACCATGCCGATCACGACTGATAGACATTAAGCACTACGGTTGGACCAATCCACAGATGTGGATACAGAAACTGATAGATACTGGCAGATTCAGCATGGGTTAAAGAACAGGACGGACGAACAGGACGGACGAACAGCACGGACGAACAGGACGGACGGGGGGTCTAAGCGGCGCAGCTGGCCAACGAGCGCTGCGAGGGCGTCGATTCGTCATTGCGACCAACAAGCACGAAACCTCCTGCTGCCAGAAGTGGCTTCTCCAAAACCTGCGGCGACGCCATTGTCCCTCGCAGCACTACCTAGTAGTATTCCTTTCCTATGATAGATGGCAATGACTAGAAAGGAGCACCAAATTGAGATGCATGACATTGATGGATGCCTTACTGTGGGAGGCGCCATTGTCTACTCACCGTGCTGATCGGCCTTAGCGATGCCCCCATCTGAGCAATTCCTAAACCAGCCTAATTTCAGACGCGACATAGGTCACACTCTACCTTCAACAGACATTTTTGACCTGCACAATGTCCAGAAAACGGAAATCACAGTCAGAAATGAATCGCAAGATCAGAGGCCCAATTTACCATGGAATATAGCATGAAGCAATATGACGCAGCCTAGTTGTAAGGCGTAGATTCTGTACGAAGAGCAGCATGAAAGGGCTCTATCGAAGCGTTCTATAACTAATCTATAAAGTAGATCTTACTAACGTAGTTCACGGTCCAATTGCACACTTCGGCAGATTTTCGTACGCTACCACTTTGGCCTGCGGGTTTTCACCACATAACTATGGTTGGTTCTTGGAATGAATGTAATATGATTCTAGCATTACATGCGCTTCAATATGATCCAAAATTAAGTGTACGTCGCGCTGGTCAGATCTATAACGTACCTTTTAGAACCCTAGCGTATCGACGCGACGGTAAAACCGCTCGAGCGATTACGCGATCGCCAACGCAAAAGTTGACTCCTTCCGAAGAAGAGGCAATCATAAGACATATAACCGACCTAGATTCGCGAGCATTTCCTCCCCGATTGAGTGGTGTTGAAGATATGGCCAACCGATTACTTCGAAGTCGCGACGCGGGACGCGTCGGCGTCAACTGGGCCTCGAGCTTCGTAAGACGATAACCAGACCTCCGGACGCGTTTAAATCGAAGGATCGACTATCAGAGAGTCCTCTGCGAAGGCCCCGACGCGTATCGTGCGTGGTTTGACCTGGTACGGAATACAATTGCGAAATACGCGATCCAGGAGGAGGATATCTACAACTTCGACGAGACCGGTTTTGTGATTTCCAAATCTCGTCCGAAATGGTCGTGACGACTTCTGATCGGCGCGGAAGGCCTAGAGCAGCCCAGCATAGAAATATGGAATGGGTTACAGTTATTCAAGGCGTTGGGTCGTCCGGTTATGCCCTCCCTCCGTACATCATTTTCGCCGGCAAAACCCACCTCTCGTCATGGTACGAAAACAGCCCATTACCGCCTGATTGGGTTATCGCAGTTACTAAAAATGGCTGGACTACGAACGAGAGAGGCGAGGATTGGATAAAACACTTCGATCATCATACCAAGTCTCGTACGAAAGGTACTCATCGCCTATTGATCCTCGACGGTCACGAAAGCCATCACTCGACCGATTTCGAGGTATATTGCAAAGCTAACAATATCGTCACGCCTTTTATGCCTCCTCATTCGTCGCATAAGCTCCAGCCTCTTGATGTTGGTTGTTTTTGCGGGTTAAAAAGAGCGTACGGAAAAGAAATCGAAGATCTCATGCGAGCACATATAAGTCATATCTCGAAAGAAGACTTTTTACCGGCGTTTTTAAACGCGTACAACGCAACTTTCACGGTTTCAAATATCCAAGGAGGTTTCCGAGGGGTAGGAATAGTTCCGTACGATGCAGATTATGTCATATCACAGCTCGATGTGAAATTACATACGCCAACACCTCCGGGTAGCTCGGCTGGTCTCCCCGTCCCTTGGGAATCAAAGACTCGGAACAACCCAACCGAAGCCCAATCACAAACCGATTATGTGAAAAATAGGATTGTACGATATCAAAATAGCTCACCAACGTCAATTTTTGCTGGAATAGATCAGATTGCGCGAGGTACAACGAAGGTTATGCATCGGCTTGCCCTTTTAGAAGGCGAGGTCGAATGACTTCGAAAGGCAAATGAGACCTTAAGTCGACGTCGCCGTGCGAAGAAAAATCAGCTACAGAGTGGATGATAGGCGTTGTGGTTGAATTAACTTATACATTGTCGTATAAGGTCTGCCAAAGTGTGCAATTGGACCGTGGACTACGTTAGCCTTAAAGGATATAATTAAATTAGGGAAAAGATACTACGATTGTTTCCTGAATCTATATTAGAGGATAAGTATTAACGTTAGCTATATCGTACTACTTCATAGGGTTTAAGCAATTAATTCGCGTAGTCTAAAGGGCGTTTTTATCTATATTAGACTCCTTCACTGAAAGTACAATATAATAGTATAATACTTAGTACCTTTAATTGGAATGAGTTGATACTACATGTGAGGTTATAATTCTCGAGTATATTAAGCTTGAGAGCGGCTGTAGCACTCTAGCCTTTCAGGGATTGACTCTCTAACGTTGATAGTATTGAGTGTCATAGAGCTACACTAATTATGAACCAGGTTGGCTCTGGGCTATGTTAGGGCTCACTTCTGACTGTGCCAGACCCCCGTACTTCTGGGAGTGGTTGGAACTTGCATGCTTTCTTTCCTTTGAAGGCAATAGCCCACTTTCGGCCTGCAAATTGTGAACCTACCATGTGCACTGACCCTTTCACATATAGCGACTTCTAAGGGCTAGAGTAGTTATTCCGTAGCTCTAGGATAGTGAAAGCTGTATCCCAGGAGCATCACAGTCAAATTCGCGGATTCTCTCCAGTTCTTTACCAAAGGCTTTCTTAAGAGCCCCATACACCAAGGTGTGGCCACGCCACTAGATCAGGCTCATACCGAACGACTTGGATTTCTGTACCTCGTCAGGCCAGAGAACACACTCGGGCTTCGACCGATCAAAAGCAGGGTCCGAGAGGGCCTTGGGTACGGCAGAATGACGGATAACAGTGATATAAGTATTACGGCTGGCGAGTGCGTCAAGGCCACAGTAGCCAAGGAGAAGCGTAGAAACAAAGTTGACGACCAGGTCATGATGTGGCAAATCAGCGAATTATTATGATCGAGTGCTCTGTGTAGCGAGTTTGGAGCCTGACATGATATTTTTCTATATTTTGGTAATCTCTGACTAGTCATCGTGGATGTACTGTTCGAAGACCTCGGGGTAGAAATTCTGGCCGTTGGTTCGGTGACTGCGTATCTTGGTCCTCAGCTGGGTTTCGCCCCAAGTGTCATACTTTCCCCGAAGAAAAGCAGAGTCAATGGCTTGTCCTTCATCTGATTCGGCCCCAGTTCCCAGTGATGCAAAGTGGCCCGTCAGTTCGCGCGCCTGGGCTTTGGTGAGATCTCGTCTCACGCCCTGGAAGAACGGAACGCTGAATCGCTCATGAGGTCCGGACAGGACGCGGTGAGTAGTTGCTTTGCATACCCCATCGGTGACAACTTCGAACGCTTGGCCAATGTTGGCTACGAACGTGTCGGGCTTCACAGGGACGTCGATCCAGTCACCGGCTTTGTTCAAGACCTACAAGCCTCCAACTTCAGGAGGCGACGCTTGGAGCAGAAAGGTCCACCAGCCGGACGAGTCCTTGTGAGGTCCAACTCCCTGATTGGAGATGGCGTCTTTATCACGTGGTGGAAGGGCAGGGTAGTGAACCAATTTCAAACGATGCTGGTCGGAGAGAAATGGCAGGAAGGTTTCGCGTGGCAGAGATAGCGCCTGAGCGACGAGCCTGAGGAAATGCTCGCTAAGTGAAGTCATTGCCTGGATGTAATTGTTAACGATGCGCTGCAGATCCGGAAACGCCTCTGGCCACTGCGACAGAGTTGGACTCGCTCTACGAAGACACTGGGGTTGTAATATACTTGATTTGGACCGCGAAGACGTTTGTACAAAGGCTGACCCTCACGCCATGTGGATGTTAACTCAGTGGCGAACTCGGCTTGCTCCCTCTGGTCGACTTTCCCTCCTGTGCTTTCATTGCCGGTACCGCTGTAACCCAAGAAGTGAGGCGAGTTCTCGAGCACGATTGCCTGCTTCGCCTGTGATGGGAGTGCAAAAAGGACATGCAGTGCCTCTTTTAACTCGTTTATGGTCTCATCAGGAACCTCATGATTGGTAATGTAGAGAAAGCCAACGTCCGTCACAGCATGGCGCAAATCTTGGAGGAGCATTGGCAAGGTCGCGGGGTTTTTGGCCAGCGCGAGATCAACCGTGGGGATTTGTGTGAAATGTGACGGGGCCATGGTCTCTAATCGCATCCACTCGGGCGGGATTAATGAGTCAGAACTTTTGAATGATGCGATCTCGATATGCCGTGACAAGACATGACCCAGATGGTTTGAAGACGGAGTTCAGCGTGGTCTGCCGAGGCACGCGCGGAAAGCACGCAAGCGGACCGGGTACTGACGCAACAAGTGCAACACTGATGCCTTCGAATTTCACAGTACAGACCATTCAAAACATTGGCATAAAAAACACTGATGACGTCCCTGTGAAATGAATGACACAAAACTCGACCAGTGCTTTGGAAATAGAAGAGGAGGAGGATGATGATGAGAGTGAGAGAATGGGCCGGGTGACTAAGTTAACCCCAACCCAAAGTATTACCCTAAAGGCGGACAACCTACAGTTACGAAGCGAAGCGTGCCCTTGACTATAAGACTCACAAACGTTCAGCAACCAATCTCTTCATCTGCCGCCGCATCATGACATTCTATCAAACCCTCAGCCAAATAAATGGCCACGATTTCTTCCATCTTCTTGGATGGCAAGACAGAAGCGCGTCGCGTGACCCCTTGCTTCAGCTCAAAGAATCCACGGCCAATCCCCCACCTTCCCCCTCTCGATATCTGGCGCCTGGGCTACGTCTTAGTTCGAGATGCCATTACGGGAACGCCCAGTTGCGCTGACATGAACACAATGGCAACATAAAATTTTTATACTCAGAGTCACGTTAGAAATATTGGAGACTCATAGTGCAAGTTTTGGTTTGTTCTCGGTTCAATTTTGAACATCTCACTTGAGATCTGTAGTCTGTACGCAAGTAGAACCTGGCACGAGCTGAATCGGGCTCAAGACACCAGCCATGTTGAAATCAACACAATCTGTAACGCCAAACTCATTCCACAGTTCGATTGTTATCATATTCCTCCTAATCCCACTCATCACCGCCCAAAGCACCACCATCATCATAACCGTCGGTCCAACCATCCCCACGGCCGCGCCCGAATTTACCAACGAACGCACCTTCACCTCGGCCATCCTGAACAGCACCAACTTCTACCGCACCAAACACAACGCCTCGTCTGTGCGCTGGAACTCAACCCTCGTTGATTTCGCCTTGTCCTACCTAGACTCGACGTGCGACTTTGCCCATAGTGGCGGGCCCTACGGCGAGAACCTCGCCCTGGGCTGCTCCAACGCTACGTCGTGCGTCGAGGCCTGGGGCAACGAACGCGATGAGTATGATTTCGGGAATCCGGACTTCTCGGAGGCGACGGGGCATTTCACGCAGTTGGTGTGGAAGACCACAACGGATGTGGGCTGTAGTGCGAGGATATGTGGTGACGCCGGGTGGTATCTGGTCTGTGAGTACTGGCCAAGGGGCAATATCATAGGGGAATTTAGGGAGGAGGTGGGTGATGATGTCAATGAGAGTACCATGGTACGGATGAATGTGTATGCTGTGGTAGCGGCAATGTTGGTTACCTGTTTCTTGTTATGACCAGAGTTAATGCGCTTGTGTGCATGGGTCGGGTGGGATATGGATCTCTTGCGCTATGCCATATACGCAGTTAGTGTAGCACCACATGAGTGTTCTACATAGCCTGTATTTGATTACCGCATGGGGTTATACTCTTGACACAAAAGAGTCACCGCAAGATAAGGGTCCATATCGACACCAGTGAGAGTACCAATGGATGTGTTTTTCTTCGCGTTGCTAAATCCTTTTGTTTTGTTCTCATTTCAAGTCAAGTCGTGAAACTCGCTTCATAAATCATATCTCTCCTCCTATTCCCCGGGCCACCCGATGACGTCATATTGCCCTCCACGGTCCCCTGCTCATTTCCATACCCCGCCCAAGCCCGCTTCAGACCAAATGGCAAATTTACCGAACCACCTTCAGGCGAATCCCTCGTGGCCAAATTAACTGTAGTCAACGCCTGTTCGGGGTAGAACAAGATTGTGCCGGCATGTATACCTCCATCGATAAACCTTTCTTAATACTTCTATCAATAAGCGCCTGCATTCGCCACGATACAAAATTGCTGAGGCTATCGCTGTACACATTGGCGATGCTGAAATTGTCCGTGAAGAACACGTTGTCAAATCCTCGTAGCTGTCCTAGGCAAATTCGGTGAGCCGGGTTACAACATCTAGGGTGGTAAAGTGTGTGCCATTGAAATCGCCGGGAAAGTACTCCGTTATCGAGCCGCCGAGAGGAACTCTGGGTTGAATAGAAATGGACAATATTCTTTGTGCACAAACAACACAGTGTAACCTCTATTAGGCTAAGTTTAATTGGATATTTGGGTTATACGGTCCTGGTCTTAACAAAGCATTGGGAATCATACATAACACATCCAAGGTAGATGCAGTGCAAAAGCCCAAGATTTATGCCATGACTTTCCCTTGAATCATCATATGTTTTGGTCATCGTTATCATAACCGCCGATACACATCCTCCTGTCCAGAAGGGACATCAAACGGCCCATTCTCCGCCAGTGGAAACCTAGGCGTTCCGTCCTCATTCCATGTGAATTTCTGGATCCTCGCTGTTCGGTACAGATTCGCGGCCGGATTGGGCGTCGTTTGCGCATGGTAGACAAGGTAATCCTCCGTCCCATCCGGCGAAGTTATAAAACTCGCATGGCCCGTCCCGTACACCCCCGATGCCGTGTTCTGGTGGAACACACATCCTTTGGTATGCTTGGTCCACGATTGATACTGCATCGGATCATTGCCAGTCAACTCCAGCATGCCGAGACAGTAGAAAGGTGTATTTACGCGAGCGGCCGAGTAGATGATGAAGTCCTGACCCGTCTTGGGATTTCTTAGTTGTTGCGGCCCTTCGTTGGTAGCGAGTCGGATGGGACGGCCGTAGGGAACTTGCTCCCAGGGTTGGTCTGGGATAGAGATCATGCGGCGGTCGCTCAAGTTGCTCTTGACGGTCCAGCGATCAGACATCTCGGTAATGCACAGGTTGGCTGGCCATGCGGAGTACGCATGCTCCCAGCAGGAATAGACGTGGTACAGCTTTTCATTTTTGACAAAGTAGGTTCCGTCAATGGCGAACTGGTCGTATGAGTTGAGCATTCCCTTCAAGCTAAATTCTGCTTTCCATGGATCGGAACCGCTGCCCTCAAGAACGAACATGCGATGGTTGATAGCTGGGCAATTAATTGGGCACAACGCATCCTGCAGTGGAGGAGGGTTATCGTAATCCGGAGTAGCAGTGAAAATTATATACCACGAGCCCGATATCTGGAGGAAATTAGCATGTAGTACCAAGTTTTCTGTTGTTTCTTGCGCCGCCAAGCCACGCACATTATGGATCTCTGGGGCCCAAATATCAGTCGACCACGGCTGTCCACTATCATCGCCGGTGGGGTCTGGTTTGAAAACGGTGCGAGTCTCAGCGAGATCCCAGTTGTCCGTGAGTGACTTCGATCGCTTCAAGGTTATGTTATCGTTGGTCGTGTAAGTGAATATATACCAGTCTTCGCCGTCTGCACTGTACTTTGCCCTGCGATCCGGTTAGTTTGACCATTTTCAAGTGTGGTACGCTTTTCTGGACCCTGTTTATATTTCTGTTTCCAAAAGAGGAGTGCTTCAACTAACATGAATGGATCGCCAATGTTCAAAGTCATGACAGGATTCGAGTAAGTCGCATTAGTAGTCATGTTGGTGCCAACCTTTGCGGGATCCCAGTATTGCGGTCCCGCTGCATTAGGATCAAAGTCCTGACATGTAACCAAGGCAATGCCGTAGCAAGATGCCAGGGAGAGACGGCTCGCGATTCCTGAGAGTATCATGGCGGCCGTTGGCAGTGCGTGAAAACAGAAATCAGGCAGGCACTCGAACTGAGCACATCACTTTGACAAGTAACCTCCATTATATACCATGACCTCCATCCCCGCATTAGTCCTTCCTTCTACAAGTTGACGCTGGGGGAGTTACCCCGCAATCCGTCCCCACTTGCACCTGTAACCACGATGCTTGATTATGGAGTTGGGAGTCGGATGTAGCTTGGTGGCTCGCCACTTGGCAGGCTACACATGCTCTTACTAGTGCGGTATTTGGCATACGGCCCATATCGGTCCTTTGCAAAAGAAGTGACAATCCTGTCGTGCATCATTTTTTCTGACCGCTACACTCCTTTAGGCACTGGTTGCCTGGGTTGCCTTTTCCCAAATTCCATTGAAGGGATGTCTAGCTCGCATGAAGACCACAATCTCGAGACTAACCAACTCTAGAACAGAGGAGCTATCCCCAAGACTTAAGTTGGCTACAAATGCCATTGATGATGCCTTCTTCTGTCCGTCGCCGGATTATCGTTTTCGATATCCGCGGCCAGAGTCCAATTGTTGCATCCCCATTGACTCCCTTTTGCAACATCCTCCATTTGCAAGCGAAATTGCATCCTGAACACAACAATCACCGGTAAATTATGCTTCAGCCGTAATTCGGAAGTAGATAATTTTAAATAGTGCATTACACGCGCTATTCAATTCCTCAAAAGGCCATCGTCATTCGCGCTGCCAGCCAATACAGCATACAGTTATCCACTCTGTCCAGGCGTCGTAACGACGACTAATAGTACCGTGCCGGCGCCACCTAGCTGCAGAAGCCGTTTATAGATTAATACGAGGGAGACACCTCCTACTAATAAGAAGAGCTAATCGACTTGAAGCGACTACTGTAATCGCGAATTTTTGGCGTAGAAGAGATCGGATAGATTTTGTAACAGCGAGTCTAGGAGGAAATATAGTTAATTATCTGATGCGAGTGCATATGGGGTGTGAATTGTTGTATTGGGAAAGGATGCCAGGTCAGCTATTCTGGCCTGGCAGAGCTCTTTTATAGCTCTTATCTATCTTATCTATAGCTATAGGGTAACCCCCCATGGGGTCACGTATCATTATCACTCGACATAGAGTAGCCGTAGCCTAAACCTAAGCTATAGCCGTAGGACCCGCTCTGGTCTTAGAGAAGGATATACTTGCCGCTGTAACCCCGGTATTACCCTGTGGGATAACCTATCGGTATTATTTGTAGGGCCTTTAGTAGCTCTAGCTACAGTAACTAGACATGAACCCTTAAAGTAGCCTCTCTGGGATAGGAAAACGGCTAGTTCCTCGGACTTTTATTTCCTGTTTTAATTCCCCTTGGTAGCAGATCTTGTTGAAGATTTGTTGTCTATCTCCATGTTCTTCATCTTTTAAACTGCGGGTTCGTCGCCCGTCATTAATATCCTCAATTCCTGTGAGACTCTGGACTATATATGCGAAAGCCTTTGGCGGCGATCATCTCTGTTTCGATCAAGCCTATACAAACTTCTGCCGGTCAAAACCCCCGGTACCCGAAACTAAGAGAACATTGCATGTGCCGAATATGACTCTACCGCCTTCGGCTGAATTCATCTTCATTTACCAACATGCTCATTGGTAAGCTTTGGAGATACTCCTGCATTTCAACACCGATACTGATTCAGTCTAGTGTTCCCGTTGACGTCACTGTGGACGCATCATGATATTGATATTATGAGGTCATAGCCACTTCCCACCTGAAGTTCTCCAAATTTGAACGCAAACGTTTGGCTACGAGTGAATACACCAAATTTGAAAGACACGGCAGCTAAATAGTCGCCATAGAATCGATCCACTAGACACCGGAACTTTTCCAATACCACGATATACTTTATCACACGTGGCCGAGATGTCTCAAACCAAGAAGCTAACCTTCGTCATAGTAAATACTCACCTCTTTTACTTTATTCGACCAGCGCTGATTATCACAGGTCGGCGGTTCTCTGGGTGGACTTGCGACAGGCATAGCCCTCAAGGCACTGGGTCATGACACCACTATCTTAGAGCGTAATCCAAACCCTTTGCTTGAAGAGCAAGGGGCAGGTATGGCGTCGCTATTCATATCTAAATTTGGTCACATACTGAAGGTGGCTAGGCATTGTGGCAGGTGGTGACACACTCGAGTTCTTCAAACGGTATAATCGGTGCGATCGACCGATTGCGGTCACGTCGCATCGAAGACAGTATCTTGACAGGGAGGGAAACATTGTTCACAAGGAGGATATGAAGCAGAGCATGACATCAGTATAAATGTTTCACAGCCACCCGGTCAAAATGCTGTATCACTGACTTGAAGTACTATATTTAGTGGGATCTAGCGTATTATTTGATGCGAGCCAATTACGACGGCACAAGCAGCGCTCACTGTCAAGCACCTGAACGAGTTCCTAGTCATGGTAAAGCACTCCACCTTCACGACCACAAAGTCACCAACCTGAAACATGAAGCCGGCGGTGTACGCGTTTCCTGGCAGAAAAGAAATGGCGAAGAGGGCAGCATTCTCGCCGATAAAGTCATCGGCGCTGACGGCCCCAGCTCCACAATCCGCAAAATGCTGCAGCCCGAAGTCGAGCGGAAATACGCCGGCTACTGCGCCCTCAGGGGCACCGTCTCCGAGGAAAGAGTCAGTGACATGGCACGGGAGGCATTCACCGACCGCTTCACCTTCTTTCACGGCCCCGGTGTGCAGATCCTCGCCTACGTAATCCCGGGGAAAGCGGGCACGGTCGAGCTAGGAAAGCGACTTATCAACTTTGTCTACTACACAAACTTTCCCGAAGGCTCGCCGGAACTAGAAGAAATTATGACGGACAAGGACGGCCAGCGCAGGCACATCACCATGCCTCCCGGCATGACGGATCCTACAGCCTGGAGGAAACAATGCCAAATAGCCCGCCAGCGACTGCCCCCGCAATTCGCTGAAATCGTTTGCGCGACGCAGAAGCCGTTCGTACAGGCCGTCACGGACGTCATCAGCCCCGAGCATGAATTCATGGGCGGGAAGGTGGTGCTCATCGGTGATGCACTGGCAGGGTTCAGACCGCACACCGTGGCGTCCACTTCACAGGCGGCATTCGACGCCATGATTTTCGCGGATTATGTGGAGGGGAAGGTGGAGAGAGAACAATGGAAGAAGCAGACGTTGGGGTTTGCTAGGTTGATCCAGAGGAGGGGTGTTGAGATGGGAAGGAGGAGTCAGTTCGAGGAGCTTTCACTACAGGAATATATAGAGGATCGGAATGTTGCGTCTACGCCCAGGGAGCAAGAGGTTTATCCAGATTGGGCAGTTTCTGCTTAGAAATGTCAGTATTTGAGATTTCAGGTTCAATCTGCTAGACTTTATAAATAGTGCAAAAGCCTGATCATAAAGTGTCATCCCAGTGCATAATCTACACTTAGGTGAGCTACTTGAAAGCTTGATGTTGTATATTGACTGCATAGTCTCGATAATTGAAGTCGCTGTTATTTACACCACGCCATAGAGCAGAGTTGGCTCTCTTGTAGTATGTCAAAACCCCATCCGGTAGCAGCATGATCTAGAAACAACAAGAACTGCCCGTGAGTATCTTATTGAAGAGGGGTTTAAGCTGGATGGTCTCTTAACGAGATCTGGGGAAACGGTTAGTCCATGTCGAAACGTGAGGATAAATAGACCCAATCGCAGGACACTACATAGTGCTGCTGATAAGATAAGATAAGATAAGACAGACGTACAAACAACCCCTCTCCACCACTACCATCCACGAACAATTGCTAGGTGGCTACCCTTACCAGCTAACGGCCCTCCACTTTGGTGCCACTTTCGTGACTATCGTGGAAGACTTTCTGTGCTTGGTTGTTGGAGTGGCTCAGCATGCGGCGAACGATGTTGTTGGGCCGTCGCGTGGCGCATCCGTCACAGTTCCTCCAAAAACAGGCCCACAGAGGTGGTATTTACACTGCCTCCGTGCAAACTACACAACGACCAAGAGGCGGCCACATATTAATCGCGGCGGCTAGGACCCTCAACTTGGTCAAGACTTTCTGCAGTGCCCTGTGGAGAAATCTGGAGCGGCCAAATGTGAGTCACGCACCCGTTGACTGTAAGTGCGTCCCACCCAACTGCACGGCTGCCTCAATCACTGCCTGCTCATAGAGGTATTCAAGTGCACCTCCTAGGCATGGCAGTTGGAAAAGTTCGTGGCTTCGACATTTTTCATTTGCATCAAATTAGAGGCGAGTGAAGAAAGCATATTTGACTCTCATTGCGCACTTTAGCATCGGAGACTATGGCCATCTCACACTTTTTCGACAGCAAGATTGCCTCATGTGAAGACATTATCAATTACACGTTCCAGTCCAAAATTCTTTGTGCCCTCAACGCAGCAGCCGATTTTTCTGCTCACGTATTCACCAACGGGATCTTCAAGCTGCCCAGGAACGATCGTCTGGCAGTGTATGGTGATTCTATTGCCGATTTCCACCTTTGTGATCTTTGGTATGAGCAAGGCCCCGCAAGATGTAAGCTACTAGCGGCCATTTCTTGTCAATGGTACCAAACGCGCATTCGCTGATGGTTTCGTAGCGAAGGGGCAGTGGTCAGCGATCCGCAAAGACGTACTCGGAAACGACAACTTGGCCCATGTCGGATTCGAACACGGGCTTGACAAATGCGTGGTGTTGAACGGAGGCACGTACAAAGTTAGTAAGAGTATGATGGCAACCGCGGTTGAGGCCATCCTGGGTGCCGTGCACAAAGATGGTGGAAATGATGGATTGGTGTTGGTTATGCGTAGACTGGGCTTGACGCAACATGCGCATCTGCCGCAGGTTCTGGATTAATCTTATAGTGGAAAATGATAAAGGCATTATTGTGTACAGCATATTGTAATCCAGAAAGGTTGTCCAGTTAATTAGAGAGTTGCGTTGGGTTCTGCAAGCTCTCACTCACTTCGTTTTCCCACAGTACGTTCCCTTCTGCTCGGTTACCTCAACAACTCTCAATACATTCTTTCATCGGTGGCATTTATCCGCCTCAAGAATCCAGTTGCTTCACCCCATCTATGCTTGATCGCCTTCTTCCTTGTCTTGGAAGATTGAGGCTGGAGGAAAGACCAGGCGATCTCTCCCAGAACTAGATTACTTGTCTCTGGTAGCAGAAATATATATGTAGCACGAAGAAGCCAAGACAAATCAAATCAAGTACCCATACAATGTTAGAGTGTTGAATAGAGTAGGTGGATCCCTAACTGCGAACGAGTTTACACAGATAGTTCGAGGGAAGCCCCACATCATGGGATTGCATCGGCCATAGTTGTCCAGGAAGAACGTGGAAACCAGTGAGCCGATGGAGAACATGGCCAAGTAGCACAGGTTGCGCTCCAATCCCATATTCAGCAGCGAAAAGGAATAAATGTCTTGAAATATATCAGTGTCTGGCACATGCCCGCGATTCCTGCCTTGGGTGTGAAATCAGAGATTGCTCATGAAGTAGTGTTGTTCCTGGGTGTCTAGCCGTTAAACACGATATGGATAGCCGCAGCGTATCGCTTTAGCGCAGCCTTTACAGTCTCATGATAAGTATTATATTGTGTAATATATTTCTATCTATGGTAGGGGCGAAAAGGTTATTACCTTAGATATTAATCAATACAGAGAAGTATGTCAACAGAGGTTGAAATTTTTCACAAGAAATTTCCTTCCGGTAAGGGCTCATGGCAGAATTTGGTCCGGAAATCCTCGTTACCGATGATTTCTCTAAACACCCCTTGGTCGTATCTGAAAAAGGTAAAGGTAATTTCAGAGTGCTCCTGAAAAGGCGCATTGAAAACAAATTCCGATCTAGGCGCGTTTCAGTATGCTGACAACTTTGTATGTTGAGTACTACCAAGACCAAGCTTAAGGGTTTTGAGGTCACATCCTAGCTTTCATACCGAATAGAAACACAGCTACCACAACATAGTCACAAAATACCATAAAGAAATAGTAACGATGCAGACAATAGATATTTGGTTATGATTTCCTCGCTGTAATGGCTGCCCGGCCCCACGACAAGACGATATCCAGGGTTTGGCATCAGCCGATGACGCCTTCGGATACTCGACAGCTCTACAAATAGTTTTTGACCTTCTGTTTGTGTCTTGCGGTATGATGGCAAGTCACTTAGGCGTAAATTGTTCGCTACGCACTATACCAGATATATGATGTGCCATCAGTCGTTTTAAGTTTCTTACTCAAACGAAGTATTCCGGGAAGTCCTTTAATTTCCTCAAAGCCATGACGACATTCCCACTGTCGACGAGGGGACACTGTTTCCGGCTCGGTCCCGATTGTATGTTCAATTCGAAGCCTATTCAAACCTCTGATGAAATCGGTGTAAGTTGATCCAATAAGGTTGAATGTCGAGCGCTATGATACTTTGGAAACGACTTCGTTTTAAGAAGAAATCCGGGACAACTTAGCCATGGGATGAAATATCAGATGCGATCTTCGAATTCTAAATTCCAGAAGTCTTATCTGGAAACGACGATGGGAATTTATGTGTAATACGGGCAAGAGAGCTGCATTGGTGATGGCGAGACTAACTCCCAAGAATCTACAGCTACAGAAGGCAGGGCTAAGTATCACAGCAGTGGCCTCGGCACAGCCTGTTCCACGCACCAGAAGTGATGGTTCATTGTGCATTAACGCCCATACACTCTTGGCGAGGGAGAATCAAGGTATTGGATCCTTGGCTAGATCCGGAATACAAGGCCCGACGTGTGAGGCTAGGTTTTACCTCTCCAACATTTCTCTCCTTGGACGACCGATGATGAATCATATTCTTTCGCCGAATTTCCACTCACTAAGTGCAGTACCACGATTGCTAGCCAGAAATATTTGCTCACCGGACGGACTTCTTTTGAATAATTCGGGCTCTCTTAGTTCAAGTTGAGCTAGACTTGCGACCACTGAGACTTGAGAATTCCAGACTCTAGCCATATAACGCTTAACGAAGTAGTCAATCTAGTATACACCTAGCCTCCCTTAGCCTTTAGTATTTCCTAGGCGAAATCGGTGTTGAAACCCGTCCTAGGGGCCCTTATACAGAGTTATTTGTATAAAGAATAGTTTACGATAACCTTAACTCACTCTCCAGTAAGCTTCTACTATTCTATAGTAGCATCGTGATACGATCTAGTCTTAGTAAGCTAGTATAAGAGACTCGAGATAATGACGCGGCGCGCAGCCGCTGCGAAATATTTGAACTGCAGATAAAAAAGTTAGCTCATTCAATCCACTACTGACAATCGTAAGTTTTGAATTGAAGTACATTATATATTGATATATATAGTTGTGGAGTTATCATGTATTCAAGAGGAGTCGCGTCTCGATATTTTCCTAAGAACACAATTGAAAATGGTGTGCATCGACAATGGCGGTCAATGCGGCTAGATTTAACCACAACGAACACATGTCTCTCTGTGTGCCCCACCAGCATTTGTAGCCACGCCGCTGAATGGCATCTAAATAACCAGGTGACGTGCATCAAAGAACAGGCAGGAGAATCAGGGAATTGTTAGAATTCGTCTCAAAGGAAGCGGATAAAGAACATTCCCCGTTACTTAAGAAACGTAATTCAGGTACAATAGCGAGATCTTAGCAGGTAATGAAGGTATCAGACAATGAGATGATGTCTCAGCCCCAGATGTGTCCCAAAACAACACTTGGAGAAGTACTTGTTCACAGCGCCTCTTGAAGGGTTCTAACGGACTATTTCAGAAGCATGCCACGAGTAGAACAACTGCTCAATAAGTTAGTAGAGGCCCTCCGCCATTGACCACAATGCAGTCCTCACCCTCCACTCAACAATTAGACACGAAGACAGTGAATCCCAAGTCCAGAGGATACGATATACATCCCGACACAAGCAGCCCCACCGAAACCGCCCAGCGGATCCGCATCATCGTCAATAGGCACCTCACTGACCTTGATAAAGTCGCCGCCGAGCTCGCGCCGAGCTTTGGCCTCGGTTCCGACTTGCTCGCCCAACAACGCGCACAATTTCTCTTCGCCTACCCCGGACTACATAGAGCCTTCGATGAGTTCGACAATCGGTACATCGCTGGCGGCTATGATCTCCCACTGCCGGAATGGCATTTAGTCCTGCCGCTTGTACACAAGCACGTGGATAATCCCAAGTGGGCCCGGCTGGTGTACCCGGATTACCGCCGGTGGGACGTGAATAGTCACTATGCGCGGTTCATTGAACGGGTAATGAGTGAGATTCACGATCGAACGGAGAAGAAACGATGTAACCTGGTATTTTGGGTCCGAACGGCGGGGCGGGATGATGCGTATTGGGTGCTGTTTCATGCGCTGATGTATTTACACTTGGCCAGGATGCTGGATAACCAGCGGAACTCACCCCTGAAGGAAAGAATTAAGCGACTACTGAGTCATTGAAAAGGGGTTGCATTGCTCCTTAGTTGGGAAGGAGAGGCAACTCATTCCACACACACAGTGGTGACATATTGGGGTGGCACACGGCACACACACTCATTAAAAGACGAAAGTTGGCTGGTTGAACCCGGCTTCCCGACATGTACACAAATAGCAGGATAGTTCATCCCGTCTTCATCTTAAAGTGTTTGTGACTCGTGGTGGCATCAACAAGCTGAGCATCAACAGGGTGAGGCTCAACATAAGTACAGATCAGCACCGTTGAAAAAGACAGGAAATTACTATGGACTACGTGCAAACCTCGAGCCCACGAAGACGACTTCGAGAAGCGCATCAGAAGTGCGATTCTTGTGGGAGGTCGCCTACGCATAACACGATTCAGCCATAAATCGGATAAGGATAGATAGTCCAGACCGTCCCCCTTGGTGCACCCGCTCTAGAGGCAGTGCAAACCCTGATTGACAGGAGAGGAGACCAAGCGGACGGACTTGAAGTGATTAGCATGTTTTATCACCAAGATAGGATCAACAATCAGGTGCAGAAGAGAAGTAGTTGGTATTTGACGAGCTTCCACTGCACATAGGTTATGTGGACTCATTGGGCAATAAGACACTAATAATAGTAGACTAGATGCAGGACCGCCCTGACCCAAGCCGAAAGCTTGGCTCGGAGCCAACTTTAGCCTCGGACGAATCGGCGGCTCGGACCTTACGTCCGTTGTTCTCACCAGCCTAGGACGTACGCACTAAGTGTCTCCTTGTATTGCTAACGGTGCGACGTATCGCAAAGAAGCCGCATTCCAGAGTCCATGATGTTGTATAACGAATCCCCTACTATCCAAGGTTGCTACAACGAAATTCAGGACTGCCTACTTTTAGGCAGATGATGTTTGGGTCCAAACAGCTTGACAAGTACGAATGGCAAACGGCGCCTCGCGAGTTGTTGGGAATCATCTCCACTTTAGGGTCCAAAACCCACTTGAACATTTCTTTACATGCAGCCCAGTAGGTAGCCGGGTCGGTGAGATGGGGTGCAGATTTTGAATCGCCTGTCCAGATCGACTCATTCCTATTTAATTGGTTACCTTCCGTTTTCTTCCATGGTCATTCCTGGGTTGTTACCGCGCCTCTTTTTTCCCTGTCACTACCAACGGCAACTCATCGCATCATCGATACGTCAAACCCCTACATCGTCTTCTCAATCAGGGGACCGAGGAAATTGACTACCTGCCCGAGCTCCGTCGCGTTCGAAAATTTTCACAAGGACCAGCAACGAATCAATTATTTATTATTGGCACGTGGGCATGCTCTCTGTTAGACGGACTGGAGTAGAGTGCCAATTAGCGCTCTAATCCCGGGCCGAGTACTACTAATTTTAGCAGCGGCAGTCATGGCTTCCTCGGAGCAGCAAGACGACAATGAGAAACCGCATGATGTGGAGCGCGACGCCGGCACACCGGCTAGTAGCGGCGACGACGGCGCGACCCTGACCGATGGAACGCCCGCAGCGGCGGCTCCCGTGGTCACTAAATACACACCAACACCAAAGGCGGAAACAGCAAACCCACCCGAAGCCGGCCGGACGCGGTGGGAGACATGGCTCATCATGTTGGCGCTGTGCTCGGGCTTGTTCCTCGCCGCGCTCGACACCACCATTGTGACAACGGCGATCCCCACCATTATCGAGGAGTTCAAATCGCCTTTGGGCTACACCTGGATTGGAAGTGCCTACCTTCTGGCCAACGCTGCGGCCGCCCCCTCATGGGGCAAGCTGAGCGACATCTGGGGCCGCAAGCCTATGCTGCTGTCGGCCGTGGCCGTCTTCTGGGTTGGCTCTCTGGTCTGTGCGCTGAGTATCAGCATGGGCATGTTGCTTGCTGGCCGGGCCATCCAGGGCATAGGGGGTGGAGGCATTGTGGTCCTAGTCAACATATCGATTGCGGATCTGTTCTCGATGCGTCAGAGGGGGGTGTACTACGGCGTGCTGGGTATGGTTTGGGCCATAGCCAGTGCCATTGGGCCCGTCTTGGGAGGCGTATTCACCGAAAAGGTCAGTCTATGTGCTATGTTTCTCTCCACCCTAGGAGTTGTTGTATATGGTATTGAGTGCATCTGTTGGCCCTTTTGTTTTGGGGAAAGGAAACATGGAAGAGGAAAAGGGCGACACGAACCCCCCACTGAAACTAAGTTGTGCTGACGTTTCATCTACTAGATCTCATGGAGATGGTGCTTCTATGTTAACCTCCCTATCTGCGGCGCGGGATTCGCCATCCTCGTCTTCGTCCTGAAGCTTCACAACCCCCGCACGACCCTGCGCGAGGGCCTGGCCGCTATCGACTGGCTCGGTAGTATCCTCATCATCGGCGGCACCCTCATGTTCCTCTTTGGCCTCGAATTCGGCGGCATCATCTACGCCTGGAACTCACCCACCGTTATCTGCCTGCTCGTCTTCAGCGTCGCCACCATCAGCGTCTTCTTCCTTGTCGAGCACAAGTTGGCGAAGTATCCTGTCATCCCGCTGCGGCTCTTCCACAAACGCACTAGTGTTATTTCCTTTGCCGTCTGCTTCTGCCACGGCTTCGTGTTCATTAGTGGTAGTTACTGGTTAACCCTTTATTTCCAAGGCGTCCTCGGCGTTTCGCCTCTCCTGTCCGGCGTCTATCTCCTGCCTTTTGCCCTCTCGCTCTCCTTCGTCTCCGCCAGCACCGGCATCTGGATGAAGAAAACGGGACAATACTTACCTGCCATCATCTTCGGCATGTTGTTTCTCACCCTCGGCTTTGGCCTCCTCATTAACCTCGAGTCCCACGCCAACTGGCCCAAGGTCATCATCTTCCAGATCGTCGCGGGCATCGGTGTGGGTCCCAACTTCCAGGCGCCCCTCATCTCTCTGCAGTCCGCCGTCGACCGCCGCGACGTCGCCTCGGCCACGTCGACCTTTGGATTCATCCGCCAGCTCGCCACCTCGATGTCTGTCGTCATCGGCGGCGTCGTCTTCCAAAACGAAATGCAGAAGCAGCACCCCTCGCTCCTCGCCAGCCTGGGGCCCGAACTTGCCAGTCAACTGTCGGGCTCTAGCGCGGTGGGTAGCGTCAGCGTAGTAGCCGCACTCACGGGCGAGCAGGGCGACATCGCCAAGGCGGCATACTGGAACAGTCTAAAGACCATGTACATAATGTACACGTGTGTCGCCGGGTTGGGTCTTCTCATCAGTCCGCTTGTCGGGCAGCGCAAGTTGAGCAAAGAGCACCAGGAGCACAAAACAGGCCTCAAGAGTTTGCAGACTGGTGCAGAAGGGGACAAGAAAGACCAGGCAAAGGGCCAGGAGCAGGGTACCGCAGCCAAAGAACCTAATGTCTAGTTTGACACCAACGACCGATCGGCTTCGAAGCTGAGATGTCTCCGACTTAATCGTGGGATAGATGTAATCGTATTCATACCATGGAGTTTGGGATATAGTACTTGTATTGGAGGCGTTCATCTTATCATAGAGCTGGGAACAATATACAGCATAGAGTATATTCACATCCGATTGGGAATTCATTAATTTGTGCTTGCATCATGGGCTTTTTATGGAGCGAACACCCATCCAAGCGACGAAGCTTACCCCTTTTGCGATTCTATACCGCTCACGTGGTGATGGTATTTATGTGCCATTCAATGTACTGTCGTAGCCATATTCATTTCAATGGTCCTCAAAGCGGAGAGCTGGTGCGCAACTCATCACAGAGGGAGCCTGCAGAGATACTCGACGCGGACAGAGAAGGCGATGAACTAGATGATGGCAGCCTCGACGTGCCCGTCTATCCGTCTAGACCGGACTTCTTCCGATCCAATAGCAAGCTGCTCTGGGTGCCATGGGAGAAGTGAAGTTAGATACATGGGTGACAGAGATCGGTCCCCATGTGTTTGAGATGCCTGATCTGATCCGAAGAGCGCGACGGGTTGTGGCCTTGGGGAGTAAGTTATGGTTTCTAGTTGAATCATTGGCTTGTCGGGTCGACTTGGCAGGCTTCCTATCTTTACTTACATCGTTGTTGATGTCATTCGAGGCATCTTCCTTTTGAGGCGTTTGTAAATCCAAAAATTCCTGTTTTTGCTAATCGCTGTACTTGTAGTTATTGATCTTGTCCAATTTGTGATTCATCCCATGGCAATGCCAGTGATGAACATGGCGGTAGCATTGCTCACGATTCTTATCGTGCTGCTGCTCCATGGAATTGGCATGCAGAGCCTTCGAAACGCCAATCGGATCCCTGGCCAGAAGCGGTGCCTTGTCGGATATCCTGCTCGAACCCGCTCGACGTAGGACACGACCACCTCATGCCGCAGTGGTCGTTTGCGTTTGCATGACCCGGTCATTTGAGTAATGGGTTCATATACAACATGGTGCTTGGCTGCGAGAGTGCTGGACCACGCGAGGGCGCTGTTGATGGCCATCATCTCGTTGTGCATTGAGAGCTCTGTGTTGGCTAGATTGCCTGCCGCTGCCCCTGCCAGAGACGCTTTCGGAGACCTTGAGTGGTCCAACTTCGAATTGACGGTAGTGCAATGAAGGGCAGGCCTAGTGGGAGAGGCCAGGGAAGCTGGCCCGTCTTTAAGGCGCCAAGATTCTTATACTTGCCATTCTTTATTGTGTCTGCGGTCGATGTAAAATCGTGCTGCGGGCCTTTTTCAATGTTAATTCGTGCGGCTTGGTACTTTCCCTCATATTTCACGGTGCAATATTGTATGGTCATGTCAGTTCCACTGACAATCAGGAACTTCTTACAATTTCACCTTGTAACAATACACCCTGATACTCGGTTTCAATGGCTTCCGCGGGCCCCTAGAGGCTCTCTGTTTATGGGACTGCCTAGATTCGCTAGAGAGTGTATACCAGGATGGGCAAACCATACCCTCTCCGATCACCACTCAAGCACAAGTACCTCGCGCACACGCAATCATAGCATTGACAACCTTAAAGTTTGGGTTCTCCAACCAGATGATGTATACGCGAGGGTCGCAAGGACAACCCATTGCCATTGGAGGTAGCAGCCCCCCATCAGCGCTCCAAGAGCGACCATTCCATGAAGGCCTTCTTCGCCGCGGACCGTAATATCAACTTCTGTATATCAGGCGTTAAGGCGCCGCTCTACCGGCACATTCTGCGCGAAGAGACTTCGAATCGAACCAGAACCTCAGGCCATATATAATGCTACGCAAAGATGAGCACAACTTCCTGCTGAGTCTAATCCGTCAACCATTCTCGCATTGGCAGCATCTACGCACCTTGAACATCCAAGGTATGTTTCTACCCGATGTGTGGCCTTGCTGGTTTGCTGACAAGACATGCAAGATCGCTCGAGCGCCTGCATCTAGGTGGATTGATGCATCATGGCAGGTTTTATACCACAGCGCCTCGAGACAGTATCAGGGTGAAGGATATACGAATGTCCGGACGACCACTTATGCAAGGCATTCTGCCAGAGCGCTTTCTTACAAGGCGCGGAGTGTGGTAGTATCATGTGGCCTGTGGACGTTCTGCTTCAGAAGAACCCTGGATTAATCATAGTTGATCATGCATTGCCGAATGTCGGCATTGTATGCGCTGATCATGTGGGATTGAGCGCCACGGATATGCCCTAGGCCGAAGGCGGTGTAGCGGCAATTGCACTAGTGGGGTCAAACCCTTCCTCGTAGATAAAATAGCTACACACAAGACACAACAAAGCAGATAGACAGATCAATCAACACAGATCTACGCAGGGTCATCAATAGAGGACTGAATCCCTCAGTTCACATGGATTGTTTGCCTTCAAACCAGGGCGGTGGATAGACAATAAAACACTATGGGGTTGCAACTCAGGCTCTTAATTGACCTGTTTAGTATGCTTGAAGGCATCAATTCTCCATCCGATCAAATTTTCCTTGGCTACCAGTGTCAAAAACACCAGGCGGTTAGCTCGATACAACAGCACCACTGCTAACTGCTCTGGCTGAGCATCATCTGCGACGACACAAAACCGCACGCCCAAGGTCCCTCTTGATCATAACTATCTTCATTGCTACCAGCCTCATCCCCTGCGAGGCTATCTGCCAATGAATGCCTTCAGCTTCTTGTCATCCAGGATCTCTCCTTCCACCAACCGCCCCGTCTCCTTCACTTGTCCATCCATACGCTCAAACCGAACCAAAGTCGGCACATTGCTGATGTTCCATGTGTTGCGAAACTCATTTCTTGGTTCGCGCCATCTATTGCATCATCCACGTCAGTTTCCTTCTCCACGGACAATTCAACCTTCATTCAGTGGCAAGAATATTCCCCAGGGTAAAAAGTTTGGCAACGGAGCATCCAACGTACTCATCTTTTTGACCGACCTCTACCAATGCGACCTCCTCGTCTGGTGTATGCCCTCCCTCCGAGAAGGCGGCTTGGATAACGGGCAGCGCGGCACGGACATCGGGACACCAGGGCTGCCTCGTCACGGGATCGACCGAAGCCATGAATGCAATGTACAGCCTTGCTTTGGGTTGGGGACCATCTGCCTTTGTGGGATAAGGCAAAGAGACGAAGGTCGGCGAGCTAGGGAGGGTGAAGTTGGTTAGGACAGGCATTATTGCTGCTAGTCGGCGTGAGATGTGTCGATGGGAACAATAGGTGTTGATTTCGACCGTCAAGATGATCAAGTCGCAATAAGGGACGATTGACTGCCCGCGAATGTTGTGTTTCTGCTGGAAAACGATGGTGACTGCGGTGAAACTTGTGGGGCTGGGCGATTTTTTATGATGCCATATAACGTCCCACACCTACATCCGGGACACCCCACATGTGGGACGCCCTAAAAATGACGCTGTATATTATAACCATTAACTTCAACCTTTTTTAATACTTATTCTGATGCGACTACAGTACAGTTTCACCGTCACTAGGGTTTTCAGACTCGCTAGACTCATCTGTACTATCCTCAATTTCACTAGCCTCGATTTGAGCCCTCCGAACAGCCTTGATATTAGTAAACTTCGAATTTGGGCTCATCTTCACCTTCCTCCGCTTCCTAGCCCTACTAGCCTCAATCTCTGCCTCTATTGCCTCAATCTTTCGCTGTGCGACAGCTAACTAGTAGTCCTTCTCATCAAAGCCCTTTTGAACTTTCCGAAAGAGTAGCCGCTGAGTATTTGGATCACCATCAAGCTTGCTGAATAAGCTGAGTTGATCTTGGAGCTTATCTCTCCTCTTAGGCGTTGACTAGGCTACTGCCGATGTCTCTAACGCCTAGTTCTAACTACTAGAGTGCCCTTTGCAAGTCTAACTAGGCTGTTTGATTGGTGCTGACGTATTCTTAAGGAGCAGGGGTGTAACGAGGCAGAGGCACATAGGTACGAATCAAGGTTGCATATCAGTGCATCTCTATTGTTGAATACTAAACTAGGGAAGAAAGAGAAGGAAAGGGTTACAAGTATGTCTGGCCGTTCTCCTATTATAAGGGGAACGCGCTCGTCCAGATCAGGGCAGGCCATGTCAGGATGTCCCTGCTTATCGTCCATGTGTCAGTCGTCACAAGGGGGCTCATAAGGGGTCTAGCTATGCTCGAAGTCTAGAGACCAGTATATTTCCATCCACTGATAATGTTCTTAGCGGTCAATGCTGCTAGACGTGCCTTTCTATAGTAGAGGAGAAAGTTTCTCTTCCCTACGACAGTAGTAGTATCCTATTAGTCAAGGTAACCAAGCTCCTTCTTATAGGCTGCCTTGAGGGGTCCAAAGACTGACTGATCGAGATGCTGGAGAACGTGGGATGTGTGTGGCGGTAAGAAAAGCAAGTGTATCTTGTTTATGAAGCAGAGGTACATAAACTCTGTCGTTTCGTGGCTACTATTGTAACGGGGTAAGGCCGGACATCAGGGAAATAGGTTACGGGGCTAGGAGAAAGTTTCTTTTCTCTTCTCTAAGAGGCACAGAGGCAGAGTAGGACACGAGTCCCCCATCTTCACGCATCATCATCCTCATCTCCTTCTTATCTATATCTTCACCTTCGCTTTTCAGTCAGTTATTTAGTTATTTTAGTTATTCAACTTATCTTTACGTTCGAGATCTGTTGGTACTGGAGCCGTCTGTTCAGTGTGTTAGGTGGTAGGTATATCCTACTGACCGCCTGACCCCGTTTCACTATGCCCATCTAGGATAAGTACCCTAGTCTCTTCAGGGTCCTCTGGTTGAGTTAAAGGAATAAAGATCTTTTGTAGCTACTCAATAGCCGTAGAGTCTGACGTCCACCTATTCTTTGTTGCTGCAAACCTCCAAGCTTCGTATAGAGTCAAGTCTAGAGGAAACCACTGCTGCTGGACAGACTTCCCCTTGTATATCACAAGTGGGGGTAGTGCAGTACCAGTCACAGAGATACACTCTATAAGAGATGTCCAAGCTCGAGATCCAGGCTGTTTCTTCCGTATAGAACGAGTCTCAGATGATCCTAGAACAAGACTATTTGATCCTCTACCTTCTAGAATACCTGTCTCATCCATATTGTATCGATTAGAGGCCTTAATAGCTTTGATCTCAGGGATAGCGAGTGTCACGACCTGGGTTGCATCGCATTGGTAGAGACCTCGATTAGGTGCTATCGACGAAGATTCTACTCTAAGGAGCGAAGGAAAGAAGATCACAACTTAGGTTTGAGGGAGCGCGACTAAGTCGTCCACGCTTGGCGGGGCTCCTACAAGGGTTATGACTGGCTTCCCATCTGGCACTGCCATGGCAGGTGTTCCAGCTGTAAGTCACCTGGTTGTAGTGAGTCTGCGAGGGTTGACCTTCACAGCGAGGTATTTAAACCATTACCTGATTATATTAGCTGAGGCTCCATTAATAAGCTGAGAATCGATAGCTCTGCTTCTCTGGACCTTGACTGAAGGGTTCCTCTTGATAAAAGCCTGGACCCAGTTCTTTCCAAGTGGTTCGGTGTCTCCGTGAATCTGTAGGATACGCTCGGCGAAGTCTTTGAGCTGTTGATAGGTTGGTAGGAGGCTTAGGGCAGCCTGGATTCGAATCCATTCAGCCAGATGGGATTCCTAGGCTGGAGAGAGCCTCTGGTAATCAGCGAAGGCTATATCTCTTGACTGGGCTCCCTGAATCCGTCGTGAAAGAGTAGACCTTGGGACACCATGCTCATATGCTGCTTTTCGGAGGCTTTGACCGGTAGCTATTGCTTGAAGAGCTCGATAAATATCACCTTCGGTATATTGACTTATATTAGTGTAAAGAAGACGTACATAAAATTTCGTAACGATTGAATCGATATTGGTAAACATAAAAGAGGTTGAAGTTGGAGGCTAGCGGTGTTGATGAGGCATTTTTGGGTGTCCCACATGTGGGGGTGTCCCGGATGTGGGTATGGGACGTTACCGCTGATTCGGTTTAACCCCAGGTTTACCCCGAATATTTGATCGTTGGCTCCACTCAACTCCGCAGCACCTATACTCACAAAACATTGATCAGTTGATCTACTTAAGCATAGGTAGTTAGCAGTTAACGAGAGATTCTGTGCTTTCTTGAATCAGTGAATATTTATGTCGGGACAGGGTTTTTGCGTCTTGCTTTTCGAGTTTCGGATGATTTACGCCAAAGTGTGTCTTCCATGGATGTAAAAGGACCTGAGTGATTTAGGTAGACATTCAGCAAGCTTGCAGGAAGACAAGTCAAAGAGAAGAATCCAATGCTCGTTCTTTTTGTCTGCCGAGGCTATTATTTGTACCTGTTTAGATACTTTTGTTATCCAAGTCGATCGATCCCAGCCTGTTGAGGCTTTACTTGTTGTCCACCTGCGAAGGTGATCCTATTCTAGGACTTGTTAAGTCTTTTTCTATTAAGTCTGTTAAGGCTAAGTCGATCAATCGTTCCTGCTCATGTACTTCATGTACTTTGTTGATATAACTAGAGCGATAAAGCCCTAAACTCCGTAGCTGTAATTATGTCTCTAGTTCTTATACTCACTCACTATATTAGACTACTCATTAAGAGAAAACGCGTCCGCGTCGGATATTTTAGACTTGGCGTCGGTAGCGTCTGGATGTAGAACTTTTATCTTGGTCCGCGACCCGCCGTTTAGAACCTAATAATAATGGTCGGTTCCTGTGCTCCAGCGCTATCAAGCGGTCACGGCCCTCCCTAGCTACCAAAACGGGCAGCCAAACAGTGCACACTCAACACTAGCATCGGGACCCACCGCATAATTCAGATTAGGCCCATATCTTAGACCAACTTGCAGTTGCTCCCGGACTCACTGCTGGCGATGAAGCCGTTGAGGTGGGATGGCTCCGTGTCCGTGTACAGGCTAAATTGTGCCGCATAGATGATAGGAAACCGTGACCATTCAGTCCCTTGGAGGTTCGTTCAATACGCTGAAGTATAAGAGATTCATTCCGCAGCCTACACAAGGCCCTGTACTCAATCATTAATCACACCATTCGCTCTCTCACTGGCCAGCCCCTCGCCCGAACATGTCGATGCTCAAGACACTCGCTCTCTTTTCCCTGTTTGTGATATCATTCGCTTCGCCTGTTAATGTGAGGCAAAATTCTGGGCCCTCGGTGGCCATCAGGAATGGAACTGTCGTTGGATCTTCGTCAGGCGGCGTCGACTCGTTCAGGGGTATCCCGTTCGCTCAACCCCCTGTCGGCAACCTCCGGCTGCGAAAGCCACAGCCACTTGTAGCAGGCTTTAGCGGCGGTGTATTCACGACCACGGGTACGCCGAGGTCATGTCCTCAATACTCGACGGAAACCAACACATCCAGCCTCTCATTGACGGTGGCCGCTCTGTTCTCCCTTACACCGCTGGGTCAGGCCATGACTACGCCGACGGGCGAGGACTGTCTGACGCTGAATGTACAGCGCCCTTCCACGGCTACTTCGTCTTCAAGATTGCCTGTCGTCTTCTGGATATTTGGCGGCGGCTTCCAAGCGGGTTCAACCTCTATGTACGACGGCACCAACTTCATCACCAAGTCAATGTCGCTGGGCGAACCCGTTATTTTCGTGGCGGTAAACTACCGGTAAGTTTCTATACAGGTCACTATACGTAGCTTCTACCCTTCTGATCTTGATTCCAGGGTGTCCGCCTTTGGATTTCTGGCGGGAAGGGAGCTCAGTGCCGAGGGCTCAACCAATCTGGGCCTCAGAGACCAGCGTCAGGGTCTCAAGTGGGTGCAGGAAAACATTGCTGCCTTCGGAGGAGACCCCGACCGGGTCACCATCTGGGGCGAGTCAGCCGGCAGCATCTCCGTCTTTGACCACACCATCATCAACGGCGGCGACAACCGGTACAATGGCAGACCCCTTTTCCGCGGCGCCATCATGGACTCGGGGTCCGTAGTCCCCGCACTCTCAGCCACCGCTGCCAAGGCCCAAAATGTCTTCGATAGTGTCGCCAGCGCTGCCGGGTGTGGCGCTTCTGCTGACAAACTTGCCTGTCTGCGGTCCGTCGACTACGGCACGCTGCTCAATGCCCAGCGTGCCGTCCCAAGCATCAACAGTTATCGCTCTCTCGACCTCAGCTACCTGCCCCGTCCAGACCCCAGCGATAACTTCTTTCCTCGATCGCCCGAACTCGCAGTAGCTGCCGGCCGGTTCGCCAAGGTGCCCATCATCATTGGCGATCAGGAAGACGAAGGCACTGTCTTCGCCCTCTCCACAGGCAACATCACCACCAACGCCCAACTGAACGCATATTTGGCTTCCTACTTCCCTGGAAATCCCAACGCCCTTTCTGATGTCTCGGGTCTTACCGCCCTCTATCCTAACCAGCCGTTGCTGGGCCAACCGGCCGGCTCGCCCTTTCGCACCGGCGCTGCTAACAACATCTACCCCCAGTTTAAGCGTCTAGCCGCCCTCCTAGGGGACATCGCCTTCACCCTGACCCGCCGCGTCTACCTCGCCCAGGTGGCCAGTCAAGTGCCCTCATACAGCTATCTTTCCACCTACCTATATGGCACTCCCGTTGTCGGCACCTTTCACGGAACTGATGTGCTTGTGGCCTTTGGCATTGTCGACGGCGGTGCTAGCACACCTGCACAGACCACGCAGACGTACTTTATCAATTTTATCAACAACCTCGATCCCAATCTTCCTACGACCCCAGCGCCATTGATCAACTGGCCCAGATGGTCGACGGCTTCGCCCAACCTGCTGAACTTTGGGCTCTTCGGCAATAATATCCTTGCCGATGACTTTAGGCAGAATGCTTTCAACTACCTTAGGGCAAGGCCCTCGAGCTTCCGCATATGATGAGCCGAAAGGGGTGTTCTGCAGTATCAGTGGTGATGACATGTTAGGATAATCTTATTTCCCTTGCGTTTTTACCCTGGTTGCTACACGTCTTCGACAAGGTATCTTCTCCATCATCCGCGGGAGTCTACAACGCTCCTTGAGAGTCTGTTATATTACTGTTCGACATACATCTCCCAGGCAATTAAAATTAATAATAGAGCATTTTGCGCTAGTTTTCAGCACTTGGATCCATTGTTTCCTTCCTTTTAGTTCTTGCAGCAGGAAAGCTTTAACACGTCATCTTCAGACCTTTTGACACATCATCAAGATAGTCATTACCAGCTATCCTCCGCATTTTGTTCCAGCTATAATCAGTATGAATACTGTGAAGCTTCCTTCATAGCTTGATCTCCTCGGCACCAGTATGCATTCCATCAAGATATATTCGCGAGCACATCGCAGCAACTGGAACTTGGAAAGCAGACATTATTTCCTGGTGCAGCTTCAGGTAGCATCGCATCTAGCTCGAGGTGTCACTCTATATCCGTCAGGAGCACTTCACCGTCTCCTCACGTCGGCACCTCTACCTCAATCCCAGTCAATAAATTATCGTGGCAGCCTCAGTGGACTAAGAAATGATTCAGCCGACGTCGACGACAGCCAGAACTGCTCCCTCTGGATCACCAGACTTCCCGCTCATTGAGATTGTGACATTTGCCGTCCTCTACTTGATCCTGCGGACTGTGCATTCTTTCCGATTTGAACTCGACCATGTAACTACAATCCGCGAAACCGAAACCATGAGACAGGGCGAGTGGCACTTCGGCTCTTTCAGACAACAGACAGAGACATATGCCATACTGTGACGACAGCAGCACAAAACGCGTGGAGATATAGAGGTCGAGAGACCCCCTGGTCTCGCCTTCGGGTACGATATGTTAAGCAATGCATAGAGGCACTTACTTGTGTCAGTTTGCGGTGGCAGATTGGTCAGGAAGTGTATTTACCGACAACTGGGGAAAGTCCCGATGGCACAATTAGCGAACGGCGTAATCCACCGCCTTGTCAGCTGCACCCAAATTCTCACAATTACCGCGGTCCAACATACTGACCTTAATCCACTAGATTTATATGAAGGCCAAAAAAGGATGTTTTTTTCTTCTCTATAATGGTTACTTCTGGTTTGAAGCGGGGTTTTGTAGCCCTACGCTTGGCCGTACCTTCCCATCTCCACTATATCTAAGGACCTTAGGGCAACATTGGCCATAAGACAATGCCTCCTGCCTACAACAAAGGCTTCAGCGTGCCTGTCCAGTACCGCCAGCAAGTATCTTATACAGTACTTAGAGTATCATGGAACGAGAATCGCTTTCGCTCACATAGGCAGTAATCTCAATTTATCATACAAGTACTTCACCCTCTCCATTTCCATTTAAAACGCCCGCGTCTCAAAATTATATTTGAGCTCCTAGACAAATTTTGCAAACCACATCGCCAATAACTTATAACTTCTGTTATATAATTGCAAGGGGCAGAATATTACTCTTTTTAATGTGATACGGACTGAGAGCTTACTCAGAATCAAAACGAGAACAAATTGCAAGGGCACGCTTATATCTAAGCGTGTAGAGTTCCGAGCCAACATACTAAGTAAGTATATGTAAAATAATGGCTAGTTTTAGAGAGAACGTCATACATTTCGACTGTGAGATGCAGAACTCGAGGAACATGTATGGCAGTAGTGTTTGCGCATCTTACATTGTCTTGGGAGCAGAGACGATTCGTCGAGATTCCCCGAGCAGCAACCGGCGTCATTTCGAGCTTCGAGTTCCACAATCCCTTATTGAACTGGGGCAAGACCTCCATGACGGAAGGCTTCCTTATTTCAACATCACCAGGTAGTCTGATCCAAACGTCTCCGCATTTGTCGCCGCTTATCCAATGCTCTCTGTCTCGCCTTTTCTACCCTGGCAAACTCCTCCACCCGCACCATGACCCTTTCCGGCAGTGTCATCTCCAGTGGAACCTTGTCTCTCTCCGGTGGATCCTGCGCACCACGGTCTTGGCGCCAGTCCTTGTAGTCTTTCCATAAATCCTTGGCCGACAATACTGCCGAGTGCCTCTCACATTGGACTCCCGCTCGGTAGTAACCCCAATAATGACACCGTGCGAAACACTTGATTGCCGTCTTTACATTCCCTATCACTTGCCCCGCTTTCTTCTTGGCCTCGCTACACTTCTTCAAGAACCGCCGTCTCTCCATCCGCTCAGCATTATCGTGACGTGCGACAATAATTTCCTGCGCCGCGTCGACATACGTCTTCCTGAACAGCTGCCACAGCTTCTCGTCATCGGCACGCCCCTTTCCAGGTCGGGGATAATAGGGTTTATTGTGCCAAAAAGCCTTGGCTACCTTCCACACGCCCGCCTCATTCATGCTCATGGGCTGGCAGTTGTTGAAGTCGAGCATCCAGAGGGTGTGGTCGAATTCTGGGTGACACGAGCTAGCTCGCGGACAAGCTATCGCCCAGTCAATGTTTTTGCCGTCGTATTGCGCCCCGAAATTCAGAAACGCGAGACCCTTCGCCATAGACTTGATGTAGTTGTCCGGCTCCAGCATGAGGAACTCCAGCTGGGTGAGTGTCAATATAAAGTCTCGCATGTTAAAATGGGCGTTGTGGTGGTTGGGGCGGCGGCAACCCATGTACGGTCGAATGAGGAGGTTTACTTCGGTGAATTGACTTGCAGCCATCATCCTCGCGGCCGCCGGTGTGCAGACGCGCCAGAGCATGTGCTGGACGGGTCTTCCCAGTGACGGGATTCGCTCCATGGCCAGCGTGTTGCAGGACTCCAGGCCGAGGGGAGTCGAGACGAGATCGTCCATGTTGTTGTTGTATGTCAATGGCCCATAAGAACTGCTCCCTGAATTGGCGTCCAGGTAGGCGTAAAATTTGGGAATCTGAAATTGCCTCCAAATTTCCTTGGGGCAGTACCTCGACAGCTCCTCGATATCGCAATACACCTGGGCCTCTTGCGTCAGGGCCCGCCCTTGTGAGCCATCCCCTCGCTTAAAGGCGACGTTGGTTGCTTTTATATAATCCATATGATCTCTCGGGATATTGATCTTATGCGACCAGACACTGCCGCAGGCACCCTCGCCGATCTTATGGAGAGCATCTCCCACGATGGGAGCCCAGACATCAGTTCCATCCTTTGCTTCAAAGAGGCTGATATCTTGCTTCTTGTCGACGTGGGATCGTATTTGGGATTTGTGGTGGACTTTTACAGGTCTCATGGTGGTTTTCGTAAGCGGGAATTTGGGGTCCTGGAAGAACACCATCTTGTCTGGCTTTGTTACTGGGGCGTATTGGGCCAGTCACCATGATGCGCAAATTCCAAAATAGTTATAGATGCTTCAGTCGATCGTTATATACTAGAACCCAGATACCGGAAAAAAGATTATATCCAGCCACATACGTTCAACAGTCACACTCTATGGCATTTAAATCACAGTTGGGAACCATTCAGGGACCAAACAGCCACCGGAAATGTTAGCGGCCAAGTCTGCCAGTGTCCCTGGTACTTCCCAAAGCCAGGGGCTTATAGCAGCTCGTGTACCAATGGAACTACTAGGTCACTTTCCACAGTAGCTCCACAGTTCCAAAACATATATCGTTATTCGTGGATGGTTGAGAGCGGATATTTAGAGTTTGTCGGTTCCTCTCACCACAACCGTGTGATAGGTTATAGTGGGCCTGCCATCTCCGAAAGTCCAACGGAGGATTGCGTTCAACATACAGATTCCAAAATATATAACGCGGCACAGTCATCTGAAACAACTCCAGCGAATACCATGTAGAAATTCGTTCTCTCTCAGGTGTAGACTGCGTAGAAGCTCAACTTTGAACGTCGCTCGGCATCACAACCAGGCTCCTTCATAATGTGGTACGTCCGCCGCATTCTGGACGTGTTCGGATCCGGAAAGTCCAGCAACACTGAAGTTACGTCCACCAAAACTGACGCCACGTCCACCAATATACAAGATGTCCAAAAAGGCCCAGACAGCGTGGAACTGCAATCACTTCCACCGCCCTTCACCCCACTAGCATTCGGCCTACCCCCTCCCCACAAAATCCGCATGACCGGCCATGAACGCATCGTCTGGGCTACCTACGAACGCCACCTTATAACGGCACGAACTGTACATGTCTCTGGTGTTTGGAATGACGTGACTAACCACGCCATCTATGAGCTCTTCCGTCCCTGTGGGAAAATTATCCACTTCGATGTTCTGTACACGCAAAACGAAAGCAAGATTGCGAGATTGGTGTTTGAAGACAGAGATGCGATTCGGAAGGCTTTGTTACTGAACAAGACGCAGCAGCTGGGCGGTGTTATCACAGTCACTCGGGCAGGGCCGGAAACTGTTCCAAGTGACCAGACTCACGTACCGGATTTTTCTATAGCGTGGGATATGGGAGAGTGGCAAAAGTTCTGTGAGGATCAGTGTCCAGATCTCACACCTTTCCGACGTTGTCACACTACATAAGAATTGACACCAAGTCGTTTATATCGAATATAGAGCAGCGCAGGGCAATTAAGTCATATAAAAGTTGATTAGGGACAAAGGTCGTACTTAAGCAATTTTATGCGTCTCCAATATAAAACTTAAAAAGCATGATTGATGTAACAGACTTTTATTCCCAGTCAACGCGAGAACTCCAAATCTATTGCGCATCAATATGTTGTTTTTTCACAGACATTTCATGTTTCCAAAGTCATAGGTCCTTGATCCTGTCTATATTAGTGACAATTTCAACGCCATCAGTTGTTAAAGAGTTATATCAAGCATCTAGAATCGGCACTAACAGACTTATGTTCGAGGTGTATCTATCCATTACATATACTTTACTGAAGCTAGTTCATCCGTATAACTGGACATGAGCTCGGCATCATCCGAAAGTGTGAGAGGCTAACCGATCACACGGATATTTGCTGACATTACTTGATCCCGGTTGGAGTTGAAGACCAGGGGTTCGAAGTGCTGCGCTATGATTATTCCATTGTTGATTGGTTGCGGAATGCATACCAAAGAACGAGCTTAGGGGTCCTGGCTTTTTGCTAAATTAGTTGCATTGACCTCTTCTAACGGTGAACTTAAATTAATCATCGCTCGCAATCGAGCCTGTATTTGCGTGAGTGTTTACAGTCCGTGGGGTAGTCCGGCATTGCAGAATCAGACGGATGTGCCACGTTCCCCCGGCCAAGAAACGCGAAGGTGGTGCAGCAGTCCGGACCACAACCGGGGATCCGATGAAACTACTCTCATTAGAAATGATGGGATGGATTTCCGCTGGATATATAGCTAGTTGTCGCGCCAAATTTTCAGAACAGCTCGTCCAGTAACATCATCATTTCAATCTTCAAAGCACAGCCAATTACACAAGAACCCTTTACCATGGTGAACGGCAACATCACTTTCGATGGTGTGTTAAGCCATGAGGCTCCTACTGTAACAGCTGCTAATTCATGATAGACTATCTCGGCTTAAACGCCTGCCTGGTCGAGTGGGCTGACAGCTATGATAGCAAGGACTGGGACAGACTGCGCAAGTGCATTGCGCCGACACTGAGGGTTCGTCTTTTCTCCGGCCTTTTATTCTTTATATCAAATTCCCGTTTACCGTTTACTTCTTCTAGCCTTCAAACCCACTCTAACATCTCCAAAGATCGACTACCGGTCTTTCCTCAACAAGCTGTGGGAAGCCATGCCGGCTGAAGAGTACATTGCCATGATTTCGAGCAAGGCGGTGCTGGGCGACCACTTGCTCAAGACGCAGCACTTTATTGGGGGTAGTAAGTGGGAGAAGATCTCGGACACTGAAGTGATTGGGACACACCAGCTTCGCGTGCCGCATCAGCGTTACGCAGACGATACTCGTACCGTCGTCGCCGTCAAGGGACATGCCCACGGCACAAACACCCACTGGTATCGTAAGGTGGATGGAGAATGGAAGTTTGCCGGGCTCAGCCCCGAGATACGCTGGGGCGAGTATGATTTTGACAAGGTTTTCGCCAGCGGGCGTGATGAGTTTGGGGACGTTAAGGCTTCTGAGGGAGTTCCTCCTAATAAGGAAAGCTAGTCTAAGAAAGTTCAAGATCGTATGTCTGTTAAGACGACGCTTTAGATTCTTGGGCATGTCGCTGTGACGAGGCGTACGATTCTTTGGATATGTATGCTTAGTAATATTATGTGGTACTTACTACGAAACGCAAGTGATTAAGCAAGTGATTATATTTCCGTCGTGATTCACTATGCAAATAGGTGTGATGCTTGGATTATATGGACGCCAACCTTTGCGAGTTAAAGTTGTGCAAGCAATTTCGCAAATACACACATGATATTAGCCTTGCATACGGGAGAAGGAGAACGTTTGATAAGAGAAAATATGCGTTGTATTGAACACAACCCTACTACACAAAGGAATTTATATCAATATGTTAATTAGGAGCATTAAAGGTAAATTTCTTCAAGAGATCAAGTTATACATACTACACTTGTCTAGGTGCTTTCGGTAGCTGGGTATTAACAATGCCGTTTTCATGCCTCTTGACAATCACAAACAAATTATCCGGTACTTGCCAGCATCTGTATACTTAAGCCCGCGCATAAGGCTTCAATTCAGGCTCAGCAAACAACTTTTCCGGGTATGCAAGCAGCAAAACGGCCGCAATGGGAATCAGTCCAATCGTGGCCAAGTCATCCACCAAGGTCAGCCCAGGGGCGGAGAACCGAGCACAAACCACACCCAAATCAATCCGCTCCAACGTTCCGGGTCCATCGTGGGTGAGCGCGTCGACGATGAGTGCATATGTGAGCGGATTATATAGAACTCCTGCATGACCGTAGAAACTCCCCGCCGGTCTGCCAAAACAGACACTCTGCAGCTCGACGTTGGTGACACCAACTCTCCTCGCATCTTGCAGATACGCCGAAGCAATAATTCCCTGTTGCGGCTCGACAATCTCGTCGAAGATAGCCGAGTAGAAAGTAGTAGTCGGCACATAGGCACTATCACCTCCCCTGCCGCGCAGGGTGTTGACAAAGTTTGAGTTATATTCTTGCTGTATAACCGACGGGTCGCAGGGCAACAACCCCACTGACCCCGAAGAGAAGCAGAGCAAGTTTGCGAACACGGTCCCGTGAAAGTCTGGCGAGACGGCCAGGAGATCTGTTACGACTTGGCGCGTGGATGGCCAGAAGGTGAAAACCCACTGCACGTCGAGGCCGCCCTGGGACCAGGATATGACGGCTATATCCTTTCGGCGCGTGATGGAAGAGATGTAGTTGATTGCGTAGGCGATGTACTCAGAGTTAAGTTGGGCGTCGTCGAGCATGGCACCGGGGATATTGAGGTAGACCGGATCCGCGTAGGGGACATTGGTCAGCAGCTTGCCCAGGTTGGAGGCGAAATTGATGCTGCCGTAGGAGCCCGAGCCGGGAACGAAGACGGTTGGCGGTTTCTGCCCATACGTAAAATTAGGCGGGATAAAGATGGCCCCACGGAGCTTTTCTTCGGAGAGAGAGTAGGGTGCATCTTGGAGACTCTTTTTGGGGTAGATGGGCTCACGGGGGTTGATGGGGTTGTGATTTGTCTGGCAGTTTTCGCCCTTCCCAGCTCGTAGATCTGAAGCGACTTGATGGATCTTGGAAGGCCCTAGCCCGGCTTGAATCTGTTTGGCTACATTTTTGTAGAGGTTCGTCGGCGTTGCACTGTATATAGCCTGGAGCGTGCTCTGGGCTTGCTGAATGCTGTTTGGAGCAGCTGTAGCCTCCACTCCCTCGAGAACACTCAAGACTGATTGGGGATCGGTGATGTCATCAAGGAGACTACCGATGTCTTTCGCTGGGAGAAGGCCTTTGAGTCCACTGCTGATACCCTTGAGTAACCCTCTTGCTTCAAGACCTGCTGCATATTCTGTGGGTGCTGGAGCAGCTTGAATGCTGCCGAGGAGTAAAGGGGCTAGAACAAAATTGGCTGTAAAGATGCGCATGTTGACTTGTTGAAACGAATGTGTTGAAGTGAATGTAAGGATGAGAACAGCTTATATGATGCGCTCTCGAGACAAATTTATGCAGACCAGCATATGCTGCTTCGTAACCTTGACATAGTAGTAGAGTAACGATCGGCCGACCTGGACCCTGGATGCGATAAGTGGGAGTGTAACAGTCTCGGGAGGATTTATATCAAGTATCGACGCGGTCGACCTCCGCCAAGACGCGTTTCTAAGGTTCAGTTACGCAGTTCAATGAAGTAGAATCTTGGCGAAGTACCTCGGTCCCTTGCAGATGTTGTCGGCGGCCATAAAGCCAACTCGTGCCCCATTTCCCTGCGGCCGATCCCGAAAGTCATCATGTATGTAATTTGGTAATTTGTGCCACGGACTTGCACTGGCATTTTGCTAGTGTGAGCAAGCTTTTCAAGGGCACGAAAACACGAAAACATCATCTCCGAGGCTCCGAATAGCGTGCCCGTGCAGACAAATGGCTTGCAAGAAGAAACGCCGGCCTTGAGGGTAAGAGATGATCAAAAGCAAGTAAAGCAGTGCATGTTCATATTTTCTAGACCGACGCTCTCATATAAGATCAGTTTTGTTGCTTCAAATGCATGTTCGTAGCTGCGACTTAGTGAGCTTCAACTTTGGAACATATGAAGTTATCTGCCACCACGCAATTTCTTGGGTGATATGAGGTAAACTTTGGCGATTGACGCTCATTATGGATCACGAGCAGACAGAGATTTCCTTTCAAATATGCGAACTGACTATGTGCTCTCTAAATCTGTGTCAACCATTCCTCTCGAGATTACGTTACACGCGTTCACATGAGACCATTTATTTGTAGCCCCATCATCGAATTCCATCCCACATATTCTGTACCTCCTGGCCCCAAGTAGTGCCGGTGATACAGATTTTGAGGAGTTATTCGAATTCCTAACGAGAGATCTGAGGTCCATAAAAATTGTCTTACTTCACGTGCAACCAAGCAGCGAGCGAGACATATGTGTTGTCTGCTATGTTCGACTTCACTATGTATTCTTTCATGTAATCAACCATCCCAGGCACTCTCACACAGCGATCCCAATGGTCGACTTCGTGTCTTCGGGCCAAGAATCATCGCCTTGCATCTCATGCACCACCTGCGGTTGCTCCATCTCGGTTGCCTTCTCCATGACATCTGCGGGCAACTGTTGCGGCGCAACGGTTAATGGTAGCTCGGTACCTGCGCCATCATTGATTGCCAACTCCACTGGGCCGTTGGGCGCTACTATCTTCGTAGGCTTGTCCTTAATGAGGCACAACCCAAATAGAAACACCCCCTTTCCGTGCCTTCGATATCTCCAAGAAAGCACAGTGACAAATGCAAGCAGCGATACACCCCCCACTATGCCCGCCGTCAGACCCACAACAAGCGGCGTTGTCCTAATCGTAGATGCCGCAGCTTGATCTGCCCCCCCCTGCATCATCGGCAGTGGTGACCAAATCCCCTGCCACGTGATAGTCCAGTCCCCACCACTAGTCTTCAGGGTCGTTGACTCTCTCTCTATGACTTTGATGTCTGGATACCCGCTGCCGGCCCCTGGGGCCTGCGCCAAAAAGTACACGGCCTTCTCGAAGTTGGCCCCTATGAACGCATCCTGCAGAAATGCTCTCCCCAGCGCGAACTTGTCGTTATGCGTAATTGCGTAGCACGGAAAATATGCCGTAGGCTGGTCCACGAGCGGCTCCTCGAGAGTGAGGTTGAGGTGCATGAAAGGGACGGATATGTTGATGACACCACGCAAGTTTGAGTTGTTTGGGTCAATGAAAGTAAAGGTCAGGGCGGATGCGGACTGTACTATGCGATGGTAGTCGATAGACCACGTGTTCCAAAGATACAGCCCCAGCCCCTCGTCATACGTAACTGGCAGCTCGGCGGCGAGGGCATCGCAGGTGCTCTTGGGGAGGTTGAGATAAGGGGTACAGGGGTCGATTTCCAGGTCCAGTCGCCTGTCGATTTCCATGGAGGATTTGCCAGATGCGAGAAGTCCGGACTTAGAACGCCAAGGGAACGGCGAGCCCCCAGCAATGACGGTGATGGATATATCGACCAGTGCTGCAGTCCACGACGTGTATGGATCCCGGATGGGCAAGGAGAGCATGTCATTGACGGCACGGCTCTTGTCATAACCACCAAACCACAAGGAGCCAGGGATGGTGGTGGGCATGATCGAGCCGATGTGCAGCCCAAACGAGTTGGAGTCGATGTCTCCTGCGGCGAACAAAGATCCGGCCAGGAGGCTTGCATTGGTACTCCCGGAACCTGTCCCGGTTTCATCTGCAAAACTCTGGTTGGCCATGCCCGGTGCAGCTCCCAAAGCGAGACAACCGGCGAATATGGGGTATTTCTTGCCGCTGGGATACTGCAGTTGTGTGTCCCGGATCAAAGCCATGGATAAGTTCGTCACCACCAGCGGCCCCGTCGCGGATGCATTCCCCCCTAGATGTAAAGTCTCGACCCATAGCTGGGGAGAAACCAGACCCGTCATCGGCATGTTGTCGGTGAAGTACGAGTTGGGCGGGAAGTTGACGTCCAGGTTCTGTCCTGTGCCAGTGAGTTCGTTGTAGAGACCACCGATATTATTCGCATAACAGGGCAGGCCGGTTCCCATGGTGGAGAGGCAGTAAGTGCTGCCCGGGAAATACGACTCCCACATCTTGCCCGGGTAGATGGTAATGTTCTGGCCAGGCGAACTGGAGCCCATGGTCACAGTGACCGCGTTCCATGGGCCGTCGGGTCCAATGGGAGTGTCTGACCATCGTGCCGCTGATGGGCCCGCAATGACTCGACCAGAGATGAGACCTGAGATGAAGACAGCAATTGTTGGGAGTTTTTTCGACAATCGTGACAGCGATGGATTGCCCATCATTGTTCATTCGTGGTCTTGGGGTGCTTGGCTGGCTCACAGCTTGTGTTGAGCAAGTCGCGAGAGTCATGCAACAACTCAAAGCAAATACCGCAAGACATGATCGAACTGAAGGCAGCGGACACATCAATTCTCCACGAGCTCCAAACGTCACTCCTTCGTCTTGCTATAACCTTGAGTTCGGATGTGTGGGGCACGGCGCTTCCTAAAGCTTCCCAAGGCTATTTACAGGCTTTAGGAGGGATTCCGTCCTAATAGTTGCAGTGGCATGCTTCCAACTGAAAATCCATTCGACTGGAGACACTTGTGATTGACGTTGCCAATACCCCAACTCGGTATGCCTTGACCCACCAGACCTATGTGAAAGGTCTTCCCACTTGATATAGCGGTCGCATCCGACTGTGGCTTGAAAATAGCTTGGATCTCACTCAGTACGATAATCAGGTTCCTCGTATATTTAGACTGACTGTCCCAAAAGAAAACGCAAATAATAAAGGCTCACTTCTTAGATCCCTAGCGCAACCTTAGTCGCCTTCACAGGCCATTTAAGCTGCCAGGTTGAGACACAGGAAAATCGGATACATTTCCTACTTGAGTGAGGCTCAAACAGGTGAAATTGGTGCGGCAGAATTATCCCCATGTAGCGCAGACTCATACTGACTGAAATATTGATCTCCCTTTGAGACCTTGACCAACTTACCGTGTCACTCGAATTCGTGTTAAATATATCCTGGAATCAATAAGATTTGGCACACAATGCTGTAAAACTTAGAACGCGTACCTTCTTCATATTCAATCTGTCACGCAACTCAGTGCACTCTCACCTAACCGTTTTTGCGATGACGCAGAAAGATTTACACTCATAACTCAATTCCTCAGAGCTTGAACTGCCTCGCTCTTCCATATTCCTCATTCCCTTCCAATCTTCTCCTCTCCTCTTCAAAAACCTCCTCTCTGCGCCTGACCTCGACCCGCCTCGGGCCTCCCCTCTCAAATTTGACCAGCACAACCCGCTCGAAGTCCCCACCGTGCCCACGCCCCCTTAACTCTGGTCCGGGCTTATCCAAACTTAAGACGATGCGCCCATCGCCTGCCATCATGGCCGTCGCGGGACAAATGACCTTCTCGCTCCAGGGTATATGTGAGGTGGGATTCTTGAGTACTTTTGGGTGTGACGTTGTGGGTAACGTGTCTAAGAATTGGAGGAGCGCATCGCGTTGCGCTTTGTAGTGTAAAGTAGAGTCCGCCGACAACGAGGATGGAGGCCCTGTGCAGAATTGGGCCACTAATGTAAGCAGGAAAGCTTGCGGTGGAAACAGAATAATTTCCCCCATCGCCTGTCTTTGCAGCCAGGTTTGGGCGTCTTCAAAAACTGACACCGTGACTTCGCTTCCATCGGGGGTAGGCAAAATCGCCTCTGCTTGTGCAGCCGCGCACGCTGGATCTGCTGAGAGCGGCGTCGGCAGCGGCAGCATGTAGAGGTACATCTGCGTGGTGAAGCGCTTCGGTGTGGCCGGGGGTGTGATCCAGCGCGTGAAGGGGATCAAGTTTGCTGAAGAGTTGGTAAGAAAATGAAAATGACAAGTATTTCAGCTTGGTGAGTGATCGGTTGGTATCAGTGCATACCTGTATCGGCATATCCACCCACGCTCTCCAACCAGGTCCCAAAGGGGACCTTGTTCGCGTAGACGGCCTTCCTCGCTTCATCCCGGTCGGCTAAAGGCAAGTTCAGCAGTCTGGTCCCGTGCCCGTCCCGCGCGAGGAGTATGCCGCTCTCCTCGAACGTTTCCCGAATCGCGCCAAGTCGGTACGGCAAGCTGTCTTGATGCCGCCTGGGGTGGCCTGGTGGTTCTACCGATCCGTCGTGAAATTCTGATAGGTTGCCTCCGGGAAACACGTGGGCTGACGGGAACGCGGACGAGGTCTTGACCCGATGCAGGAGGAGGACCTGGTTTGTGGGGGAAAGGAGGATGACGCTGGAGCTGGGGCGCGGATCCGAGGGCCGTTTCATTTCCTGGGGTGACGCCGTAGAGTAGTATGACGAAGATGAAATCATAGTTGGCGGTATTGGAAGGCGTGTACCAGAGCTAGAACCGCGTGTAACTGACCCTGCGCATATAGGCACGTAACCTGCGGGCGCTCCCTGGCGGCGTCCGCTCACCAGGTGGTAAGTTTCTGTGGTTGAGAACGAATGCCGCCAAGATTTCAATGACGGACTGGAATGGACAAGTGACGACGCGCGTGGCATATGAGGGCCTCCCAACGATCCACTTGTCAAGAGTGATGCGCTCCGTGGCATTGCTTCATCTTCCAATCTCCATGGTGGTCAAAAGGGACGGAGAGGGAGCCGTGAAGGTATGGCGTCGAGGCCAACGCTTTGGGCTACGACGGGGCCTCAAGCAAGCCGAGGTCCACAACCCCAAATGATGGACGGAATGAGGCCGCTTCCGAAAGCTGTTGACCGCCCCACCCCCACAGCGGGAGATCGATGGTGTGCAATGAGAAAAAGGTCAGGTTGCGTATCGTGGGAATGGGAATAAGATGACTAGCACTGCAATACGTTGGACAGGTGAGTTCGCACGAAATCAAGATGGTGCAGGTCATAAAACTAGTGGAATCAAGGGAGGGCTGTCATGATGCAAAGTGGACCAGGGATCAATCCCAATGGGACGGTTCGGTCCAGCGATTTCCCGGCAGCCACATTGTCCGGGATACCACCCACCCACCATCATTGGACATCGTACGTCGTGAAGCAAGTCGAGGTGCATTTGTCGGGTCCAAGCAAATGGTCGATCGATGACTCCGTACAAGGCGGCGACACAACAGCAACGAGAAACATGCCAGTAAGGGTCTGTGCAGAACTCGCTGCATCTGGTGTGATAGTGGTCAAACCGACTCCTTGGGTCCTCATGCCGGCAGGCTGCACTCACAATGGATAAGCTATGGCAAGGGTGCGGCGCTTATCCCCTCTCAGCCTGCTCAGGCTGCCAGGGGAGGCGAATCGGCGAGATTCTGCAACCCGACACTCTGGAATCTCTGGAACACTGCCAGGTGGACTTTTGTATCAAGTACCGTTACCCTACGCAAGGCAAGCTGGCTGGCCCTCTCCTGGGTAATTAAGGTGCCTTCTACCTCTCTGGACTCCTGGAAGGCCGACCTGGAAAAATCGAAATCAAGAACCAGTTCCTCGTTTCGTTGGTCACAGTCCAGCTTGCGTTCGCAATTGCCAGTCGCCATTGCCGCAGTCGCAATCACAGCATCCCAATCTCGTTGGCCTGGGTGACGTGTCTGTCGTGCAACACGTCGCGGTAACCTCAACTTGAGCAAAGCAGAGTACCCGATTTGCTCTTGCCGTCCAGGTTGCTATTTTAAAACAAGCATATCTCACCCACCTACATTGGCTTCATAATCCAAACCATGCGCCGCATCGCGCCCTACTACCCCGCTGAGGTCCTGGACCCTCTTCATTTGTCTCACCCTACTGCCACCACCACCAACACCACCACAAGCGGCAGCAACGGCAGCAACGGCGGCAGCAATACGACTTGGGCCACTCCTGACTGCCTCCCCATCTTCGGTGTCGGCGTACCGCGTGTGCGATCCGGCGACACCATTGGGGATCCGAACCATGTCGTTGAAGAAGGCCGCACGTTCCACGGCTACAAGGACGGCAAGTACCTGCTCCCCAACGATGGTCGCGAACAGGATCGGCTCGATCTGCAACACGCCCTCTGGGGTCTGGTCATGGGCGGCGCCTTGTTCTGGGCGCCCTTAACCCGCGAGCCTACCAGTGTGCTCGACATCGGCACCGGCACCGGTATCTGGGCCCTCGAATTCGCCCAGCTGCACCGCGGTGCCTACGTCATCGGCACCGACCTGAGCCAAATCCAGCCCGATAGACACCTGCCCAATTGCAGCTTTATCCGCGAGGACGCCGAGGACATGTGGGTATTTGGGCGGTCTTTTGATTACGTCCATCTGCGTATGATGGCGTCGTGTTTCAGCGAGGCTTCCCATCGCGAAATTATGCGCAAGTGCTTCGACAACCTCGAGCCTGGCGGCTGGGTCGAGTACCAGGACATCCACGCCCACGTTGAGTCCATCGATGACAGTCTGCAGGGCACCGCCCTGCAGCGGTGGGTTGGTCTTGTGAATGCCGGCGCTGCCGTCCAGGGCAAGGATCTTTGGGTTGCCTCCAAGTACCGGGCCATGCTGATCGAGACAGGCTTTGTTGACGTGGAGGAGAGGGTCGTCTTGTGCCCGGGCAACAACTGGCCCGTGGATGCGAGGCAGCGCCAGATGGGAAAGTTCATGGCTCAGGACAACATGGAAATTTTGCAGGGTATTTCGCTGCGTACGCTGCGGAGGGGCTTAGGCATGTCCCAGATCGAGGTCGAAGTGCTTCTGGCCCAGGTCAGGGTCGACATTATGAACAAGAATATCCACTTTTATTGGCCGTGGTACGTTTTCCAGACCCATTGCTCCGTGAACATCGTGTACTGACCATCATCGCGTTCAAGCTATGTGGTATATGGACGGAAACCGTACCCCTGGGAGATGCAGCCGCAGGCTTTGTCACGGCAGATGAGCGTGCAGCAGTTGTTGAACTAGATCTAACCGACACCAGTACGGGCTATTAGTCCCCCACGACATGATGACACGATACGGGAAGGTAATGCGCGAGACGTCTTTACTTTTCTCAACAAATGCCTTGACCGACCCCTTCGGTCCATTGGCGCTGCCAATGCCAATCCCACTCCAGTTGAATCAATACCACAGCTTGAATCAACAAACCCAGCTGGAGTTGGGGACAGGTTGGCGTCTCATAAGAAGACATATGTGGGCTACCTAGTAATGCTAGGTATAAAAGTGCGACGCCCCCAAAGGCATGACGGATTTCTTCGCCTATGATACTTCGATAGTGGGCAGGCAATGTGAGCACTTTGCTGCACGATCAGTCTTGCCTTTCCTGTCGTCCTAGTTGATCCATGGGGTGGTCCTGTTCATAGATCTAAGCTGAGACGGAAGGTGGTGTTGCGCAGAATAGGTACGTCCACTCTATCAGAAGCAGACGTGTCAAGCTGCCAAGGATGTTTTATACGTGAAATGACATTGGATTTTCGTCCTACGTGTATTATACCCAACACCTGGCCAAATCTTCGTCATTATGTCATCGTTGTGAAGGTCTAATACTCAGTCTGGTCTGGCTGCAAAGACTCGGATCATCGAATTAAGGGAACTGTTCGCCAAGACCCTCTGCAAGACTTGATGCCACGCCTAACCTCTGACTCATCTCATGCTTTATTTAAGCCCAACACGCTCCACTGGTTTTGCATTAGGTATTTATTGCTCTGATCATGGGGATATTCGTTTGAACGCCATCAACTCCACATTTCCCAGTTCTTCACCAGCCTTCTCACATCGGCACCACCATACGGCACCGGCTCCAACGCGCCCTCAAACTGCGTTAAGTGCCCGTCCGCACACGCGGAGAAACTGACCTTCAACTGCTGCTGCAGGTAAAACTCATCATACTGTGCATTCATGGCGTCTGCCAGGCTGGCCACGTCGCCCTGCGGGTGCAGCGTCTCCCAGGGCCGGGAACAGGCACGGCCCTTACAACTCTTGAGCGTGAGCAGAAGCGCATCGAGACGAGCGGTCAGCTTGGTGCTGTTGTAACCCGAAATGCTGCCGGATTGGGCGTAAAGGTTGGTCATCTGGAACGGGTCCGTCTATACGTGGTCGGGAATCAGTATCAAGCTTCACATTACGGGATAGCCGAAATGGGAACGGAGAAAAAAGTGCGCCTGCTCACTGTGAGATCGAACAGCTCGTGCTCGTTGGTGCACCAGACCGTGTACGAGAGATCGTAGGCGTCGGCGATTACCCGGACATGTTTGTAGGTGTTATTATATAAAACTGAGAATCAAATTAGCATCCTACCGACGTGGTTTTACAAAGCGGCAAGGCAAGAGACGTGGACGAAAGGATCGAGTGAGACGCACCACCGGATATCCAGTTGGGGAGGGTTCCCTCCGTGATGCCCGTGCCCCAGTACTCCACGTTGACGTGCTCCGACTTGGCCGTGAGCTGCTGTTGTAACTCGGTGGTGACGGGAATCGGCTCGCCATCAAAGTCATCATGCAGCGTGATATTCGCCAGCTGGAACAGGGTCGGGACAATATCCGTGTGGGTGGTGGAATAATTGTAAGTTGCGCCCTTGGCTACTCCTGGACCTCGGACAACAAACGGCACATTTATGTCTTCTTCGATGTTGCAGGTCTTTCCCGGAGCCAGGCGGTGCTGGCCCAAGTGAAACCCGTTGTCCGATGTGTAGATGATATACGTGTTGGCCAGGACATCCGGGTGGGCCGACAACTTGGTCACGACGGACTCAACGAGCTCATCGATGGATTGGAGCGACTGGATGCGGCGGCGGTAGAACAGATCTATGTATTCTATTTCTGTAGCATTGAGCTCAGGTAGCGAGGACAGGTAGCTAGCGCCTCCGCTCTATTGCTACACGTGAGTTTGTAGGTTTCCGTGGGGCTAATCATGACTCCACTTACTCGCAGTTTATTGAAGGAAGCGGTTCGTGGCGCGGTGATGTTGGGAAATAAGTCCTTGTGTCTGTCTGCTGGCGTTGGCAGCTGAAAAACGCCGGACGCTGATGGCTGCATTTCCGCGTGCGGGCCGATAGGAGTAACTCCCACAAAAAAGGGGCTGTCTGCGGCAATGGCTGTATCCAAGAATTCCAGTGCCGAACTGGCCACCACGTCGGTCGAATAGTTACCAGGCAGATACCGGTAAGTCTCGTTGTTGCGGCTCATTGACGAGTTGTAATACCAATACGTCTGAGGATCGATGAGGACTACGTCAAACTCGGTCAATCGTCCATGTTCTGGGGTTGGTTGGGCTGGCGTACTTACAGTCAGTCTCTGTCCAACCCGCAGGATACGGATTGTTGTACGTCTCAACTTTAAAGCCATTCATCAGTTTCCCCGTGTAATACGTATTATAACCGGCCTCCTGCAGCCAGACCGGTAAATACTTTTCATGCAGCCCATTATTGATGAATTGTTCATACCCGCCATACGGTAGCGCCACGTCGGTAACGTTGGTGTTGTGAGCCGCCTTACCCGTTAACAATGACACTCTCGAAGGGCAACACAGCGAAACGGTGCAGTAGTGCTTGTTGAACGTCGTACCCTCGTCCGTGAGGTGCTTCTTAATCAAAGGCTGGTAGTCAAGGGAGCTGAGATGCAGGTCCTGGTCGTCAGTCATGATGAAGACGAAGTTAGGTTTGGTGCTAGCAGCGACGCAGAAGCCTGTGTTTGCCATCGCCAAGCCCACAAGGGCAATCCTCTTGAGTGAAGTCATCGTCGTGAGTATAGGCTGCCTGATGGTGAAGAAAGGAGTAACGCCTCGAGGCTCAGGAGAAACCTAGTCGAGGGGAGTTCACGTCTTTTTTATGTCCCATCGCTTAAGTTGATGCCCAGTGCACACTATCGGTTGCAGCATTTGTTTACATAGTAAGTCCCAAAATTGCATCCGCCTTACAACGGCAGAACTCGTGTCATTTTAGATCGGAGACGCGCGGTCTAGCCGAGTTTTCTTCGACTCCCGATCACATCATCGTCAGGGACCGGGGTAGGCTACAAGATTGACTTCGGGCTTTGGTCACTGCTGATTGTCGGTCTAGAACTGGGTATAATACATGATTATGGGCTATAATAGCTGATAAATTAGATAACTAAGCATATAAGCTATTACCAACACGATATATCTATATTCAGGTTAGAGAGCCTAATGACCTTCTCATTAAAACTTTACAATGATAAACGACGTAAAGAAACTTCCGGGTAAGTAAACTACAAAGTTTGGTTGTCACTGTACTGAGTCGGATCTTGAGATGCTCTGGATTCAGGTAAATAACCCCACATTGGATTCCCCACAACACAAATTGACCGCCAAGCACCTCATCTGACCCTGGCATGTTGCAATTCCATTTCCACGGCCGGTGCATCCGCGGCTGAGTTACCGCCCCTGGACTTGCTTGCAAATCCATTATCATGATTGGTTTATGTTATTCGACGGACGTGACCTGCAGCTCGTTCGGGCACGCCTTCGCTCGGCACAAGATGATTTCCTGACTCCTACTAGTGTTGGATGTAGCTGGCAAGGGGTCCAGTAGATGCCTAAATAAAATTAGCTGTTGAACTGTAGAATTGGTGGACTGAGGTCACGGTGAGGTATACCTGAGATACTTTAGTGCTCCCCCTTACAGTCACAAATACTACCCTTCTTCACCTTCCTATTGAAACGGGGTCAGGCGGTCAGTAGGATATACCTACCACCTAACACACTGAACAGACGGCTCCAGTGCCAACAGATCTATCTGTTGGTCTGATCAGACGAAGATCGTGGTACTAGTAATAAGAGCGAAGCTCTTATACGTCTGGTGCGCGAGTTGGTCGGATGTGCCTCTGATACTCATATCGTGATAATAGGATCTCGAACGTAAAGATAAGCTGAATAACTAAAATAACTAAATAACTGACTGAAAAGCGAAGGTGAAGATATAGATAAGAAGGAGATGATGATATGAAGATGAGGATGATGATGCGTGAAGATGGAGGACTCGTGTCCTACTCTGCTTCTGTGCCTCTTAAAGAAGAGAAAATAAACTTTCTCCTAGCCCCGTTGTAACGAAACCTCTAATAGTCTAGCTGCGTAAAGCACTAAAGAGTCTGTAAGGGTTTGTGCTAGTAAGTAAGTCCTGCTGCGGAGTCCTCAAGCAATAATATCGGGGTTTAACGTATGGAGTATAGGGCTCTGGGTAACTGAAGTATTCAAGTAGGGTAACTGGGAATAGAGTCGTCAAGGCAGTTTGCCTCACCAATGGGTTAGATTGATGCTTAGATTGATCACTGAAGTAGAGACTGTCTATCTATGAAATGCCTGGGAGTCCTGTCCCTTATATACTCATCTCTCCTTCACTGATCCCCACTTGGATATGTTGGTTGTCCAACATATCCAATCCCTCTTATTTCTTCTGGATCATTTGGATATGTTGGACATATCCACCTCCGTGGGTCACGTGACCTATCGGTCCTTTCCTTCCTCCGATGCGGGGTCCCGTGATCCTAGCGTCTGTATCCACCTGGCCTGCCAACGGGCCTGTAATGTTGGTTCAGGGCCAACGGTTCGTAACACCCGTAACCTATTTCCCTGATGTCCGGCCTTACCCCGTTACACTATATATCGGGAATGATACTTGTTAAGCCTAAACCGCCTAAGCTTAACGAGTAGTACCTGTGCAATCGCACCGGAATCCTATTACATTAAGTAGGCGGTATTAACGAGACTTATACTTAATATTGAGGGATTCAGTCCTCTATGGATGACCCTGCGTAGATCCTGTGTTGATTGATCTATCTATGTGCTCTGTTGTGTGTTGTGTGTAGCTATTTTATCTAACGTACCCCACGGTCCAATTGAATGTCACGACCTGGGTTGCATCGCATTGGTAGAGACCTCGATTAGGTGCTATCGACGAAGATTCTACTCTAAGGAGCGAAGGAAAGAAGATGACAACTTAGGTTTGAGGGAGCGCGACTAAGTCATCCACGCTTGGCGGGGCTCCTACAAGGGTTATGATTGGCTTCCCATCTGACACTGCCATGGCAGGTGTTCCAGCTGTAAGTCACCTGGTTGTAGTGAGTCTGCGAGGGTTGACCTTCACAATATACTTATTATTTTTACCCCCACACTCATCTCATGTCCTTCAGCCCCTCGATGTTGGGGTGTTCTCAGCTATGAAAACGGCATATCGCGAGGAGGTCGGGGTTTTAACCCTATTAACTGATTCAGCACCTATCGGCAAGCGGAATTTTATGCGCTGTTACGCCAGAGCACGCCAGAGGGCTCTAACGGCTCAAAATATCAAGTCTGGTTGGCGTACAAGTGGTCTATGGCCCCTAAATGTCGCTAGGCCCCTTACTAGCCCTCTTCTGCGTGAAAATAGCAACCGCACACGTCACCAAGGACCAGACATTCTTATTACAACCCAGCAAGTCCAGAAAACGCTCCAGACGCCTTCAGAGGGCAATGTTGTATGGTCAACGCCAAAGAAGGGCGTAGATATAGAGCGCCAGTTTAGGGAGTTCAATCGACTCCAACAAACTAACATGACTACACAACGCCAGCTATTTAGAAAGATGAAAAAAGGGTTTGATGAGAAGGATTATCTAATAGTAAGCGCAGAATTACAAATTGAGGGCTTGAAACAGCGATTGGAGCTTATGAAGCCACGGAAAAAAAAGAAGGTGCAAATAAGTCCAAACGCGAAATTCGCAAGGATTGAGGACGTACGGCGGATAAGGGAAGTATCTAATGAAGCTCTTGTTGATGATTCGGGTTCAGAAATATCTAATGTATCTACTGTCGAAAGCGATTGTATAGTTGTTCAGAATTGAATTTATGGTGGTTGTTTGAAATTGCAGTGTTATTCGTGGTGTTTTGTTTTATAGGGTGTCGGAATGAGGGGGGTGTCGGAATGGGGGTGAAATACGTTACTTCAGTTACCTAAGTGTCACGCCGCGCCAGGGATTGCAATCCTTGCCACTACGCCACCGTACCAGATGTCTTCACCAAAAGAGACCAATACCAAAGTCCTGCCCGAGGTCACTCGGTTGAGTAAGCTTTGCTGGGGACCAAGGTAAACCGGCCTGGCAACCATCGAATTCTACACTCATCACAAATCGTACTGATCGTATCCATCGGTCTTTGCACTGTCACTGCAAAGATTGATCGAACCTTCCGGACTTTGCACTGTCAATGCAAAACAGATTGTCGTGGTGTAGCCAAATCAACGACAAAGACGTCATTGCGAGCATTCTACACTTATCAATACGTTGAACCCCTATTATATTACTAAAGGATACCGCAGAAGGACGCACTTACTAGTATAAACCCTTACAAGACTCTTTAGTAGTTTACGTACCTAGACTATTAGAGGTTTCGTTATAATATTGTAAGACTAATTCTTAAGGAACCTAGGTTAGGCGGGAGCGTCCGATATCTCTTTAGCTAGGCCGGATCCGGAGTTTTGCCGGATCGGGGCCGAAACCTCGACAGTTTATCAGCTGAGGCCGACCCGCTATACCGACTCTGTAACGAGGATACCACACGTCTCACAATATAATAGTCAGGTAGTGCAAAGGGTAGCTAGAAGTAGGCCAGTGTATGGGTGCGTATATTGCAAGACTGATTCTTGAAGAATCTAAACTAGGTGCGAGCGTCTCGAGTTCTCCTCTTAAGCTGGGCGGTTCCGGGGTTCTACCGGATCGGGGGCGAATCCCTCCCGACTCAGCTTGTCAGCTGAGACCGGCCCGCCACAACGGCTCTTTCCTTACAGACTCCTACTTATAACTATCCCCCCTTCCAAACTTGGTACCCCTCTCCTTTTCGGGTCTCTCCTTCCCTTACTAGGTACGGCGAGAAAATAGTACATATAGGACTAGTAGGTTGTAAATATTTGTGCGGCCACCCCCGCAACGGGAGGTTGATGGTGTACAATGATAAGAAGATCACGTTCTGTACCATGAGTGGAAATAGGATGACTAACACTGCGATACGCTGACCCGTGTCTATCTAAGTACATATACTCTGTACAGCCAGCAAACCGATTAGTGGCCCACAAGTTACAACCGTGCCCCTTTGAAACCTCTTAGCATTCAGTAAATAAAACTCCTACATTTTCGTCAGTACCGCTTCCTCTCCTTCCCGTGCAAGTTCACTTGCCATAAGCAAATCACACTTTTGGCCTCACACCACTTCTTGACGTCGCCGGGGCTAACCTCGCCGTCATATCCCACCCGCGTCAACTCCCCACTGTTCAACCAAGCAGCCAATTCTTCGAGTACAATGGGATCGTACAGGAGCATTTTCTCATGCCACGAGGGGCTCGTGGGGTCCTTTGACCGGGGAGCTGATTTAATTGCCTTGGTAATGTACGCAGAGAGCTCCTGTGTTTGGGATGCCGTGGCATCATTAGAGCCGGGCGCAGGGTCCAGTAAACTCAGCGACATGTCGGCATCAACAACCTCGGATATAGACAGGTCTAAAGGTGGGGGTGAAGAAAAGAGTTGGTTGGGGGAAGTCTGCGGCGACGGGGACAGATGGGCCTCGTCCTCCGAATCCATGATTTCTATCACCTTCTGCTTTGGCTTTTTGCGTCTGCTAAGAGTAGCTGGAGCTGGAGCCTCAAAGGTATCGATAATGGAAGCAGCTGCCTTTGGACTAGTAAGCCAAGCGCTGTTGGCTGTATTAATGGAGTCGTCTCTTGACTGAGCACTTGGTTTCTTTGGCGATGATTTCACCGCCAATGTCGCTTTTGCTTTCGGTTTCGGTTTCGTTTTTGTAGTTTTGGAAGATGGTGACGTGGTTGCTCGAGTGTCCTTTCTCGGCCTACCGCGCGGCTTCCTCGCCAGCTCTGCAGTGGCTATTGGCGCTGCGGCAGTCTGCTGCTTTTTCAGACAAGTGTTAACTTGGGCGCTCGAGGCCGCAGACGTTGACATGGTTGCCACTCGGGTGCTGGATTCCACCCTCGAAATCTGTGGGTGCTGGCTTTCCCAACATTGGTCAAGCAATGCGATCATAGCTTGACGCTTTTTGACTGCCTTAAACCCGAAAGACGTAATCTTCTTGGCAAGCTGCACATCTGTGAATAGTTCGTAGTTGGGACGAGGGGTGCTTGCCATTTCGGTGATGGAAGACACAGACGCATCTGAGAGCGTGCCGCTCGGTAGAGACGGTTTGGAGCTGGGGTCAGCCTTTTTGACATGAGTGACATGAGGGTAGTCGAGGTCGATCTCGTTGATGTCGATAAAGCCGTCCGAATAGGGAAGAGGAGAGGCCGCTGGGGAACCGGATAATCCAAGATCGAGGTCATTATTGTCAGGGAATTTATCTGACACGGGACGATCAATCTCGTTGGGGGCAGACTCGCCAGATATAGAAGCTGCCGACGCATCAACCAAGTCGGCCAGTTCCACATTGAGTAGTTCACCATTGCGGTCCCGTGAACCAGCGTTCCAAAGACCCGTTTTGTTGGTAGCTCGGAGAGCAGGTGAACTGACAAATGGATCATCCTGGTCAATTTGATTGGAAGCTTGTATGGCCATTTGCAAGTCTCGCAAGGCGGTCGGGGATTCCTCCAGGACTAGTTGACTCGATGTGCCAAACACGAAGTCTTGACTGCGTGATGTTTTCAAAGCCGTAGATGGGGAGAGGAGGATCGGCTGTTCGACGGTGCCTGTCTTCTTCTTCGTCTTCCTCGGCTTAACCGCAGGTTTCTTTGGTTGGTTGGCTTTGAAATCCATGAGAGCCGATTGATGCTCAACCAGAGCCTTAACGGCGCCATCCGAGTCGAAATAGTTGAGTAGGGACTCCTTGGTGCCTGGAGCAAGCAGGTCAATTTCTGGCACAGCGTAGGGTGCAGTTGCCAGTTCAGTGATTGTACGAGTCTTCTTCTTGATGGCGGAGACTTTTTTGGGCGATGTTTCTCTTGGAGGCTTGTTATTGCCCGTCAAAATCATGTCAAGACGCTTGCGCTTTCCCAGCACATCAGCGACTGGCTCGCCTGACTGGGCGGAAGATGGACCGGGTGAGCATTTCTCGCTGTCTTTGCAAGCATACGTGTCGTATAAATTTGAAAATATATCTTTCGATACGGCTGCTATTCGTGAAGGCGAGGTAATCTCTCGGGTATCTGATTCGGATCCAAGTATTTCAGCCTGGTCTTCCGGAGGTGGTGTCCAGTCGTTGCGCCTTGCCATGGCCGCTTCTTGTAGGCCACAAATCTCTTCCCCGGTAACTGGTGACCATTTTTTCTTCTGTTCAGGCTTCGAGATATGTCTAGAGACATTCTCGGTGTGTTTCTTTTTCGCCGCCTTGTCTTTCACAGCCGGCTTCCTCGCTCGGCCCTTGGGCAATTCCGACTGTGTTTCGTCTCCATGGGTCGTTTTGTGTCTGCTATCAGATATGTTCTTGAACTTTTGCCACGGCTTTTCCTGCGGGGATGATGCGATCTCGATGGGGGAACTCGTTTTCTTGGTTAGCTCCTTTTCGATGTCGTTTGCAGCTTGTGACTTGACGCGCTTTCGGACAGGTTTGGTCTTGCGCGGTGGCGAATACGCGATTTGCTCGGTCTCTATATCGATCTCAGGAGCTTCGCGTAAGAGGTTGACAGCAGTCGTGAACGTGCTCCGCGCCACAGTCGGCATGGGGGTGGCATTACTGCCGGTGCGCAGAGGGGGCGCTTTTTGGGGACTTTTTCGAAATATGTCGATAAGGGAGGGAAGGTCCGGGGAGGAAGAGTGAATAGCGTTATCGAATCGCACAGGTCTCGCTGGGGAGGACATGCAGACTTCGGAAGTGGATATTCTGGTCGGGGCGAGTGGTCGGGATTTGAATCGAAACGGTATGCACGCGGCGCATCGTCGTGAAAGGAGGTTGAATGTTGAGAGGGTAATCGCGGAGGAAAGTGTCAGCAACGTGGCACACTCGTTCTAGTGTGTCATGTGCCGCATTCTTTCTATATGTTGGTTATGATGATTTGGGAAAGATGCCTTTGTGCTTGAATACACAATCCGCTTCTGTTTTTTTATTGCAACGGAGTCGTTGATGTCAACAAGGACATAAATAGTATGCCTGTCCAATCTCACTTGTACCAACAAGATTGGACAAAAAGGAGGGGCTAACCGCTTTCCTCTCACGCCAAAGTTCCACGAAGTCACTTGACCATAGAACTTGGCAATTCTTATTGTAACCGACGAATTGCCGGACCAAACCCCACCACAACCGGAAGGCACGTTAAACTTTTCGAGGGGGTCAAAATTGGCCAGAAGGTGCAAGTTCGACCGCTTCACCTGACGCAAAAATCTCTCCTCACGACCGACTGATCCACGACTGCAATCTCTGCACCCTTTGCAAAGCTCTCGTCCAGAATAACTTCCACACCGCCGCCAAAATGGAGAACGACCGCCATGAGATCGTGGACCTGTATGTTTTGCCCTCTGCCCCGGGCTGCAATTCCGATTGATGTTGCCTTGCGTAGACGCTTGAGAGCTGTCCACTTACTGCGTCCCATTTCAAGCGCAACCGCCAGAGTCCCGAACCAACAGCAACGCTGACAATCTCCTTCTAGCTACGTCCCGCGCAAGTGCAGCGCCACCAACCGCATCATCAAGGCCAAGGACCACGCTTCCGTCCAGATCTCCATCGCCAAGGTCGACGAGAACGGCCGTGCCGTCCAGGGCGAGAACCACACCTACGCCCTCTGCGGTTTCGTGCGCGCCATGGGAGAGAGCGATGATGCCCTGAACCGTCTGGCCCAGCGCGATGGTCTCGTCAAGAACGTCTGGAGCGGTGTGCGATAAGTGCATGTCGTGAAGGATGGGGCAATGGTGAGTTGCATACGACAGGTGCAAGTGGCGCAACGAGACAATGCTGACTCTAAACGCAGACGAACAGGCTCGGTGTTCAGGGTATTGGGCAGGGGGACATATGGATGGACGCCACGACATGGGGCACAGCATGGCAGGGAATGGCGAGGGTTCACACTTGATTTGCATCGTTGGTCGTTTAGATCCGTCAACCCACGCTCACATTTCCGAACGAAATTATAAACCCCGATTACTACCACCTGATATGGCGTCCCGACGTCCCCGGCAATGTGACGAATGCACACCGGCTAGCAAAGCCTTCTCGCGTCCACCTACGAGTGATCCCATGACCGAGGAGTTTGGGACTACCTCGATAGTCTCCGTGCCGTAGATTAACAAAGGCCTTGAAAAAACTCTGATGCTCGAGTCGTGCACCATGGTACAGATACGGGCTGGACATATTTCATTATGAAGCTATTTCATGAAGGTAGGCGAGTCCGGGTCCAACGTACATCGAGCGTGGCAAATTGCTATTCATGTTGGTAGTCACAGGCGGTTCTACTGCGACCTGATCAAGCGCAAGTTGGCTGGATTTTGGGGCAGAACTGCGATACCTGGAGTAAAGCTCAGTGAAATACAGCGACACACATACGAGACCACATTCAGATGATTTTGTTTCGCAAAATTAAATGCCAGGACTCAACAATCCCACGTCATACCAACCATGGCAATTGCCCTTTTATCAAGGGATCGTGGCCGGGAGGTGAAACAGCGCCTCTTGGTGATGTTCCTCGTCTGCTCCTACGTTGCTCCTGTCTGCTTCAGTATCTGGCTGTGAAATATAATAATTCACGAAAGACAGTAGTGTCCGACTTAGGGAGCATAAAACACGAACTGAAGCATTCTTCGCTAGCAACATGACTAGTTTAGGGTGAGACAATGTTCGAAGTCTTGGCTTGGTACTCGATCCTGCAGCTCGCAGCAAGCTACATCTGATCTAAACTTCATGAGGCTAGCTCCCGAGTGCTCCACATGGCACATTGCAGATCCATTTAGCTGCAATTCGATCTCAGCCATAGCATGACGCACAAGACATCGATACAAAGAAGTCCATGCTCGCGAGACTCGTGAGGACAAGAGGTATGAAATTCTAGATCTGGCACTCATTTTCTCCAAGATTCTACGTGTCACCTCCTCACGTTTGTTCTTTGACGCGAGTGTCTGTCTTGAGCACACGCATTTCAATTCTCAATTTACCCGGTACGAATCGTTTCCTACCTCAACCGTTCTCCGCTGGCCATTCGCACTTACAATGCCACCTAAGCGCACCTTCAAACGCAAAGCTGCGACCCCAGCTGGTGACAACGACGGGACGTCGAGCAAGAAGCTGAAGCTCGAGAATGTGAAACCCAGCATGTCTATTTCCCTGCGTGAACCGCATCCGTTTTCCGTTCAAGCAGAGGACCATGGCATTGTGCTGCGCAAGTACTATCCGCACGAGATGAGCAATGCGCGCGCGCTGGCCTACAACAATAACCAGATCCCGCGGCCCATCGAGTCTCTTCTTGGCGCACTCGAGCACACAGCCGAATCGCGGAACGGGATTGACGTCAAAGATGCCGTCGTTCACTGGTTCAAGATGGATCTGCGAACCCACGACAACCGCGCGCTGTCCCTGGCGAGCGAAAAGGCGAAAGACGCCGGCGTTCCACTCATTGGGCTGTATGTAGTCAGTCCCCAAGACTTTGAAGCTCATTTGACAGCTCCTGTCCGTGTCGACTTTGTCATGCGCACGCTGCAAGTCCTGAAACATGACCTTGCGAAGCTCAACGTCCCACTGCATGTCGAGACGGTGGAAAAACGCAAGGAGATACCTAAGCGCATTCTTGAGTTCCTGGATGAGTGGGGCGCCAATCACATGTTCGCCAACATGGAGTACGAGGTCGATGAACTGCGGCGGGAAGCCAAGATGGTGCACTTGTGCGCTGAGAGGGGCATTGCCTTTGAAGTCGTGCATGATACTTGCGTCGTGCCCCCAGGCGCGTTGCAAAGCGGGAGTGGGAAGCAGTATTCGGTCTATTCTCCGTGGTTCCGAGCGTGGCTTGCGCATATCCACACGAATCCAGACTTACTTACTCTCTTCAAGGCGCCACCCACGTTTTCGCCCGCGGCGAGGGCTAAGGTTGCTGTGCTCTTTGACTGCGAAATGCCCCAGGTACCGGAGTCCAAGAGGCTCTCAGAAGAAGATGCCCAGCGGCTGCATGCTTTCTGGCCTGCAGGGGAACACGAAGCCATGGACCGGTTGGAGAAGTTCTGCCAGGAGAAAATTGGGAAATACCATCAGCGGCGCAATGTTCCGTCAGAGGCAGGCACGTCAAGTCTTTCGGTGCATCTTGCGACGGGGACATTGAGTGCTAGGACCGCAGTACTATATGCGAGGAATCGGAACAAGGTCAAGAAGCTGGACGCCGGCATTGAAGGTGTACAGACTTGGATTAGTGAGGTTGCCTGGCGGGACTTCTACAAGCATGTGTTGGTCAACTGGCCATATGTGTGGTAAGTAACAATTGCGCTGGCGCCGAATTCGCAGTTCTAAATAGGAAAATGGTGAATAACCCATCTCATCACAGCATGAACAAACCTTTCAAACCTGAATACTCGAACATCACCTGGTCCTACAATGCGTCTCACTTCGCCGCCTGGAGCCAAGGCCGAACTGGCTTCCCCGTCATCGACGCTGCCATGCGCCAAATGGCCCACATGGGCTGGATGCATAACCGATGCCGCATGATTGTCGCCTCGTTTCTGGCCAAAGACCTCCTAATCGACTGGCGCATGGGCGAGCGCTTCTTCATGGAAAACCTGATTGATGGCGACTTCGCGAGCAACAATGGCGGCTGGGGGTTCAGCGCCAGCGTCGGCGTGGATCCGCAGCCGTACTTCCGCATCTTCAATCCGCTGCTGCAGAGCGAGAAGTTTGACCCCAACGGAGAGTATATCAAGAAATGGATACCGGAGCTCAAAGGGATGACTAACAAGGAAGTTCACGACCCGTACGGGAGAGGGGCCGGGGCTAAGGCAAGGAAGGCGGGGTATCCTGAAAGGATAGTGGAGCACAAAGACGCGAGGGCGAGGGCGTTGGCCGTATACAAGGAGGGACTGGAGAGAGACAAGACGTAATGCCGGGGCTGCACTGGAGGTAAGGCTACCGATTAAAGTTGTCCTGAGGATTGTTATGTAACAGGTAATAATCCAGCCAACTACCCTAGCGCATACGAGATCATGGGCGGTTCCTCACACCGGCAGCGCTTTTGGCCGAATCCCGCTTCCGGAGCCGATGCCATGCCCACACCGATAATGGTCGATCTCTTATCGGCATTCCCATGCTCAATTATTCAATTGTAATTCCAACCTCGACTCATGCGTCCGACCGGCTATCGTTTTGTATTTGAACTGTGGAGTACCAGGTTATATGATATGCGCTGAGCACCTAAAAAACTTCTCAAAGACTGACACTTCGTTTCGACAAATCCCCCACAAATCAGCAGTGGCCCAGCAATCGAAGATGGGTAGAACCCTGCTTCCCAAACAGTGACTGCAGCTCCAGTTTGTTGTTAGAATACTTATTTAACCATTCTATCTCTTAAACTGAAGATGCGAACGGTACCAGAGATATGGCGCAAACATTCGATTGGCTGTGTCAAATCCGCAGCTCTCGTTTGAAGTATTTCTAGACCAAACAATTGGTCATTTCGCTTCTTTGGGCTTGTTCTTGGTTTGGTTGATGTAACCATCCAGGATCGTCCTTGCTCGCTTTCGAGGGGTACTCGCTGGCTGTAGTATTGGATGCTAGGACTACAGCCTACTCATGAGATAACGGCGAGCTAGGGACTTGGCACTTGCAGGCAAGCCAAGTATACATGCCATTTAAAACACACACGGTGCCCGGCCAGTTCATCAACGTCTCCCCATATCGGCTTGTCTTTGAGATTGCTTATTATGACGGCATCTCTCTTCGAACTGGTGTCAATTTGTTTACGCCATGGAAACCCCCGCGAAGATCAGCGCCACAATGCCTGAAAACGGCGGCAGCGTGCTCGATGAGAAGGATAGCCGCGACTTTGTGTCGGAGCCCAAGACGGCGCACAACTTCCATGTCGCTCAGGATGTCGAACTGGCGAACGGCCATTTGGCTGAGCTTGAGGTCGACATGGGCCGCATCTTGGCCAAGGACGAGGCCGAGGGCGACTGGGACGCCGACACCAGTCCGTTTCCCCAAGTGCGCGCCGTCGTGCCCGAGACGGACGATACGGCCATTCCCGTGAATACCTTTCGGGCATGGTTTCTAGGTATTGTGCGCCACCACACCACACTCCAAGTTGGCAATTCCGCCGTCATTCCATCTGACTAATGCCCTCCCTCAGGTCTTCGTCTTTCTCGGGGCTGGCGTCAACCAGTTCTTCTCGCTCCGATATCCTGGTGTACGCATCGTGTCACTCGTCGCAGAATTGCTGGCCTATCCCATCGGCGTCGCGCTCGCCAACTTCCTGCCCATTAGTCGCTGGAATCCCGATCGCCACTTCAACATCAAGGAGCATGCCCTCGTCACCATCATGAGCAATGTTTCGTTCGGTATCGGATCCGCAGACGCGACCAACCTCATCCAGGCCGCCAGGTTCTATGGCATCCCCATCCCGACCGGCTTCTCCGTCATGGTCGTCCTGTGCTGCCAGCTGTTGGGCTACGGCGTTGCTGGCCTCACGTCTCGCTGGCTTGTCGAGCCGGCCACCATGATTTGGCCCGGTGTGCTAAGCAACATTGCTCTGCTTAGCTCGCTGCACTCGCGTGCCAATGCTGTCGCTAATGGCTGGAGAATAAGCCGCATCAAGTTCTTCATGGTTGTTGGCGGTGCTGCCTTTGTGTGGTACTGGTTCCCCGGCCTCATCTTCACTGGCTTGAGCTACTTCACGTGGATCTGTTGGATCGTGCCCGACAATCTGGCCGTCAACCAGGTCTTTGGCATGGTGACGGGCATGGGGCTCTTCCCGCTGACGTTTGACTGGTCCATGGTGGCGTACAACACGAACCCGCTGCTCAGTCCTCACTGGGCGGCCGCCAACGTCTTCGTCGGCTTTGCCTTCTTTTTCTGGGTCATCACGCCTGCGTTGTACTATACAAACACCTGGTTCACTTCGTACCTGCCATACTGCACGGCTGACGTATACGACCGATTTGGGCAGCTGTACAACTCTACCGAGGTCTTGACCAACAACCAGTTCGACCAGGAAAAGTACTCGGCGTACTCGCCACCCTACTTACCAGCAACATTTGCATTTGTTTATGGCCTCTCGTTTGCATCCATCACCAGCGTTCTGTCGCACGTCTACTTCTTCCACTGGGAGGAAATCACCCATGCCCTCCGTGGCACCGGCAAGCTCGACATTCACTCGCGCCTGATGAAGTCATACAGAAAAGTGCCGTGGTGGTGGTGGGTGTCAGTCATCGTCGTCGTCATGGGCATGTCTATCGCCATGACCGAGGTCTACCACACCGGACTCCCCGTGTACGGCATCTTCCTGGCGCTCATTATCCCAGCCATCTACATGATCCCCTGCGGCATGATCCAGGGCATCACCAACGTCGACGCCAACCAGATCAACGTGCTGTCCGAGTTCATCGGCGGCTACATGTTCCAGGGCAAGCCCATCGCCAACATCCTCTTCAAGATCATCTCCACCGACGTGGTGGGCCAGGGCCTGTACTTCGCCGCCGACATGAAGCTGGGCCACTACCTCAAGATTCCCCTGCGCACCCTGTTCTTCGCCCAGGGTTTGGCCACTATTCTCGGCGCCCTTACCCAGACGGGCGTCACTCTTTGGATGCTGGGCAACGTTCCCGGCATCTGTTCTGAGGACCAGCCCAATGGCTTCTCCTGCCCCAGAGGCCGCACCGTTTGGTCCTCATCCGTCATCTGGGGTCTGGTCGGCCCCGCACGCCTCTACTCGGTCGGCATGATCTACAGCGGCCTGCTGCACTTCTTCTGGATCGGCCTCATCCTCCCGCCCATCACCTGGTTCATCTGGAAGAAGACGGGCAATGAGTTCGTGCGCAAGATCAATTGGCCCCTCATCTTCGTGGGCACATACAATGTGCCTCCGGCGACGGGAATCAACTACTCGTCGTGGTATATAGTCAACCTTGTATTTAACAAGATTCTGTACCGCAGATTCTACGCCTGGTGGACAAAGTACAACTACATTCTTGCAGCGGCATTGGACACGGGGCTTGCCCTGAGCGGCATCCTCATTTTCTTCGCCGTCACGTACGGGCCGCGCGTGCAATTTCCGGATTGGTGGGGGAACACCGTATGGCAAAACACTGCCGATGGGTTGGGTACGCCATGGTTACAGATGCCGGATGTGGGGTATTTTGGGGCCGCTAATGGTACTTGGACATGAGAGAAAGGTGTAATGGTAACGGAGAAACCTTGGCGTAATTGGATACAGCACGGCTGGGCGTATTAGATTACTGTACCTGTATTATGTATGTATGTTTCCTCGTGGTGTGAATCGGCTTGGCCTCTGAAGAAGCAGACGACCCATGATAATATATATAAGATCGTGTCGCTATGAAGTAGCCACATTCACATTCGATGGATTGGACATATACCAACTGTACCAGCTATTATGTGATGTGAACAGAAAGCCGGACCACATAAGTTGGTATCGGTCAGGCTTCGGGAATTTCTGAGAGTGCAGTCATCTGTAAGCTCGAGGACATGATGAGATACGCTGCATCGAATGCCGCCTTGCTTAATCTACACTTAAGCAGGCAAAGCCGCAATGCATTAGGGAATTATTTTGGTTGAAGCAAGCTTGACTTGCTCCTTGATAACAAATGGGCAGAGTGTGGCATTTGGTAGCTTATGCGGCCTTGCAAACACAGCTTGCACGGCATGTGGATTGAGCTTAACTATTACAGGAATCGTAGACCGAAACAGCCGGATGTGATCTCTTCTCAGAGTGCTTAATCGAAGGGGCAGTCAAGGCTGTGGACAAACCAAGTCGACCATCCAAATTTTTCGCCATCATAGCCAGGAATCGGCTCCTGTACACAAAGCAGTTCCGGAATTATGACCCTCATCCATAGGGCAGCACAAGATAGTTTCTTGTCCATGATGGTGTGCCCCACGATAAATAGCGTCGTAATACTTCAGTCTGCGGCTCTTGTAAGAGACAAGTGATGGTTTCCGGCCCTGGTTACATCTATTCTAGCCCCAGACCAACAGTTGGAAGTGTCTTTGTTGTTACTGCGATTATGCAGAAATGCGAACCGCTTCCCTTTATTATCAGAGGGAGAAATAAAACAAGGACTGGCGGCCAACAACTTGAGATGCTGCCAGTGGCATGGAATTACGGTAGCAGTGGGTGAGTACTTTAATGCCGTCAGCCGACCACTAATGTTGCATATAATCCATGCACGGCTTTGTACAGCCTCCATGGATCCATCTGAAGTTCCTCTAAGCAGTTCCGTGTTGGAGTCACAAGAGCCATGCAGATCATAACCGACACATTATGACACAGATCTGTCTATTCATTATCGCTGAATGCAGTCAAACATGAATATTATGCTTCAGCAGCCAGTCGGGTTAGTGAACACCAATTCAGATAAAGACTGGAGTAGTGTAGACTGACGCCATTACAAAAGTACGCAGCAACATGCGCATCTATGTACTTTCAGCATGACTTAGTGCTGTCATCACGAACCTTATTTTGGGATAGAAATGACCAGAGCTTCCTCCAAAGCCCGATGGACAGATGAGTTACCGATGGCAGCTAGAATCTACTCTCAGAGTTTCTCCGTAGCGCAAGTTTCGGCTGCGGATGCAGAAGAGAGATTCGTCAGGTTATGTATCTAGAAGTGGTAAATGACTCGAATTCCGCACGTTTAATTCCAATCCCGCACCAGATCTCTCTCCAGTGTGCTCAATCAATGTCACTTGCGTCAGCGTTAACAGAAATGATAAATGAGATAACCCTCAGTGAGTATTTCTCAGTAAAGTCAATAGATGTCTTGGACCAGAGCATACCATTGGGGGAATTGATAGATCAAAGTTGAAGTACTCAGTTGCGTAACGTTTGAGAGTATCAGATACAACGGTACTAGTAACAGCGAATGACATAGAGCCTCGCCGGCAAGACTAACTACACCCAGAGACCCGTATCGCATGAATTCCAATTGAAAACAAAAATGAGCCATCAAGGCAACGTGCCAGATAGAATCAGCTAGTTACCCGAACATAGTGGTCCAATCCGGTACTCTGTTGAATCCCGCTGCCAGAACATTACTACATCTTGCTTAGTGCAGATGCTGTAGCATTTGATCCTGTGGCCTGTGCAGCCACGGCGTTGGTGCAGTTTCCAGGTGCGAAAGCAGCCGCTGTCTGGTCGAACGAGGCTGTAAAGGTACCCACCTGTCCTTGAGCGATTCCTTGAATGGCGGCTGGGAGCTTGGACACAGTCGCATCGACCAAAGCCTGCGCTGTGGCACCGAAGTCTTTTGTCTGAGAGCCGATAACATCGCAGAGCCCAGCAGCTTCAAACGTAGGCTTCTTCCTGTATTATCACCGTTGATCAGAAACTGCCAGTAGGGTAGATTGACAAACGAGGTCGACAAGACTTACGCAACGATGTCAGCTACAAGAGTGTTGCCCTGATCCTGAATGGGCGCTAGTGTTTGTTGGAGAGTAAGCGCCTCGTTGATGGTTATGGGTTGAGATGCTTGGATCTTCTGGGTGCCTACAACAGGTTCACCAGTCAGTCACCATTCCACTCGGAGACGATTTACGCAACGACAAGGGTGCGAATAGATACACAATTGTGAGTCTTCCCATCACCTTTGTTTCCATCTTGAAGTGTGGTTTCGAAGCAGAATCAAAATTGAGTGCGCTCACCCTGTTTCAGCATGTCGCTTAGTCCAAGAGCGTCAGTGGCCAACGTATTGAAGTCCTTTCCGTCAAACGCCTTGATGGAGGCGTCGAGTTTCGTCAATTTTGTACCGATTCCCTGAATCACAGTCTGGATGGTTTGCACATCCCGCCTCACGAGAAATCCAGCGGAGACCGACAAGGTCACGAAAGAAAGTATCAGCAGAAACTTCATATTGGCTGTCGATGTTTTTGACTGAGTGGTGGTGCGAAATAATGCAATAGAGGAATGAGAGGATTTGAAAAGGTGATTTGAGCCATTCTTATGTCATGTGCTATGGCACTACAGTTGTTGAAGGGACAAGCTATGATGGTTGTCATGGAAGGTTACGTGAGCTAAGGCCAAACACAACCACATCTATGTCCCAAAAGGGGATTTTATTGAGGTGACCTCTAACGTCTAAATTATCTGTCAACCAATCGATTGGGCTCGCCCATAAGATAGCCGATGTACTTTCCTGTTTAGTCGATCCATAACCTGTAAGCCACTACCAGCCAATCTCATGAAATAGGGCTTAACTGTAGCTTAGAAGACGACCCAAATGTTGAGCCCATCTATGATTGGTACACGACTCGCTTACTTTTCGATCGTAATATATGAAACACTACACAGTGGCACAGCTTTCAGGCTCAAAGTTTCTACTGTTCATCTGCGGAGGTTGTTGCGAGCCTCATCGGATGAATATTAAAGTGGCAGCAACATGTTAATCAGCTGCCCTTGCAACTTCCAGCAGATGTGACGCTTACAATATAAGTTAAGATTATGAGGCTGTGTTCACAACCTGGAGTCATCTATGCTACTTTTACGGCATTGTAGTGGAATAATGACTAGACTCGAGGCTTAGCTCCGAGTATAAGCCCAAGGTCATGACGATAAGGTTTATCGGTAGCAGGATCAGTGAGATAGCCTCTACTGCAATTAGCACTAAACTTCCTACTCCAATCAGCTTATGTCGATTCAGATTCTGTAGATCATGTAGTATGAATAGAAAGTACATGGGTCGCGTGGGAGTTAAATGTCGTTGTAGCCATCGGCTAACGATTATCGAAGTAAATAGAACCGTATATAATAAACCATGCAATAATGTTTCTATCATAATGTAGTACTTCATTTGTTTCTACAGGTATCAGGGGTACAGACCGGGCCCCTTCTAGGCTGAAACGCGGGGGATAAACTTCATACGAATCGTGTATATTCACTCGAGCTATTAACTAGCTTGAAACCAATTTCCTCAAATGCACTGCACGAGATGATCGGGATATTACAAAGAAGTATACACATAGGTGTATTTTCCAGTACGTAAGTAATTACATAAGTGAATTGTGTCTAGTGGGAAATTGCATTTCATTTACAAAGCAGATGGCCTGTCTCTTTTCTTTTTCTTCCGTTGCGCGGTAACTTGGATATTCCAATTTTCAAGACAAACCATGTAGAACCCTATAGTGCTGATGTCTAGTAGCAGAGACGAGGGTAAAAGGTACAGCAACGCAAGGTCGACGGTAGTGTTATGCTTGGCCACTTCGCCGGTCACCGAAATTATTATCTCCATAATTATTTTTGATTACCAGCTATGAAGTGGACCCGTTGTGTAAAAGTACGAAGTGACGCAGAACTCCTGTTGATAAAAACCTGTCGTTGGAGGGTGCATGGCGGATGCCGTAGGTCGGGCGGTTCCGAGATAAGACAGCGGCCCGAAGCGGTATCGTTGGATAAATCGGAGGGACAGCCCCTCCGCTGAACGTTGCATGTCGCTTTAATTGATGCGTCAAGTTACACATTCTAGAGCCACAATCAGCTCCCACATAACATTGGAAAGAATCTGCAACCCCACGACCTCCAGCTGTTTGCACGCCATCCCAAAATGTCCAGAATTACAGTGCAAACTCTCGTCTTTCCCGAGACATCGGGCATCAACTTCGGAGCTGCCGTCTCCAACGTGGACATTGAGAAACTGACTGGTAAGAAGTGTAATACGCTGCAAATGTTGACTTGATGACATCCATTGAACAAGGGAGACTACCCGTGGAATCGGTAACCTCCTCGGTAAGTAATTGCTACTCTCGCCTCCTTTGCCAAGAGGCAACAGCTGACAGACTGTCACAGACGCCGACTTTGACGTGATACGCGACGCCCTGTACGCCCATCAGGTCCTAGTCTTCAAGGACCAGTCGTCCGTGTCACCCCGTGCTCAATTCCAGCTGACGCAACGCTTCGACCCTGCCGCCACGTCTTACGGCCACGGCAAGACGCTCGATGCCAAGCGCAGCATCCTGCACCCAGACCTCAAGACCATCCCCCACCAACCCCAGGTCCAAGTCATTGGCAACGGCTTCGTGCGCGAGTACGAGGGCTTGAAGGACGTCACCCTTAAGCACCCTCATCATAAGACGTTTCACGCCACTGCCATTCCCGCCCACGATGATCTCGACTTCACTCGCTTCTACCGCTGGCATATCGACGCCGCCCTCTACGGCCTTGCCCCGCCTGTCGTCACCACCCTGCTCGCCGTAGAAGTCCCCAGCGGCCGTCGCCAGATCTGCCGGTACGATGACGGCACTGGCGACGAGCTGCACGTGCCTCTGGGTACGACCGCCTTCGTCTCGGGCTATACCATGTATGAGCTCCTGTCCGATTCGGACAAGGAGTTTGCGCGCAACACGAGGGTCGAGTACGCACCACATCCCTATATCTGGATGAGCGGCGCCAAGTCGCGGTCTGATGGCCTGGGCATGCTGTCACAGGGCCTCGAGGTTCCTCTGGACCAGCTGCCGACCATTGAGGAGGATAAGATACAGATCCTGCCCATGTGCTGGCGCAATCCCGTCACAGGAAGATTAGCAGTTCAGGTCCATCCCAGCGCGGTGCGCAAGCTACATCTGGCTAATGGGACCGTCATTGACAATCTGGCTGAGGTGCGCGACATCATCCACCGCCTGCAGCGCCCAGGCATCGCGCCCAACATGGTGTATGCCCACGACTGGGAGCAAGGCGACTTGGTGCTCTTCCACAACCGCGGAGTATTGCATTCGGTCGTGGGTGCTTTTGCAGAGCATGAGGTGAGGTTATTTAGGCAGTGTAACGTTGCGGCGAGTCACTTCCCGGAGGGCCCGGAGGGCCCGGAGGGTATTGCTGCCGCTTGAACGAGACGTGTCTATTTACAATTCATGTCGTGTATTCCGGCTTCTGGACTTCTCAATTAATTGATACGAATATGGAATATTATCATCATACGTCCTCACCGTTGCGATCTTCGAATACGATCAAGAGCGGCACTCTAGCCCGCAGTAATGCTGATTGTTCACTCGAGGCATACATGCTCATGTCCGATGACTGACTTGCCAGTGGTAGCACCAAGGCAAATTTAAAACAAGGGGCGTTGAACATTAGCTCAAAGCCGCATAAGTGCACAACTACCATGAGGGAGCGGAGGTCAAAAGACTGAAGCATGGTTTTGTATATGATATCCAACAAGACTGCCGAAATGTATTATTATCGCGATACTGCCCAGGAAGCCGAAAGTGACACTCTGGTCCATCATCGCATTGACCAACCGATCATGGGCGTAGGCAGAGCAGTGGGTAGCTGAATAACGTCCCTAAGCGTACATATATCCATCTCACAAGCAATAAGAACGTGTCCGCCGGTACTCAGTACGCATGAAGGCGCAACCTAACCCAATCCACCCTGTCCCTCAACCGCTCCGGGAGCTTCGTTTTGATGTTATTGGCAGTCCAGTGTGCGCTATAGACTGAGTCCTACAAGGTCCTCGGTCAGCTATTTGGTTCGACATTCCCGCATGTCAGAGCAGAATGTCGCGGATGACCAGAGGATCCTTTTTCAAACACGGTTGCACTGGTGGCCGAACCACGAGTTTCTGCCCCAGCTAGTCTCCTTTTCATCTCACGATGCGGCAAGGTGAGGTCGAGCACCGAGGAGTTAATATCACGGTGCGTGCCGAGCCAATACCATATCTATCTATTCTCGGATGACGTATCGACGCATGAAACGTCGAAGTCACAGCTGCCGGGGATCTTGGAAAAGTCAAACACGATCTCGATATGAGGAGGCTAGCGGCCCTGGGCATACACAACCGCATTTGCACTCCCAAATTGCAACAGTGGGTTGGAACGTAGCGAGCTTTAAGCGAACTGCATAGCCCACGGATTTACAATTTCATCGCTGAAACATACTCATCATCTACGATAGTTGTTTGCAGGCAAGTTCAGGTGCTGCACCCGTAGTTACGGTGCGTTATGACCCGTCCGTTGAGCTCAAGGGGCTTCATATGCAAGTTTATTATATGGAGCTGTGCGACCTAGCCAGCATTTCCCAGCACGAGCAGGCCGTTCTGATAAGACCATGAGAACAGTTGTAGGTTACGCCAAGCTTAACTTCTTGATCATTATTTCTGCCGGTGTTTATCTGACAGTGGCGGGTCGGTGTCGAATGCAAAAACGTCAAGTCAAGCTAGATGTTTCATTCGTCTTATACTTTCTCCTGTGTGAGCTCATTTTGCCGATATATTTTACATCGAACCCTCTTACATAAGCACTATATGCTTAAAAGTCAGGCATACCCCATACCTAGTATTGTCTCAAGCAGCTAGCGCCCGGGACAACATCTAGCTGTGATTCCTTGAGTCAGGTCAGTTCCCGTCCTGCTTGTACCGTGATAATCACCCGTGATGGCACTGAGAAAACTGCATCCTTGTGTCTGAAGCAGCTCGAGACTGGATTCAATTGGCTATGCGAGATGTAGGTGTTTGTTTCAATGACTCAAATACGGTAATATGGGCCAGTCGAGTAGGACAATCTGATCGGCAAATAGCAGATCGGGTTGCCCAAGGGATACTGGAACTTTATGCTTAAGCAGACCTACGTATTAGATTCTATTTGGCGTACAACCATAATGCTGGAACCTTAGCGTGGTCGTATCATCCGTTCTCCCTTTTTCGCCATTTAGACCACCAGTAGAGGCTGGCATCTCATAGTTCATAAACGATAACGAATGCTCTTCAACTCTCGCCCCGTCGAAGCGCATTTGCGAATCAAACATAGTTGCAATGAGAACAAAATTCAAGTAGTATGTCATACATTCTCTCTTCATCTCTTAATGCCCAATCTACGAACTTGCTGTAGGTGAAACCTCCGGCTGCGATGAGATGAGATTCCACTTACAGCTTTCGTACTAGTTGCCATGCTTGTTGTCAGACCTTATAACTACCAAAAATACCTCATTCTATAGCGAGTGGGTCCCTCGTCTTTTGACGGTCAATTTGGTCCAACACTTGTCACTGATCATGGGATGAGCCCTTACTACCAATCACAATCTAAAGGCAATTTTGAAGTTGAAGAACCCCTAACTGTGCGAGTGACTGTGTACTAATGTGTGCTATACCAGTCTAGCTACTTCAGCTGTGGTTGCGAGTGGTTTTAATTCTGATCAGAACCGACCGCAGTTTCTATCCACTGCGACCACTTCAGGCACAGCCACGATGTCGCGAAGCAGGTGCCCCGCCAATTGTCCAGTAATTGCTCATATCAACGTATCAACCGACGTGGAAACATGGTTAACAGATGTTTTAATCCATACAAACCGACGACCTAGGGCGGCGTCATTGAATCTAATGAGCTGATTATCGACCGACGTGCCAGAGTCTGAAACAAAGACACTATTCACGTTGTGGCGTTCGTTGGTGCTCCACACCTAACAGGCCAATCTTGGAGGAAAGGGTTGCTAGTGATGCTTGAATGACATTGATGAAAAGGAGAAAAACACAGACCAGGCACGGCGCAATCGATCGCGTTTCATAGCGGGGACTAACGCAACACAGGATGAATAGATTAAAAAAACATGATGGTGCGAATAATAAACACGCTTGCCGGAGGGATGGGCCTAGTTGCGAAACGGGCCGAGAGGAGCTGTGCTCCAGGTAGTCGTTCATTCTGCTGAAGTGCCGCCTTGATATGGTCAATTGGCGGTTGATCATACGACATGCTCATTACTGAATACAAGCTTATTCTATTTGACGTGCCAGTCGACTTGGTGTGGACGCACTTTTTGGCAAAGCACTACTGCAGCGGCACGGCAAATACTGATCACCTGCTAATATTCCCAGGGTTGGGCGAAGCCGCCGCCAATTGTCAATACTCAGTTACGAAGCCTCTGGCCAAGAGTAAGTGACTCGCAGGGGCCCCTGCCACATGTGCGGGCCGACAGTGTTATCGCAGGGAAGGAAGCTACTTTGGGAAATCTCTTATTTTAGATACTTGAGCCCGCTGAGCCGCCTAGAACGATCCCCTGGTACAGATAAGAGGATACAGTAAGACCTGGAGGACGAGATATCTCTTCGAATGTCGCATGGGCCGCCCGCATAGTGGCAGGGGGCCCTTACGGAACCAATTATATTCTTTGAACGTGGGCGGCTAATCCATTCTGACATTCCTGATTGGATGGGATTGGCGTCATCGATTACACCTTGCTGGAGAATCGCGATGCTGGGGACGAGATTCACGTTTTGCTACAAGTCGGAGGGATGCTTGCTATGCTCCCAAGCTGAACATAAGAACTACTATGACGACCCCAGGCCTAATTATCAGCTTGCCAGATTGTCGAGTGTTTCACGTCATGGACGAAGCGTTCTATATGTGCTGGCCTAGGCCCGATCTAGGACCTCCGTAATTGGGGCGGTAAGGCTGAAACCTCAGCGGCCAAGACCCAATTGCTAGCGATGATCATTATTTCTACTGATGCAGGAATATGGAACTTCGAACATGAGATGAAATGCCGTCCTATCCACTATGTGTGAAATCCATAATTTATCACACTACAATCTTGGCGCCAAAATATCTGCAAGCATACCGGAAAAGGAGCGAACGGTGAAGTGATATTTTTGAGATGGGCCACGCCATCTCGTCAATGCGTCGTCACCTTTCAAAGAGCCAAGGATTTACAGAGTCGCATTTCGGCCGGGTTTAGAGGATCATGGGACGACGATAGCGACCGTGGCCCGGGAGAATCGCGCGCCAATGTAACCAAGGCGCAAGTTGATGCCTTTTCAGATAGCTCAGACGGGAGATTCACGATAGCGCGTTGACACCCCTGCCCGTCCTACTATGCCCAGACTGTTTTGCGCTCTGCAGGCGGCCGCTCTGTTCGGTTTAGCCTCTGCTCTATGCAGCTCTGTCCAGTTTGTCCAGCTCCCAACAACGCAAGTGGATGCGCAAAAATCTTCTCAAGTCGGCGGGCGGTTTCCACTTGAACATGACGACGCGTACCGCCGCAGTTCCAGGCATATGTTGGACCGATTGGTTGGAATCCTCTCTGGATGTGGGGGCGCGATAAGGCACGCATCCTCAAATCTCAAGATGAACCAAGAAGTCGAGCATTCAGAGCTTTGTCTCTTATCACTCAAATTTCAATTCATGTATTTGAAATTGATTTGTCCCAGACAGCACAAATATTGGCGGGACTGACAGATCTCAAATGACCCATGTGCCGAGTTGGCAGGCAAAACTCGAGAGCCGTCGTTCGGGTTGGGTACTCAGCCGAGAAGGGGTCAACACCTCGAGACTGGGAGCCGGCCCACCAGTCAACCTGCCATATCTCCAAGCCAGGAATCTAGATTGTTGGGAGTACTATACAGATAATTGGAATAGTTCTTTGACCTACATCCCCCCACCCTGCCCCCGAAGCCAAGCTTCGAATGTTTAATGTCATCACCGCAGGGTGGACTGCCGATATACTACCTTAGTAGCGGGCCCTATCACTCTATGACCCTTATAGTGTATTTTGCCCGATAACTGCATAGGTTTAGGCTGCCCGTGGGATTTGCAACGGTAATTGTACTTATATGTAGGTGTATACACCTTGAAAACATCTGCTGGTAGGAACCGATAGAGGGGGTTTCGGGCTGCAAAGTAGGCTGTTATAGAGTAAAAGCACGTATTCGAGTGGAGGGGATCCCAAACTCCGATATATATGCAATAGATCTTGTTATACTCAAACTTCTCTTCCAAACATGCCGCAAATATTTCATTATATAAGAAATGCACGATATCCAGAATGTGTATAACACCCTCTTGACTGTGTGGATATCCGTTGCCCGCCCACATGCAGTTACAGGGGCCACCACCGTAGAGACAATGCTGGCCATAAGATGCAATCAGATAGATCAGCGGTGGAGGCGTTCGCTGTGCCGGATCCTGCGAAACCTGGAACAACCCGGGAGCTTGTTTGCACCGGCTCCGCAATTAACCCCGTCGGTAATGTGCGATGGGTTGTACCACCGCTCGCCATAGTACGTAGTGTCCGTCAACAAATCTCAACCGGGTCCATCCACCGTCTAGACCCATGACCGTGTCGATACCGCCGGGGAAATATGGGTAACATGGGAAAGCAGCGAGACTGCCTAGTGGGCACGAAGCAGCAGAGGCAGAAAGCCGTGGCGCGTATAAACCTGCTTGTGGTGACGGACTGCAGAAGTTGCCTCTTTTCTGCACGGCACTCTGAAGAAGGGCCTGGGAGGATGACCCTGGAACTTGGAACGTCGAATCTGTATCTTTTTCATTAAAGATTCCATTCCGTTCTAGGTTTTGGCTGTAGTCAATCCCGTCGGCACGACGCCAATTACACTCTTTTCGACAAATTCACTATGTTGGCGATCCATGCCTGCGTGCTGCTGCTTGTCAGCGCCTGGACAGGTCTCGGCCAAGCACTACGATACGAGGACACCCACGCAGACTGGAATCTGAACCAGAATGACTCTGCCACGGATCCTCTCGACTACTGGGGCGAATGGACTGGCCACAGCTACACACCGTCTCCAGACAACTGGCGATTTCCCTACTACACTCTGTCTCCGGACCGATTTGCCAATGGGGACCCGACCAATGACGAGGCCAATGGCACCATGTTCGAGCACGACTGGATGAGCAACCAGTTTCGGTTCGGAGGTGACGTCCGCGGACTGATGAACGAGCTGGATTACATCCAGGGCATGGGCATCAAGGCCATCTACTTGATGGGAAGTCCATTCATCAACCAACCTTGGATGGCTGACGGTTACAGTCCTCTCGATTTTACCCTCCTCGACCACCACCACGGTGTGATTGATGACTGGAGACAGCTTATCGATGCAATTCACGACCGCGGCATGTATGTCCTGTTGGACAATACCATGAGCACGTAAGTTCTTCAACAACGAAACAACGAAAAATTCCACGGCCCCGAGCTAACACGTAGAAACAGCATGGGCGATCTTCTGGCCTTCTCGGGCCACCTCAACGTCACGGCGCCCTTCAACTGGAACGAGTATGACTACACATGGAAGTACCCGGAACGCAGGTACCACGACTTTCAACCTGGAAACGCAGTCAATGAGTCGTGCGAATACCCCAGATTCTGGGGCGACGATGGATACCTGCAGACGTATTCCGACGCCAGTGGCTGCCGCATAAGTGAGTTCAGTTCGTACGGCGACCTGGAGAATACCGGCCACTTCTCTGTTTACCAGAACCAGCTGTCCAAGTACGGTTCGGTCCAGGACCGACTCCGAGCGTGGCGTGGCGACGTCCTGGATAAGATCAAGCACTTCTCGTGTATGCAAATTTCCATGCTGGACATTGACGGGTTTCGCATGGACAAGGCTCTGCAAAACACCGTCGACTCCCTGGCTGAGTTCTCAGCATACCAGCGGGAATGTGCTCGACGCTACAACAAGGAAAACTTCTACATAATAGGAGAGGTAGTGGGAACCGATCAGCAGGCAGCCATATACTATGGAAGGGGCATGCAACCCAACCAATACTTCATGAACTCGACCGTGTCGGCCCTGTCCTCCAACACGACGGACGACACCACCTATGTCAGAGACTTTGGCCTGAGTGGTCTCGATGGGGCTGGCTTCCATTACACCGTCTATGGTGCGCTCACCCGACTTTTAGGGTAAGACATACTCACACCCCTACTACATAGGCATTGCCCTGGGTCAACGTTATGACTTGCTGACTTCAACTCAGGCTGGACGGAAACATTGGTGAAAATGGCGTGAACTTTGTAGAGCTCTGGAGAAATATTGTCCTGCAAAACGACCTCGTCAACTCCAACACGGGCGAGTTCGACCCGCGCCACCAATTTGGCACTTCGGACCAGGACGTGTTCCGCTGGCCAGCTCTAGAGAACGGAACGCAGCGCCAGCTCCTGGCCCACTTCATCACCACGCTCGAGATGCCCGGATCGCCGGCTCTCTTCTGGGGCGAAGAGCAGAGCTTCTACATTCTAGACTCTACTGCCGAAAATTTCGTTTACGGGCGTCAACCAATGAGCTCTAGTAGGGGGTGGCAGATACATGGATGCTACCAGATCAGTGATGCAACCTACACCGACTTCCCCCTGGGCCCCGCACGCCACGGCTGTAACGATGACAATGTCAGTCTAGACCATAAGGACCCCTCACACCCCGTCCGCAACGTCCTGAAAAGGATGTACGAGCTGCGATTGCAGTACCCGACACTCAATGATGGCTGGTATCTCGAGATGTTGTCCAACCAGACACGCGACATTTACTTGCCTGGTAGTGACGGCCTCCCTTCACCTACGGGAATTGTGAGCGTGTACCGCGCGGGCCTTGCTGGAGTGCAGGATCTCGACGGCGTGGGCCAGGGCAACCAGGGAATCTGGCTTGTCTACAGCAACGAGAACCAGACCAAGGAGTTCGAGTTTGACTGCGCAAACGCCACGGCGGCCATGGTATCTCCTTTTCTTGCCAACACTGTGGTTAAGAATCTGCTCTACCCCTATGACGAGCACGTATTGGAGAACTCTTCGGTTGCATTCGACCGTGACGGGTCCACGGGCTTTGCTGGGTGTCTCTCCAACATGACCATGGACGCATGGGGTTTCAAGGCGTTTGTACCCATAGACAACTACATGGCGCCTTCGCCTTCCATCACCAGTGTTGTGCCGTCGCATGATCAGAGGATACTGGCCAGTGTCGAGCTCGGACAGCAGCAGACGATCCCCATAGAAATCCACTTCTCCATGGCCATGGACTGCAGCTCCGTCACTGACACTCTCGTCATCAACTCGACGACGCTGGATGGCAACACCGCCAGCATAGATGGCTCATCCGTTGTTTGCACGGCCATTGAGAATGACACGCCCGAGTTTGTGGGTCAGCCCGCTTCCGCTTGGAAGTTCACAGCGAACCTCGAGAACGTGTCGCACGGCATCCACACCTTTTCTGTTAAGAATGCATCCACGGGAAATGGGACTTACACCAATGCCGTTGATCGTTTCATGTTCCGTCTTGGAGATAGCGACAACCCCATGGTTTTCCCTGGGTCGGCCAACTACACTAGCGGCCTGCTCCACCTCAATGAGTCGACCAACAACTTATACATCTCTCCCCGGGCTGCTGGTGCCGACAAGCTGCGCTACTCTCGCAACTGAGGATCGACTTTCAGCTCCTGGGTGGACTGCTCTGACGGCGGAAACATTACTCTAGAAACGCAGGAGTGGACTGGTACTTCGAAGCAGGAGTGGACAGGGGAGCACGTCATAGTGCAGTACTGGAGTGCTATGGCTGCCAGCGCCGAGCATCTACAACACGCCGATCTAGACTCCAACACAGCCCGCCGCTGGCCTCATGCCTTTGTGCTGGGCACCTGGAATACGTGGGGTTACGACGACGGTCTCGACAGCGCCATGTCGCTGAAATCTAATGGCACGTGGACATTCAACCTCGCGACCGAATGGCCCAGTAAGACCACCATCAACGTGTGGGGAGTGGATCCCGACGGGTTGCCCGACAAGGCCATGGAGTTTGGCGACGTTGACGGCGACCATGTCCTCGACTGGCTGCACCCCGACACTCTCTCGGACAACGTCGTCAACATTTTGGTTGGTCCAGACATGCCCTACACGGCCTGGAAACTTGTTGTCAACGACGGGAACTACACGTACTACCTCGAGCCGACCGGATCCGCCTATCATCAGCTCGCCCTCTCGATCCTTCTGGGCGTGGTACCTGTGCTAACGGGTTTCCTGGCCGTGTGGGCTTTCAAAAAGTCCTTTTACCACGTGAAGTTCAACCAGGTCGGCATTGCAGACAAGACAGGTATCTTGAACACGCTGTCACTGGTCCCCGCCTATATCGCAGGCGCCATTAAGCATAAAAAGGGCAAATCTATAGCTCTCGCTTCCCAATTCCGCCGCACCGTCCTCATCGCCACCATGGAGTATGAGATCGAGGACTGGAAGATCAAGGTCAAGATCGGTGGCCTGGGCGTCATGGCCTCTTTGATGGGCAAGGCGCTGGGCCACCAGGATCTCATCTGGGTTGTGCCTTGCATTGGCGGCATCGACTACCCCACCGACACACCGGCAGCGCCTATGGTCGTGACCATCAACGAGACTGAGTACACCATCAACGTGCAGTACCATTACCTGCGCAACATTACCTTCGTGCTCTTGGATGCTCCCGTATTTCGCCAGCAGACTAAGGATGACCCTTATCCGGCGAGAATGGACGATCTCGACAGTGCTGTCTACTATTCGGCATGGAACGCCTGTATCGCCGAGGCCATTAAACGTTTCCCTCAGGTGGACCTCTACCACATCAACGATTACCACGGTGCTATTGCGCCCCTGTACCTCCTTCCGAAGACGATCCCGGTTTCCCTGTCGCTGCACAATGCAGAGTTTCAGGGGCTATGGTCGCTCCGCTCCAAGCGCGAGATGCGCGAGATCACGTCGGTCTTCAACCTCAGCAAGGAGGTGGTCAAGAAATACGTCCAGTTCGGTGAGGTGTTCAACCTCTTGCACGCCGGCGCTAGTTACCTCCGATTGCACCAAAAGGGCTTCGGTGCGGTGGGCGTTTCTAACAAGTATGGGACAAGAGCCCTGAAGCGGTATCCCATCTTCTGGGGCCTGTCCAATATTGGAGCCCTCCCGAACCCGGATCCGTCCGACAATGAAGCCTGGGATGAGAAACGGCCCGATCCGAATAATGTCGTGATTGATATCGAGGCCGAGGCTGCCAGGGGGCAATTGCGGTGCAAGGCCCAAGAATGGGCTGGGCTCAAGGTGGACCCCGACGTGAGCTGAAATAATTTCCCACGAGCTAGAAACATACCGCTGACATTTATATCACCACAGGCTGAGCTGTTTGTATTTGTTGGCCGCTGGTCAGAGCAGAAAGGTGTTGACCTGATTGCCGATGTCTTTCCTGCTCTCCTCGACAGGCACAAGGACGTCCAACTCATCTGCGTCGGCCCTGTCATCGACCTCTACGGAAAGTTCGCCGCACTTAAACTGCAAAAGATGATGGATCGCTATCCGGGCCGCGTCTTCTCCAAGCCGCAGTTCACTGCGCTCCCGCCCTTTTTATTTAGCGGTGCCGAGTTCGCTCTCATCCCCTCACGCGATGAACCTTTCGGACTGGTCGCCGTCGAATTCGGCCGAAAAGGAGCCCTCGGTGTAGGCAGTAGAGTTGGCGGCCTAGGACAAAGTATGTTATTTCCATCGCGATGTAGCCCCATTTTCCTGGTCTGTCTTGGTTTTTTTTATCGTCACGATGTGACTCAAGGACTCTGGTTTGACTTTATATCGATCAATGCTGACACGCCTGCTCTAGTGCCCGGATGGTGGTTTACAATCGAATCAACGGCAACAAAGCATCTGCTCCGGCAGTTCAAGTCGGCCATTGAGGACGCCATGGCGTCGTCGCGGGAGACTCGCGCACTGATGCGAGCTCGTTCTTCACTCCAGCGGTTCCCCGTGGCACAGTGGGTGAAAGACTTGGAAATTCTCCAGAGCACGTCGATTCACATGCATGGAAGTGTGGCTCGCGGCTCGACCATATCTCTGCTTTTACCGCCCCCCACCGGTGTCCGCGAGGTTATCCCCCCCGTGCCACCTCTACCACCTAGTCTACCTTCAACAGCATACCCAAGTCGAGCTCCGAGCCCGGTACGTGGTGGCAGCAAGTCACCCACGTCGTGCGACTCATCAGGCGCCTCGGCGCCAACGCACAAACGCTCCAAGGTTAACACGGGCCTGAGTGTGCTCACTCCTCGACTTCACACCCTCGCCCAACTCGAACGGCGCACCGACGATGATGCCCCTCCTCTGCCCGGAAGTGCGTACATCATGAACAGTCCCGGCCCTCTTTCCGCATCTACCTATGCGATGCACAGTCCCGGCCCCCTATCCGGTTCCGACACGGAAGATTGTTCACCGCAAAACTTCCTCTCTCCTGGCCTAAATAATAAAGAGAGTGCCTCGAATCTGTCTGTTGACGTGGTCGCCGGCGGCCGCAATGACTTTGAACTCCAAAACGTGGATCCCTTCTTCAACGACCCTACTGGGCGGTATTACGACACGTTTGCGAAACAGCTCGATGCCCACGACGGTAGTTTGTCTCATGACAAGCTGTGTGTCGAGGAGTACCTGCTCAAGAGCGAGAAGGACTGGTTCGGCCGCTTCTACAATGCCAAGCTAGGCAAGTCCACCACCAAAGTTAACAGGGGTTCCGTTACATCGGTCGAGAGCGCCGACATTCACGTTATCGGTGAAGCCGATGAGTTCCAACTGAGCGACAAGTACAAGCCTCCTAAGGGAGCCGGTCGCTTTCTCCAGGCCAAGGTCGGGGATTGGCCCGTCTATGCTTTCTTTATCGCATTTGTAAGCCCCGTCCCATCCGTCATTACGCCGATCCCTGAAAATGAAGCTAATCCATTTAGGGCCAAATTATTGCCGCCAACTCGTATCAAATCACCCTCCTCACGGGCCAGAACGGCGAGAGCGCCGACCGCCTCTACACCGTCTCGTCCATTTTCCTCGCTGCCTCCATCGCCTGGTGGTTCCTCTTCCGACACGTGAAGTCCGTCTACACGCTATCGCTGCCATTCGTCTTCTATGGCGTCGCATTCTTCCTGCTGGGGATGACCCCTTACGCGGCGTCGACACTGGCCACTACATGGGTACAAAATGTGGCTACGGGTTTCTACGCGGTTGGATCTGCAAGCGGCTTCTTGTTCTTCACCATGAACTTCTTGAGTGAAGGCGGCACACCAGTCCGATCCTGGGTCTTCCGGGCTTGTATCATTCAAGGCACTCAGCAACTCTACCTCGCCGCTCTGTGGTACTGGGGCTCCTACGTGTCGTCCCTGCACAACTCGGGCATAACCACCACCATCTCGCCTACCACCGTGACCGCCATTGCCGTGCCCGTGGCCGTCCTCATGTGGGCTATCGGCTTCGTTCTCCTGCTCGGGCTCCCTGAAGCATACCGCGCCCGCCCTGGCAACGTGCCCGCCTTCTACATATCCCTCGTACGCCGCAAGGTTGTCGTCTGGTTCTTCGTGGTCGTCATCATTCAGAATTACTTCCTTTCCGCCCCCTATGGCCGCAGCTGGACTTACCTTTGGAGCTCGGATGCCGCGCCCGTCTGGTCCATTGTACTGCTGGTTATCTTCTTTTTCGTCATCGTATGGGCTTTAGTCCTTGGTGTGTTTGCCCTGCTGTCTGGGGAACACTCTTGGGCCTTGCCCCTTTTCGCCATAGGGCTCGGCGCCCCTCGCTGGGCCCAGATGCTCTGGGGAACGTCAGGCATCGGCATGTACATCCCCTGGATCCCCTTCACTGACGGCACCACCAACCCCGTGGCCGGCGCGCTGCTGGGTCGCGCCCTCTGGTTGTGGCTTGGCGTCCTCGACACCTTGCAGGGTGTTGGTTTCGGCATGATTTTATTGCAAACCCTGACACGTGTGCACATGAGCTGCGCCATTGCTGTCGCTCAGGTCTTGGGGTCTATCTTCACCATTGCTGCGCGGGCGAGCGCCCCGAACAAGACGGGACCGGGGAGAGTGTTTCCCAATCTGAGTGTTGATCTTTTGGATGGCATTGTGAACATCTGGCTTTGGGTCCCCCTTGGGTTCCAACTGGCCGTGTGTGTTGGGTTTTTCGTTTTCTTCAGAAAGGAGCAGTTGTTCAAGCCTTAAAGGCAACCCCCTCTGGCAGCTGATTCTTAGTTGCCAAGTTTTATTTTCTAATGATAAATGACATGTAGAGATAGAGATGGAACTGATTGAAGTCTCACGGCCTTTCGTATAATAGGACTCAAGGATGAGCCGGTTAGCTAGACTTTATGCAGAAAGTCATGATTTGAGACAGCACACACATATGTAGTAACGACGCTATTTATGAGGAAGAAGCTGGTGTACCTTGACCGCTAGAAGCATTGCAACGTGCTATGAAAAATGATACATCCGCAATTAACCCCGCCATAAGCTTGAATTTTGGCCGAGTGATTTCTTTTTCCTTTGTACACTGCTCAAGGGGCAATTGTTGTTAGCTGCTGCGAAGAAAAGCCTCGCAAAATAACGAAATCCGAGCTAACGTGGTTTAACACCGAGTCGCGCATATCACCGAGTCGCGCACTTTTTACCACACTATAATTTGAAGTTCAATTAAAAAGCCACAATAGGCTAAAGTTTATTGAAATTTATTAAGAGCTATATACATCTGACAATTATAGTTCGACCTGGCAAGTCTTTACATTATGTCCGGTCTTCTTACACTTACTACATCGTCGTACAGTCGACGGACCAGCCTTTTCTTTAACCCCCCTAGAGCGCTTGTCCTCTTTTACCTGGGCCTCCGCGTCCTTCCGGGCCAAAATGTCCATGGCATCCTCAACAGTAAGTGCACCTCCTTGCCGGACACGCGATGTTTTTGCCCTCCGACGCTTGCTTAGTGCCTCATTTGCCTTGCGAAGGGTGGAGCACTCAGCCTTCAAGAGGGTATTCTCATGGGCTAATCGAGTTATACCCTTCGCAAGGTGGCCAACAGCATCAAAAATTGGGGCCGGAGAGCTTCCCTGATGTCTGGCGATTCGGCGATTGACAAAATTGGACTGCGAGAGAGCCTCTGTCGGGTTATTTGGCGTTTGCGAAACCCAAGGGTCAGCATCTAGAAGAGAGGGGCTAACGGGTGTAGGCGACCGAATCCTAACATCCAGCTTCGAGATAACGGCTTCAGGGTCGTGGGGGACTAGGCCGGCCCCTCGAAACCCTGCCTTGATGTTTTTGTCGGTTATTGTCTTTAAATAAGCCTCCTTAAAGGCGATAAAGAACTCGACCTTAGTAATGTGGTTAATATGGGACTTGATAAATATATCAATCTCTCGACCGTATATACGTTTCAAGACCCCAAAGCACTCGACATCAAGTGGCTGGGTTAGATGAGACGAGGGCGGGGGCAGACTGATAGTAATAATGCCGTTAGACTTGCAATAAGACTCGAAATCAGCCGATGCATGACTCTCATGCCCGTCCAATACTAACAGCCGATACACGCCTCTTTTGGTCGAGATAGTGTGCTTGTTGAAATGTTTGATCCAGTCTAGACCAGTCTCGTTGTTCGTCCACCCGTTTTCGGTCGGTTTGACTACCCAATCGGCTGGTACGTCCCCCTCAGTATACCAATTAGCAAGGTGATAGTTCCCTTGAATTACCAGAAATGGCGGGATGTCGCGACCCTCCGAATTGACACAGGTAATCGCCGTGGCCCATTCCCGGTTACCTGGCTGGACCTTCTTGCCTCTACCATTACGTTCAGACGAGGTAACGACCATCGAGCGTTGAATAACGCCCATCATAAAGCCCGTCTCGTCGAAGTTCCACATATCGCAGTCCTGGATTCCGTATTTGGCCCTCATATTCGATACAAACCGGAACCAGTCCTCAATAATCTTTGGATCCTCGCAGAGGGCCCTCTGGAAGTCATACGAGCGAGAAAAACGCGTCTGTAACTCTGGGGTTCGCTTTACAAAGCGATGCGCCCAGAGCTTGCCGACGCGTCGGGTACCCCGCGTCGCAAGAATGGAATTGGCCATATCTTCCACACCCTCTAGCCGGGGAGGAAACCCTCTCAAATCTAGGTCAAGTACATGCTGAACAATAGCTCTTTCCTCTATCTTGGTGAGTAGTGCGCTATTCGGCCAGATTTCGGTACGTGGGGTGCGACCGTGGATTCTGTCACGGAGTGAGGACTCGGGTACACCGTATAGCTTTGCTGCTCGACGTTGGCTCATATTTTTGGTCGATCGGATAGCTTCGATGGCAAGGTTGATTTTGGCTTCTTGGGTTTGAACTGACGTGGTGTTATTGTTGAGGAAATAAGTGTTGAAGTCAAAAGGTTGGAAAAGTTGAAAAAGTGCGCGACTCGGTGTTAAACCACGTTAGAGGTTATTGCTTTTATTATTAGTAGGCATGAAGTAGATAAATCGCTGTCGCCTATGAACACTTCACTAATAGTAAATAAGACATTAGTCTCGTTCGCACAGTGCTATGTGATGTTGTTTGTAGATATTATGTGTAAGCTGAACACTTTTGCAAAGCAAAGGTATACATACCTATCGGTAGTTAAATGTGTAAACTGTACCGTGGAGCTTACTTTGTGAGAAATTTAGATAAATTCTAATTCCTAAGCCGCTTCTAGCAGATTTCTATGAAGGCTAAAAAAAAGATGTTGTTTTTTCTTCTTCTATGATAGTTAACGTCCCACACCTACATCCGGGACACCCCCACATGTGGGACGCCCTAAAAATGACACTGTATATTATTATTATTATTATTATTATTAAATACGCCGTAGGCTCGAAGCCCCCGGTACCTCTACTAGTACTCCCGTATGTCAAACCGTGCCCTAATGGCTGGACTAAATACATACGCTGCGTCGTCGGTTCGCCCTATTGGCGACTGCGTTGCGTTCACTACCATACTACGTTGGTTCTCAACCTACCAACAAAGTCCCCCCTGAGAAGATCGATGCTATCTGGGCCTTGAAGCTGTCCGACCCGTCCGTAGCAGCCACCTTACAATAGTCCCACTAACTACTGGTTCTCCTGTTGCCGTTGCGAGGTCTCTGCGAGAGTATAGTGGCCGTGGTGCGATAGCGGCCCGTAATCGTTCCCTCAGTCCTTCCAACAGCCCGCAAAAGAGGATTACGTGCTCTGCCGTCTCAGGGGCGTCGCCACAGCGGCATAGCGGCGAGTACACGCCAAAAGCCCCTGTCTTGAATAAGAAGGCTGCTAGTCCTATTTTTTCCGTCCTGATCTGGCACAGCGTAGACGCTTCCAGTCGGTTCAGGCCGAAATACTTGCCCCCTTTCGGTATCTGCATCGAAGGGCCCTCCAGGTATATTATGACCATTAACTTCAATTCTTTTTACACTTATTCTAATGCGACTACAATACAGCTTTCACCGTCACTAGGGTTTTCAGACTCGCTAGACTCATCTGTACTATCCTCAATTTCACCAGTCTCGATTTGAGCCTTCCGAATAGCCTTGATATTAGTAAACTTCGAATTTGGGCTCATCTTGACCTTCCTCCGCTTCCTAGCCCTACTAGCCTCAAGCTCTGCCTCTATTGCCTTAATCTTTCGCTGTGCGACAGCTAATTGGTAGTCCTTCTCATCAAAGCCCTTTTGAACTTTCCGAAAGAGTAGCCGCTGGGTATTTGGATCACTATCAAGCTTGCTGAATAAGCTGAGTTGATCTTGGAGCTCATCTCTCATCTTAGGCGTTGACCAGGCTACTGCTGATGTCTCTAACGCCCAGTCCTGACTACCCTTACTATCAGAGTACCCTTTGCAAGTCTGACTAGGCTGTCTGATTGGTGCTGACGTATTCTCAAGGAGCAGGGGGCTCATAAGGGGTCTAGCTATGCTCGAAGGCCAGAGACCAGTATATTTCCATCCACTGATAATGTTCTTAGCGGTCAATGCTGCTAGACGTGCCTTTCTATAGCAGAGGAGAAAGTTTCTCTTCCCTACGACAGTAGTAGTATCCCATCGGTCAAGGTAACCAAGCTCCTTCTTATAGGCTGCCTTGAGGGGTCCAAAGACTGACTGATCGAGAGGCTGGAGAACGTGGGATGTGTGTGGCGGCAAGAAAAGCAAGTGTATCTTGTTTATGAAGCAGAGATACATAAACTCTGTTGTTTCGTGGCTACTATGCCCATCTAGGATAAGTAACCTAGTCTCTTTAGGGTTGTTACGAACCGTTGGCCCTAGACCAACATTACAAGCCCGTTGGCAGGTGATACGTGACCCCATGGGGGGTTACCCTATAGCTACAGATAAGACAGACAAGATAAGATAAGAGCTATAAAAGAGATCTGCCAGGCCAGAATAGCTGACCTGGCCATCTTTTTCCAATACAACAATTCACACCCCATATGCACTCGCATCAAATGGTAGCATCTCCTCAAGATTGAGTAAATCCACCAAACCAAACCAACCATCAATTCGGCCACTTCCCATCGCCGCCAGCGTCCTGTACGCACCAAAAGCAGTCAACGTACCTCGCAAACATTCCACAAGCCCATCACATTGCCAAGGCATCCACCCTTGGCACCTCCCCTTCCAACATAAGCCGCAACTTGAAGTCTTCACTACCTGTTGCCGGCCGGTGGAAGCCTTCCGTCTCCTCTACATCAGTCAGAATCATCAAGCATCAAGACATCAGCATCAACGCCCTGAGAAAGACGATTGGACCCTCAAGGTATCCTCGGATCAATCTTTACCACCTGCGGGTGAATACTGAGCGATCCCAAGAGCCCGCTGTACGGTTGGCATATGTCCGACAGAGACTGATTGCGATAGATTAACGTGATTGACTGGTGATCACAACATGTCCGGCAGAGTGACACGCTCTACTCGCAACCGCGAATCCGACAATCTGAGCACCGAGGAAGACAACCAGCCGTTTCCAGAAGACGGTCCCTTCTACGACCGCGGGTAAGCTGCAAGCATCGATCACGACATCTCTCGACCCCCGCTCACTGCCTCGATCAAGACAATAAGCTATTGGACCGCAAGACAGATCGAATCTACAATACGCTTCATCAACGAGTCCAGATGATCGAGAACATACCAACACAGCAAGTCGGCCAGCACCCAGCTGCCACCGCAAGAATGTACGACCAACTCGCAGACAGGGTCAGAACGTTGCAAGCCGAACTAGATCAACTCAAGGCAGCAAGCCTTGAACGTCGTATTGATGATATCGACCAACGGTCACAATCCCCGGACGTCAGGCATCAACAGTGGCGCTCCCATGCTGACAGCAACCCTATACATCATCTACCCCTTCCATCTCTCTCACGCATCAAGTTGTCCCAAAACAAGCTCACCCGAGAAATCGTAGGCATTTTCGACCCACATTTCGAAGACCATGACGGAATCGGAAGAATCACAGACGGCAAACTCCTCATCTACACTGACGTGGTCTGCTTCAGAGAACGTCTTATGCTGACGGAAGATGACCCCGAACACGCGATCGCCCAACAGATCAAAGCATTATGGCCCACCCTCATGGCGGGACCAGCACTAGACTGGTGGATCAACGAGCTGACATACGATGAACGGACCGAACACCGCAAGTCACTCAATGAAATGTGCTCCGCACTCTTACATCGCTTCAGACCTGATGCTGCTATGGCCACAAAGCGCTTTAACGATTCAGGCCTTTCATTGAGAGACCTCATCGACAATGACAACGCATTATCTGACTACATTGCAAAGAAAATGCGCTGGGCTAGAGCCATGGGCATTGTTTCCGAGAAGAACGGCAACTGGCACGGCGCCATGATCCAAATCTGGTCAAACATGTCACTTGGTATTCGACAATACCTCCGCGCACCAAACGATATTGAATCTTTTGGCGAGTATCAACGCGTTATCACAAACAGCAGGGCTATTCTGCTTGCAGCGGCCCACGATAAGTATCCCAAATCACGAAGATCCCGCACCACTCCATCAGAGTCACCACGCATAAGCATTCGCGACAATTATTACCCCGCCGTGACACATCGCGCAGCCGCTCCGACCGATACCAACGCGAACCTTCTCGCTACAGAAGTGATCGATCCAATGATCGCGACCAAGAACACCGACGCCGAGAAGCCTCACTGCATCGCGATTACGATAGACGTGACAGGCAGTCGTACAAAGACAATAGCTGGCAAGAGCGCAAGGGTAAATCTGACAACTTTGACAAACAAGACCACGACAAATCACGTGATGATCGAAACCGCAAGGATGACCGACGGGACACGTCCAAGGACGGAGTCCACTGGGCCGGGGAACCCGAAGAGATACCATCTGGTGGCTCGCCGTCGGAATCGACCTCGGAGTCCGAAGGTTCGACATACGATTCATACTACATCCTGGACAAGAACCTGACTTGCAACCGATGTATGGTGGCATTCCGATCCACTGAACAGCTTCAAAAGCATCGCACTACTTGTAAGGCAACGAAACAAGTTAAGCGAGAAAGACTGTACCCGATATGCTCTCCAAACACCCCAGACCGACGAACATGCGGATTCTGTCACTTTACGTGCGAATCACGAAACAAGCTGTTCCAACACCTTGGAAATTGCAAAGACGCCAAAGTTGGCAACATCAAGCCCAAAGAGTTGGAACAGAACACGGTAAAGGATCCAGAAAGCCAGCCTAGGATCAAGGAGGCGCCAGCCGTCGACTTCCAGGACAGATCAGTCATGAGCAGATACACCTACCTTAGATTAGAAGCCAGTGCTTCACCAACAGCCGACAAGGTAGAAGTATGCCTTGATCCCGGCACAGGCAGAACAATTATCGGGCGCTCCTACCTCAAGACACTGAAGCATACTATTGAAAACCGAAGAGGTATGGTCAAAGGCATTGGCAAGAAAAGCATGAAGGTAACCGAATGGGCAACCTTTACATTCTATCTGCACGGTACAGACGGATCGGGACCCACGGTTATGAAGTTCACCAAATCAGGATGGGTCGTTGAGGACGACCTCGAACCCAACATGCTTGTCGGCAATGATATGCTTCATCCACACGGAGCTAACATCTGTTACGAAGATTCTACCGTTACATTTACCAACCTGTCCAACTTCACCGTCGATTTGTAAGTCAAAGTCAACAGCAATGCGTGCATACGTAAGGTTACGACTATTAAGGAGATCAATCTACTCCCTAGCCAACAATCTCACATTCAGGTCAAGTACAAGGCGCTTCCAGCAGACAGACCGTTTAGCTTTAATGCTGAGCATAAGGCGGCGTTTCACGCCGTTCTCGACTCTAAGACACCGCAAGTGTTGATTGTCAGAAACACCACTGACAGCATGCTGAAAATCCGTCTACGCTTTTGAAGGGGTTCGGAGATTTGAGCGTAATAGGGGATGAGATGTCGTAAGAATCCGGTAGCACCGATGTACTGTTCTAGTGCCTTAAGCTGTGCGGGAAATGCAATCTGTTTCAAAGCTGCGATACGTTCAGGTGTTGTAGACATTCCCAGGGCGTCGACGAGAAATCCAAGTAATTCGACAGATGGATAGCCTATGAAGGACTTCTTGGGTGAAATCGAGATACCTTTGGTTTTGAACAAGTTGAAGATAATATCGATGTGTTCCAAGTGTTCGTCGGCTGTGTCAGAGTAAATGATGATGTCATCGATAAAAGCACGGCAGAATTCGCAGTCAGCGAATAGCTTATCCATGTATCGTTGAACATAGGCTGGAGAGTTGCGGAATCCCATGAGTGCAACTTTGGATCTTTCCAGTCCCCTGTGGCTGATTATAGTAAAGCGATCTCGGTAGTCTGGGTGTACCAAGAATTGGTAGAAGAACAAGGTTGCGTCTACTACCGTGATATATCGTTTCCCTCGTAGTGTATAGATGACTTCAGCTTGTAAGGGCAAGGGGTAATTGTCTGGAACCGCGACTTTGTAGTACGAAGGTCAACAACAGCTCTGCCTTTTCGTTTGCCGACTTTATGTCGGTACACGACGAAGACTGGATGTCCGAAGGGTGTGGGTTCGTTGACTGTCTCCATACGGTGCTGCTTGCGTAGTCGGTCGAATGTTTCATCGACGATTTCTTTATCTTGTTTGCTCAATGGATATTTACGGCTAGCTTTGTATTGCGTTTGCCAGCCTTCAACCAAGGGAATCTTCATTTGCTCTTCTTCTGGGATATCGATAGGGCCTTGATCAGTCCAGATGTCGGGGTATTTGTCAATCAACGCCTCAAGCTTATCAGCATACGAGGCGGATTCGGCATATATGTGTATGCCTTCGGACGTCTCACGCTCGGGAACGTCCGAGGGTTTCTTGATGCCTAGAGTGGAGCTGATATCACACGTGCGCGGCTTCTGTAGTTCTTCATCAGGCATAGGGAGTCCGTCATGTTCAGGTACGTCAAGTGTATCTTGGATCATAGAGAATACGTGATCGGAGATTGGTAGGTCTGTGTGTGTCAACATGCTATCAGTAGATACAGCGGTGGCCAATGTTTTGGTGTCAGTAGGGGGTACGGTGTCAGTGACCAGAGCTACGATGTCGTCAGTCAGGTCAAACTCGGAGTTGACGCTGTCTATAGCTTGAACGGCTTTGACACCAGTGGGTGTGTCTGCTAAGTGTGAGTTCATTAGCGTAGCTGCGGAAGTAGCAGCGAGAGCTCTGAGGCACCCTGAAAGGCTAGACACGTAGTATCCGCTGTCAATCCAGAGCTTATTCAAGGCTGGTTTGACCTTGTGCGCAATACAATTGCGAAATATGGGATCGCCGATGCCGACATCTACAATTTCGACGAGACCGGCTTTATGATAGGTCAGATTACCGCATCGATGGTTGTTACGAGCTCTGAAAGGAAAGACAAGCCTAAGATAGCCCAGCCTGGCAATCGGGAATGGGCTACGGTGATCCAGGGCGTCAATTCCCAAGGCTAGACGGTCCCGCCATACATCATTGTCAAGGGCCAATACCACCTCTCTTCCTGGTACGAAAACGACGCGTTGCCAAAGGACTGGAGGATCGCCGTGAGCCCAAATGGTTGGACTCCGAACGAATTGACCGCAGATTGGCTAAAACACTTTGACAAATACACCAAAGGCCGGAAATCGGGTGTATATCGCCTTCTTATCCTGGACGGCCACGAAAGCCACCATTCCGACGCCTTTGAGCAATATTGCAAAGAGAACAAGATTATTACACTTTGTATGCCTGCCCACTCTTCTCATATCCTCCAGCCACTAGATGTGGCATGTTTTGCGCCGTTAAAAAAGGCTTACGGCTCGCAAATTGAGAAGCTCGTCCGAGCCCGGATTTCGCATATCACAAAGGAGGACTTTCTTCCGGCATTTTGCGACGCGTTCAAGAAGAGCCCGACCGAAAGCAATATTCGTGCAGGCTTTCAAGGGGCTGGGCTTGTGCCTTTAAGCCCAGATATTGTTATTGAGAAGCTGGATGTGAAATTACAGACTCCAACGTCCTCCCGGCCCCCTACGCGGGAAACCCTTCCTTGGGCTTCTCGGACGCCAAACAACCCAACCGAGGCTACTTCGCAATCCGAATTTATTAAATGTCGAATTGTCAGGCATGAGAATAGCTCCCCGACGTCAATTTACGATGCTATCGATCAGTTTTCGAAAGGAGCGCGGAGTATTATGCATAAGATGGCTTTACTCCAAGCTGAGGTCGCGGAACTTGAGAGGCAAATGCTGTAATTAGCAAGCGGCGCAGGGCCAAAAAAACACGAGTACAGCTTGGAGGATCACTTAATTTACAAGACGTACAAGATCTTCAAGATCAAAAGGACGTTGCGCAGCAAGTACAGCAGGAAATGCGTGGAAATAGCGCTGGATCAAATCGTGGCCAGTCACGGCAACGGCGCTGTGGCGTATGCGGGAAGACCGGGCATAATGCGCGAACCTGTCAGGTAGAGATAGAATCATCTGGGAAAGAGTATTCTGAGTGGTTTTAATTGATTTACGGCATTGTGGTTGCGAAATCGTGTTGAATTCCATGTTTTGCTAGTTGGCGTGACCCGTTCGGTTGGGTGACCCGTTCGCTGTGGACTACGTTAACGTATTCTAAGTAAGGTAAAGAAAGGTAAGTTAACAGTAGCCTATATATGCAAAGTCGAAGGCCTCTAAAACCCCGTATGAAGCTAGTATAAGGAAAGAGCCACCATGGAGGGCCGGTCTCAGCTGACAAGCTGAATCGGAATGGTTTCGCCCCCGATTAGGAACAACCTCGGAACTACCTAGTCAAAGAGAACATCTCGAGGCGCCACCTAACTTAGATTCCTTAAGAATCAGTCTTGCAGTATACGCACCTATAACCCTAACGTATTATAGCCGCTCTTTGCACTACCTAACTACTATCGTGTACGTCTTAGTATAATCGTTAGATAGTACAAAGAGTTAAGGTTTACGGTTATAGAAAGAGAGGTCGCAAGATATATATTCTATATCGCAAGTTCATGAGAGTACATAGGAGAGAAATGAAAAGATGTCTTAATCTTCCTTTAAGAACAAAACATGCGTGTCTTTAGTTCCAGATTAGAATATCATGGGTTTGTTTGCTCCAATAGCTAATCTAGTCCATATCTCAAACAGCTCCTATCTTGGAGCGTCACACAGTCGGAAAAGTGCCAGGAACTATGTTGAAAGGTAAAATGGAATAAATCTTGATCGCGTTACCTATTTACATGTAAGACCGACCCATGATGGCGCCGATCGACCAAATGGTCTGACATAATTTCACCACCACCCCATTCCCAATTTGAACTCCATAACCACCTTGCGGACACCAACCCAAATGACCCAAATGAACCAGGACTCAGCCAGTGAGTTAGGAAACTGAGATTTGTATGAAAGAAAAAAATAACAATGGCCAGAAAATCATGTTATTGCTGTGATGAAGAGCCAATGCCCTACGAGCTGCAAGCGGAGACATATTTCAGTCTCTAAAATCCCAAGCCCTTTCGGACTCTGAACGCTCCTCTCATCAAGGCCGCAGTCTATATTTGGCACGTTGTTGCACAAGATGTGGCCGTGACGGTGGATACCGACACCATGGTAACCGTGACAGTGCTTCCCTGTCCTGCTCCGTCACCCATGCCTCCTGCCGGGATGGTGATGACCTGACCCTCAGTGACGCCCGATGGCACAGTGTAGGTGATGGCTTGGGCCAGATTCCCTGCGGTGGTCACAGGAGCTTTTGACAATGTGACAGCACTCGTCATAACCGATGCACTGGCTCCCGAACCCACGGTAACAGTGACGAGGGACACAACGGGACTGGCGGGCTGGACAACTCCCGAGGGAAAGGCAGATGCGGACAAAGTTACTGAAGTGGTAACGGCAGTGGCTGAAGATCCCGAGCCGATTGTTAGAGTAACGAGAGAAATAACAGGCGAGGGCGACGCAGAAGAAGACAATGTCATTGAGCTCAAGACAGCGGTTGCGGAAGCGCCTAAGCCTTGGGTGATGGTTACAACCGAGACCATGGGGCTTGGTACTTGGGTTTCCTCAATGCTCTCAGTGACTGTAGAAGAAATCGGGCTCGAAGACAAGGTAGTGGTGCTCTCAACGACGGACTGGGAGCTGCCGGAGCCTATGGTGATGAACACAGTTGATACGACAGGGACTTCCAAGATGCTTCCTGGAACATTCTCGGTGACCTGGGATGGTGCTGCCGGGATTGTAGTCGCACTCTTCACGACGGTTTGAGAGATACCAGAGCCCATGGTAATGGTCATGGTGGACACGAAGGGTGCTGCTGAAAGGATATCACTTGCCGCGATGCTCTCACTTGACTGGGAAACAGCGCCGATTGAAGTTACGGCGGAAGCTGTGGAAAAACTTGTCACAACCGACTGAGAAGCTCCAGAACCGACGGTGATGGTCATAGTGGAAACAAGGGGAGATGGAGATGGCGCTACCGAGCTTGCCTCGGAATGGTCAAACGTGACAGTCTTAGCAACTTCTGTTGCAGACGTGCCAGAACCGACGGTGATGGTGACAGTGGACACGACAGCAGTCTTGTCTTGGCTTCCCGATACAGTGGGTTCATCGAATGTGAGGGTCTGGGGCACAGTGGTCGCATCAACTCCGGATCCGATGGTGACGGTGACAGTAACGAGCGACTGGACGCCAGTAACCTGCTGCTCTGCGGGTGGAGTGACGGTGAGAGTCTGAGGAACCGCGGTGGCGTCGGCTCCAGAGCCGGTTGTGACGGTCACGGTCGAAACAAAGGGGGTGTTCGACTGGCCGGCTTGCGACTCGGGAAAAGTGAGTGTATGCGGGACTCTGGTGGCAGATGGTCCAGATCCGACAGTCACCGTAATGACTGAAGTTTGTCCGCGATGGCGCGAGTTTTCGTTGTTTCCATTGTTGCCGTGGTTTCCAGTGTAGGTAACGGTGTGAGGGACGATTGTAGATCCAAAAGTAACAGGCACAATCGACACGACGGGAGTCTTAGGTAGGCCTGTTTGAGGCACCTTGGTGAAGGTAACAGTCTGAGTGACAACATATGAAGAAGTG